TTGCGAAATAAGTCTTTGAAATGTATTTCTTGTAATATCACTCACAACCGGTAATAACGCAAAACAATATAAATGATATAATTTAAATTTTAGGAGAAATAAGTGATTAGTGACTGCGAAATAAGCCTTTGAAATGTATTTCTTGTAATATCACTCACAACCGGTAATAACGCAAAACAATATAAATAATATAATTTAAATTTTAGGAGAAATAAGTGATTAATGATTGAAAAATAAGTCTTTGAATGTATTTCTTGTAATATCACTCATAACCAGTAACAACGCAAAAAATATAACAAGTTGGGCTTTTGTTTTGTCACTCCTCTAGGATTATTCTTCCAAGTTTTCAATTTTGCTCCTTTCTTCATTAATTTTATGTTTTGTTTTGTATGGCATAATAATATAATTCTTCGAGAGGATTTTAAAATAAATCCAACTTTTGAAATATCTTATTTGAGGTTTGTGATTTTTTTTTTAATTACTCCTTAAAATTGTAAAGTGTTGTAACTAAGATAGTAGAAGGTGGAAATTCAATGAAAGCAATATTTAATTAACAATTTTGTTTTATTTTTACGAATCCAATATTTAATTTTCTATCATCCCAAACAAGGCCTTATATTTTTGTTTTATAAATAAAAGAGCTCAATTATCATTAATCCTCATGTCTGGCTCGCATTCGTGTACTTGAGTAATTTTTTTTGTATTATTACGACTGTGATGTTTTTCAAGTTTTTCCTTCTTATCCTTTACCATTTTTATATTATAACACATTGTGTAATCACGTATTTCTATCATTTTTTTTATAATAACATGTTATTTAACCGTCCTGTTGAATTCATGATTCAAAACCTCCAACGATGTCGTCGTGCTTCTCTCCCTCGATCGAAGACTCAACCCACCAAGCTCCACCCCGTAGCTTCCTCCTGCTCTCACTTGCCATCAATGCCAGCGATGTTCTTTTCAGGCATCAAATCATTTATTGGGTTCTGGCAAATGGAAGCAATAAGGAAGATTTAGTTCTCATGAAAAGAGAAAAGAAAAGAAAAGACAATGAAAAAATAGACAGAGAAGAAAGAAAAGATGTGGAAATGGCAAAAGGAAAATAATTCAGAGGAAACGATAAAGGATGAAGAAAGCCTGGGCATGAGCACTAAATGCTATGTGAAGAAGACAACAACAAAAACGGGCATAGAAGGAAAAAAAATGAAAAAATGATAGAAGGATAAAATCGTAATAACATAAAGCACTTAATAGCAAAACAGCAATTAAGCAAAAAGATAAGGGTAGAAATTAAACAACTTTTGAAAAAAAAAAAAAAAGTGACACAGAGCCAACTTCTGAAAGAGAAAGGTGAAAAAAAGTATTAAAAAAATAAAGAAAAACACCACATAGCATATGCAAGAATAGGCATAACAATAAGAAACCACTTGTTTTGTTATGGTCTCTTACGGCCAGCAATTCCAGCAATCGATGATAAACAAGATCATGTATAATAATAAATCAACTAGCGCTTAAGATCACAGCCTAGTAACGAGGTCGAGGATCTCTCATCGATGACATCCGGGTTTGATTTTCTTTATGCACTCTTGTCATTCGATGGCATCTTATTTGATCATTGGGTTTGCGGGATGTTCAATGAATTCGGAGATTAATCGAAGTGCGCAAATTGATCCGAACACCTTGAATAATAATAATAATAATAATAAATCAACGATAAAAACATACACAGTGATTTAGAATTTAGATCTAGAGTAAATGAATAGTTAATAGTACATATCTTTTATTTTTATTATTAATATTAATATTTTTTTTCAAACATACACGCATAATATCAAGCATTAAAACACTAAAATCAAACTGAAATGTTTACGGTTGAAATAGTTTAAATTAAAAGAGATATGCATTGCAATTTTGTATTATAAAATGAATTATTGAAAGAAAGAATTCATAAACGATATCTGATCCAATATAGATAGCTTGCATTTTACCTACCTATCTATTTACCTTTTTACTATGACGAAGGTAATTTCAAAATTTATATATCAAGAAAAAAATACATGAGGCCATTTTTCACACAGCATTGCAAATTTACAAAAGTCTGGTATTTTTTTTTATAATTCCATTTTGCATTTCGTACATTTCTTAAAAAAAAAAAAAAAAAGGAAAAATTGAAGACACATGGTGACCAGTTGACGTGATTGCTTGCCTGGCCATAAAAAATGTCATCACGTGAAGAAGTTGACATGGCAACGAATGTGTTTGATCATGCTGAGCTCATAAATAAATAAAAAATATTTCTTTTAGCTAATTACAAAGATTTCTGTGAAGCAACTTTACCTTTGCAAAACTAGACCGAGGTTAAGTGATTAATGTTCCTAACCTCCTTTTGAACATCCATAATGCTTGAAAAGAATAGCCGAAGATGCCTAGCTGTTTCTCTGTGCAGCATTGACATTTTGATACCACAGGAACTCCACACTTCTTTATATTCTCCTCCACTGCCACAGCATTACGAAAAAAGCTTCCAAACAAATAAACCTATTTTTCGTGGAATCCATTGATTCCAAAGACTCGTCCACGATGCAAAGCTCGGAGCAGTGACCCTTATTGCATTATGATAATCTTTTGTGTTGAAAAAAAAAAGATAATTTTTTATATATGTAATTTAAACTCAAAATCCAAAAGCAGATGATTCTGTCTCAAAATTAATTAAATTTAATATAGTTTAATTTTCATACACTTTTTTAATTCACTCAACAAACATACTTAGCAATAAAATATCATGCTTTTCATACTCAATATCTAAATGAACTTTCATTAAATTTGAATTTATATTATAGCCAAAGCTTAAAATATTTTTAAAAATTAGCTAATCAAATGTAAATATGTGGTCTTTCTAAAAAAAAATGTTAACGGGGATGTTCAAAATTGGAAGAGTACACACACATATATATTTATTTATTTTTATTTATATAATATTCAAAATCTTCTAAATATCATTAAGTTTTTAATTGTATCTTATTTGTTTATGAAAATGTTCATTTTATTTTTTCAATCAAATTTTCAAGCCAAATATTTTTTGATAAAAAAAAATCTATTTAAAAAAAATTAGTTTTTTTTTTTTTGTATTTTAGTAAATGATATTTTGGTTAAAAAAATTACATGGTTGGAAAATCTGATTGAAAAAATAGATTGAATATTTCAAAAATTTTAAAAAGCATATAGAATGTAATTAAAATTCTAAAGACATGGTAGAGACTTTAAATATTATATAAAAATAAATAAATATATTTACTCAAATTGAAAATGTAAACGAAACTAGTCTCTTTTACCATCCAAATAAGTAATCAAGGAATTGAATCACAAAGTATGAGAAATTTTATAATATTAAAAAAATAATTAGTGTATATATATAATAGTTATTTCGTGAATTCACTTTTAAAGAGAAAAAATTATATCTTCATCTACTATAAGTGAAAAAGAAGATTTCTAATTTGAATTTATTTTTTATTTTTTTTCCAATTTCTCCCTTATTTTTTATTTTTTTATATATAAAGTAACTTATATCTATTACTATTTCAGTATTATAAAATTTATGCATATAGCAGTACGGCGGAATCTCTCCACAGTCCACAATAGCCAAACCCCAAGCGGGAAAATGAGAAAGAACCAAAGCTAAAAACAAATCATTTCTCTTTCCAAACAACTTCTCATGGTAGGCAACCAAAAAGGTTCATAACAACTTCACATCCAAGCTATTTCCCAAAACGCATTTATATATCCTACCTATGGTTTCTTTGTTTAGTGCCTCACAGAATCCTCAGTCTCTAACTCACTAAAAACCCATGAAGATTGTCTCAATTCTAGCTTGATCAAGTCAAGAAAAGAGAAAAACCGAAAGGTTAGTGCTTTTATTTCAATAACATATGATTATGCGATACTTTGATTTAGATTGTTCATGTGTAAAGTGCTGTGACTTGGGTTTGGGTTGGAAAAATGGTGCTCTTTACGAAATGGGTCGATGGGGTTTGTTGAAATTCTGTTTGGTTACTGAGAAAGTGTAAAGAATGGAGTTTAGTTTTTTTTTTTGGTTAAAGCTACAAACTTTAGCAAATGGGATGTTTCTATTTGGTTAATTTGTTACGAGCACGAGAAAGTGCATTTATTTTGTTACTTTAACAATATATGATCATTTGATGCATTGGGTTTAGATTGTTTATGTGTTAGTTAGTTTGTACTGGGTGTTGCTATGGAAAATGGAGCTTTTTTAAGAAATGGGCTGATGGGGTTTCTTGAAATTCTGTTTGGTTACTTATAAATTGTATGGAAACGGGAATTTGGGTGTTGTTTTCACAAGCATTTTGTTATATATATATGGTACGTGATACATTTGATTATATTGTTTATGTGTTAACTAGTTTTGTCCTGGGTTTGCTATGGAAAAATTGGGCTTTTGAAGTTGATTGATGTGGTTTATTTGAAATTCTGTTTGGTTACTGAGAAAATTGGGCTTTTGGTGTTAATTCGGTATTGTTTTAGATTAAAACCCCAAACTGTCAGATGGATTGTTTCTATTTGGTGGTTTTCACAAGCATTTGAGACCATGTCTATGCATTACATGGTTGTTTGTGTGGGAAGTTGAATACTTTGGTTTTGTGTTAATGGGTTCAAGAAGTCGAAATTCTGTTAAATATGAAAATTTGATATTCTTTGTTGTAAATGGTTAGTGGCATGCTGCATGCCTTTGTTGGCTTTTACATTTCCAAAATCCTCTTGAAAAACTGCCAATCTTGAGATTTGTATTTCTTTTGTTGTTGGCACGTGTAGTGATTTTTTTTTTCATTTATTTATTTGGGAGAATGTGTTGGGTTGATTTTTAACGCGTTGCAAGTAATTATATGTTTTAATATCTCTGTTCTGTTTGTCATATTTTCTTTAACAGGTTGTTGTTTGAAGATTTTGCTATAATCTCTAGCAGCAGGTGAATCTTTAACAATAGAATGGAGGCAGAAGGTAGTGCAAAGGAAACAGTGGTAACCCAAGTTAGTCTTGGTGGGTTTGGCATTCATGTAACTGCAAAAGATCTTTTGGAATACTTGGAAAGAGAGATTGGACTAGTTTGGCGGTGTAGATTGAAGACTTCATGGACCCCTCCTGAGTCCTATCCGAACTTTGAGATTACTGACATCTCAAAGATAAAAAGAACAGAAGATTATAAGCGAGTGGAGCCCCATGCTTTTGTGCATTTTGCATTGCCTCAATCAGCAACTTGGGCTATGGATGCTGCAGGGCGCTGTGAGCTCTTTTTGAATAACAAAGCATTGATGGTTAGTTTGGGGCCTGAAAGTCCTTTCACCTTGAATAAGAGGAGGAGGACAACAACTCCCTTTAAGCTCTCTGATGTGGGCGTTGAGATAGGGACCTTGGTTAGTCGTGATGAGTTCTTTGTTGGTTGGAGAGGACCTCCTTCTGGTGTTGATCTTTTAGTAGATCCTTTTGATGGAACATGCAGGTTTTGTTTCGCTAGAGATACTGCCTTCTCCTTCAAAAACACAGCTGAACATGCTGTTATAAAATGTGATTATAAAGTGGAGTTCCTAGTGAGGGACATTAATGAGATCAAACAATACACAGAAACATCATGTCTAGTTGTTTTGTTGCAGCTGGCTTCTGTACCTTGTGTCTGGTATAGAACTGCTGATGATGATATTGAAGTATCAGTTCCTTTCGACGTGTTGGATGATGACGATCCTTGGATCCGAACCACAGATTTTACACCCAGTGGGGCTATTGGTCGGTGCAACTATTATCGAGTTTCAATCCCACCTCGTCACGGTCTAAAGTTGAGAAAGGCTGTGAATTATCTCAAGGAACGGAGGGTGCAGGAGGAACACCTCAGACGCCCAATCAGGATTCTGGATGAACCAGACTTTGGAATGTCCAGGTCAGATCCTTTCTTCTGTATTCATCACAAAGAGGGAATAGCTTTTGAGGTAATGTTTTTGGTGAATGCTGTCATGCATAAAGGCATATTCAATCAGCATCAATTATCGAGTGACTTCTTTGATTTACTGAGAAATCATCCTGCTGAAGTCAGTGTTGCTGCACTGAAGCACATTTGTTCTTACAGACGCCCAGTGTTCGATGCTCATAGGAGGCTGAAAGTTGTGCTAGAATGGTTGTTGAAGAACCCAAAACTTTTTAAGAACCCGAAACAGTTGGCTGATATTGTAGAAATTAGAAGGTTGGTCATCACTCCAACTAAAGCCTACTGCCTTCCACCAGAAGTCGAACTCTCCAATAGAGTTTTGAGAAAATACAAAGATGTCGCCGATCGGTTTCTCAGAGTTACGTTCATGGATGAGGGTTTCCAGATAATGAATTCAAATGTTCTAAACTATTATGTTGCTCCTATTGTCAAAGAAATCACTTCTAACTCCTTCCCTCAGAAAACGAGAATCTTCAAACGATTGAGGAGCATACTAACTGAAGGTTTTTATTTATGTGGTCGGCGATACTCCTTTTTGGCCTTCTCATCCAATCAATTGAGGGACCGATCTGCTTGGTTTTTTGCTGAAGACAGAAAGACAAGCGTGCTGGCTATTAAAAGTTGGATGGGGAAGTTCACCAATAAGAACATTGCAAAGTGTGCTGCAAGAATGGGTCAGTGTTTTTCCTCTACTTATGCCACTGTAGAAGTTCCACCAGAAGAGGTTAATTCTGATCTTCCTGATATTAAAAGGAATGGTTATGTTTTCTCCGATGGCATCGGCATGATTACTCCAGATCTTGCCAGGCAAGTTGCAGAGAAACTTAAGCTTGACATCTACCTACCCTGTGCTTACCAAATCAGATATGCTGGTTGCAAAGGAGTCGTGGCTTGTTGGCCAGAACAAGGTGATGGTATCCGCTTGTCTCTGAGGCCAAGCATGGACAAGTTCCAATCAAACCATACAACTTTGGAAATTTGTTCATGGACTAGGTTTCAACCTGGTTTCTTAAACAGGCAGATAATTACATTGCTCTCAACTCTAAATGTTCCTGATGAAGTATTCTGGAAGATGCAGGAAACGATGGTCTCCAAACTAAACCAAATGCTTGTGGACTCGGATGTTGCATTTGATGTCCTCACCACATCATGTCCTGTGCAAGAGAATGTTGCTGCTATAATGCTGAGTGCAGGTTTCAAACCTCAGAAGGAACCTCATTTGCGAGGCATGCTAACTTGCATAAGATCTGCACAGCTTTGGGGCCTTAGAGAAAAGGCTCGAATTTTTGTTTCCTCGGGAAGATGGTTGATGGGCTGCTTGGATGAGCTAGGAGTGCTTGAACAAGGTCAATGCTTTATCCAAGTGTCCAACTCGTCATTGGAAAACTGTTTTGTGAAGCATGGGTCAAAGTTTAGCGAGGCCAAGAAAAATCTTCAAGTCATCAAAGGAACTGTGGTAATAGCCAAGAATCCCTGTCTTCATCCTGGAGATATAAGGATTTTGGAAGCAGTTGATGCCCCAGGACTTCACCACTTGTATGATTGTCTTGTCTTCCCGCAAAAAGGTGAGAGGCCCCACGCAGATGAAGCTTCTGGAAGTGATCTTGATGGGGACCTCTACTTTGTCACCTGGGATGAAAACCTTATTCCTCCAAGCAAGAGGAGCTGGACACCCATGCAGTATGATGCTGCAGAAGCCAAAATCCTTTCTCGCCCTGTCAATCATAAGGTAGCTATGTGCTTTATTCAAATGTCACCTCTAAATTTTGTGGAATATTATGGTGTTTGCTATGTTATCTGCATGTATTTTGTTATTCCTTTTTTATTCGATCCACTTTCTTCACCTCCTTGCTTTATAAACTGGGTAAACGGAAGCCTGGCTCTAATACCAACCCTTGTGAGGTACCTCAATATGATTTTTTATTGTCTCGAACACACTTGAATGCCCCCCTGTATTTTTTTTCCTTTTAATCCAGGATCTACAAATGCAGTTCTCAGGTTCAATATCATCCAACTTTCTGAACTACAAGTCCTCTAACTGCACCTTAGATGGCACAACACTCTTTTTTCTTAACCAATTGCATGCATCAATCATTAGGGGCCATTAGCTCATACAATGTTAGAAGTTTTGTGCAATACAGGGGTACAGTTTCAAATTTTAATAGCAACTACTTTGTGCAAAAATGCTGAAGGATGGGACTTCCCCAAACTCTCTTTCCCTGGATTTCACATAAAACTGAGCATCCACATTTTTCTGTTAAAAAAAAGAAAAGAAAAAAACAGATGTTTTTACGTTGTTGTATCATTATAGCATGTTTGATAGAAAGGTATATATTTTGTATTGTATCTACAAGTTGCTATAGGATAGATTACAATAATAACAATAGTATGCATTTTGTGAATATTACTCAAGACAATTCAGATTGTAGGTCAGTTTATTGATTCTGTAGTTGGGGGGATAAAGAATTTGATGCGTGCCACTGAGTAAATTACTAATGTTTGTGTGTATGATATACAGGACATTATAGAATTCTTTGCAAAAAACATGGCGAATGAGAATTTAGGGGCAATTTGCAATGCACATGTGGTTCATGCTGATTTGAGTGAGTATGGTGCTTTGGATGAGAATTGCCTAACGCTAGCAGAGTTAGCGGCTACAGCTGTTGATTTTCCCAAGACGGGGAAAATTGTTGCCATGCCTCCACATTTGAAACCCAAAATGTACCCAGATTTTATGGGGAAAGAGGAGTCTCAGTCCTATAAGTCGAAGAAAATTTTGGGAAGGCTATATCGCCAGATAAAAGATGCTTATGATGAAGATGCAGCTGAATCTTCCGAGTGTAATGTTGTTCCTGGTGACATCCCTTATGATTCTGATCTTGAAGTTGTGGGAGCTGCTGATTATATCAGTGATGCTTGGGATCTAAAGTGCTCATACGACAGGCAGCTGAATGGCCTTCTTGCACAATACAAAGTGAAGAGGGAAGAAGAGGTTGTAACAGGGCACATATGGTCTATGCCGAAGCACAGCAGCCGGAAGGCAGGGGAGCTGAAGGATAAGCTTAAGCAATCTTACAATTGTTTAAAGAAAGAATTTAGGCAAGTCTTTGATAAAATTGATTTAGACCTTGACCAACTCGATGATGACGAAAAGAACAAGCTTTATGAGCGGAAGGCGTCAGCGTGGTATCAGGTTGCCTACCATCCTCATTGGGTGAAGAAGTCACTGGAGTTACAAGATCCAGATGGTGCTGGTAATTCAGTGATGCTGAGCTTTGCTTGGATTGCAGCTGATTACATTGCTCGGATCAAGATTCGGCACAGAGGGATGGGAAATGTTGACTCTGCTAAGCCTGTCAACTCACTAGCCAAGTACCTTGGTGAGAGGATGTGACCAGCATCTGAAAGTGCTACTTAGTTATGTTTGTGGCGGTCATACTTTTTGGCTGCAGGGCCACTCTGCCATAATATTGTTAATAGTAAAGTGTCATGTGTTTTTGTTTTAGAATAAGGTTATGGATTCTGAACTGGTATTATCACTGCTGCTTATAGTGTTCCTATGCTGCAATAATAGTCTTTTCAGCTGGTTTCCCTATATTGGATGATCTGGTGGTTTTATTTTCTAAGATCAGTCAGAAAGTTTGGTTGTCATTTTTTTCTCGAGGCATGAATCTTTGGCACCAGCAAGTGATGTTGATTCAGTGCACAACATTGAGCAGTAGGATTGAACAGCTACCATAGACTTGCATGTGGCTATTAGGGTTCCCATGCTCGTCAAGGACCGTGTCTGGTTTCAATGGAACTTGTTTTGCTTAGTGAAACTTAGTTCTTCCTAAGTTAATATTGCATATGATGTGGATTTCTGTTGTTCAGGATTTATAATTTATTAGCTGCCTGGTTAAGTTTCCCAACGAGTTCTTGAATTTAGGCATATTTGGGTCTGCTGAAGGAAGCCAGAAACAACCTCTCGCTCGGAGGTTTATGGCATGCATCCCTGTTGATGTGGTTATGATAAAATCACTTCAGCCACTAGAGGAAACCAAACCCACCATGAGTAACCCTACCACATTTGTTACCAAAATAAAAATCTAACATGTTCCATACATAAATAGATACAAAATTTAATCATCATCAAAAAATAAAATCTAACGTTTTTAGCATTTTCTTGCATCGGACGCTAAAATGTACTTACAAGCCAATTCATCGTACTCGTCTTGACCAACAACATAAAGATAAACGTCTCCAATCACAGTATACACAACATAAACTGACCTGATCAAAATTAAAACAAAAAAATTAGTAAGAATATGTATAATAAAAATGGGCATTTCCAATAATAATTCAAGGACTATATATTCTTTTTTCCCCTCTTGTTAACATTCTTGTGTGAAGCAACGAAGAGCGCTTCATTTCTTGCACCTTTAAGATTGTCAGTACCTAATTTAACTAAAAAAGATCTCCAATGTGATCTTTCCTCAGCTGGAACTCCATTAAATCTGCGATTTTGATCTTAATTAGATACCAAAAAATCTATTTCCCACATGAAGCTACATTGGGTTGAATCTAACCAAAAAACCCATTTTATAAATTATGTCTAATCACAAAAAAACAGTGAGCTTGTGATTTTGTTTATAGAGATCTGCATTCATCACTACATGTTCGACGAAATTACTGAGAGAAATAAATAAACAATGTGATCTTCACAACTCAGATGAGAAAATACAAATATATGTAAATTAAAAACGGTACCGTTCAATAAGAATGTTCCCCTCGGAATTGGAAATGAGAACGGGCAGCAACATTTCTGCTTTGAATTATTTGGTTGTTGTTGTTTTTTTGTTTTCTAATTTTTGTTTTTCATTTTTTAAGGATTAACAAGAAATAATTTGTTTGCAGATGTCAATTTGCTGAAATTACTCCAACCTGTTATTTTTTATTTTTTTGAATTTTACGGCTAAATATTAACAAGTAAATTATAAATTAGTCTTTCTAGTTTTAAAAAACAAATTAATTACTCTCTCATGTTTTAAAAATTATTAAATTAGTCTCTTACATTTTAATTTCGTTAATAACTTTTTAATAATTAGTCTCTTACATTTTAATTTCGTTAATAACTTTTTTTTTTTATCAATTTCTTGTTATATTAGTGGTTTTCTTTCAATTTTTTTAATACTTTATCTCTCTCCTTCACCTACTTTTTTCTCTCTCTTCAATAAAAAATTAAAAGTAGGACAATTTAGAAACAAAATCACTAATTTAAAAAAAAATAATAATAAGTTATTGAAAGAATAAAAATGTGAGAGACTAAATAATAGTTTTTGAAAATAAAAATACTGGTTAATTTGTTTATGTAAACGAAAGGTGTTATTTTATAATTTACTCAAACATTAAGCAATATCCTAGATTAATCCACCTCTATCCATGATTTATTTATGAAGATGGGATATTTGGGCTTTTGGGCCCAACTAGTTGATCCATTTGTCCTACAAAGGCTTTCTAGACAATTGCTGCCCTTATAGCCTGAGCAAGTGACTGAATCCATATTGATTATTGAATTTTGCATTCTCACCAAATAATAATAATAAATAAATAAATAAAAGGAAGAAACTTCCTATGTCTTTGCAGAAAATTTATTTCATCACGTTTGAAATAATTTCCTAAAATTTGAAATAAAAATTCGAATAATAAATAAGCAAAAGAGTTTGCAAAAATGGAGTTACAATAATTATTAATTTCTCCCATACCAAAAAATCAACGATGGAGACACATATTTGCAAAACCAATAATGATACTATGCTCACATGATTTAGACATCTCCAATTTTCTAAGCCTAACCCATACATTTCTCAACAAGTATCATGTTCTTTTGACCATAGCACAGAAATTTAAAAACTTCAGGTGCTAGTTTGCATGATATAATAGGTAGACAAGTGTAAATCCCTCCCTCTTAAGTTGACAAGTGAGTCGATGATTCAAGAGCTGGCCAATTATATTTTATTACGTACAAGTGTTTCGTGTTTGTAAATAAATAAAAAATATCAAAATAAGATTTAAAGAGAAAATTAAAGAAATGTTTTAAATAAAAAAAATTTGAATTAAATTTTTTATAAAGTTGTTTATTGTTTTTATTTAAACCAATTAAAAGTTTGTATTATAACTTTTGATTTAAGATGTAAATTGAATATTTATCATTTGCGTTTATTATAAAGGGAAAAAAGAAGAAGGAAAGATATGTTTATAATATGAGATAAATTATTATTAAAGTCTTTGAAATTTCTTAAAAATTTATAATAATACTTGAGTTGAATTATGTGCCACTTGCATCCTTGTTATTTTTCAGTTAGGTACTTTCTCCATAAATTATTAAATCAAATGTTATATTTCTCTTAAAATTTGAGAATAATCAGATATATGTTGGAGATATAAAATATACTACATGTATGTGTATTGTTAGATTCTTGTTGTTTTTTTTTATTTTTTAATCATACAATTTTTTAAAAAGATTTATCTCAATTAATAAAAAAAACTAAGAATTTTTAATTGGATTGGTGAGAATGCTTGGCTTAGATGAGTTCAATTTAAAGGAGTTTGTTTTAATAAAAAAGGATTGGAATTATTAATAAATTTATATATCAGTTTAGGGTTTTTTTTTTTTTTTTTAACTCATTTACCTAAGACTCGCTAATAGAATTAGTACTGTTAAGATTTGAATCCGAGACTTTTTGGAACAGATTGATTATAATTCGGCTACAAACTCTTTAGTATTGGTTTAGAATTTAAATTCTAGTTGGATTGAGATTTGATGTACTCACGTGTAAATAAAATAAAAATAAAAATAATTATATTGAAAATCGATTTACTTATCTACAAACAATTAGACAATTAAAATCGAACCATTACGCAAACAATGACATTTGACTAGTTTAAAAAATAAATTATTCAATAATAATTTTTTCCCTATTTAAATCGGGTAAATAAAATAATTTTTATGCATATTTTGTCTTACAAAAATGGAATCCATCACACCCATAAGATGGATAGATTAATAATTTACATTGTTACTTGTTAGTTTAATTTTTGTCGGAGGGAAAAATTATATCATCTATTTTTGGTGTTTCCCCATATACATGTGGGTTTTAAATTCCTATTTAATCATTACATATCGATCAACATATTATCAATTTTTATACTTAAATTAAATTTTTTTTTATTTTTTTAAAAATTGACTAATTTGATCATAAACTATCTAATTTATATATAAAATTATTTAATTCAATAAATATTTAACTCAAATTTTCTTACATATAATTTTTTTAAGACAATTAAAAATGTTAAATATATTGTTAAATAATACACGTGACAGAAAAACTAATAAATATTAAAAGAAAAGAAAAGAAGACCATTTGACGAGTTGCTCGTGTCAAACGCGGTCCGAGGTTGGCCGGCCAATTTCCCATGTTGGAAGCAAGTTACGGTCAAAGTCAGCATCTCTTCCCCTTTTCCTTCCTCTACAAATACAAATTCAAATACTTTTTCTTCACTTTAAACGGCCACGATCTGTGGATCAATAGCATTCCTGCTCTTGTACACAATCCCATGCCCACCAAACTGCGCTCCCCTTGACGCTCTAAACTCGGTATCTACACGCAGCCACCGCCTTTTGACGGCTGACCCAATAAAAAAAATGATTTAGAAATAAATTTTTATAATAAGTTCTATAAAAACTTATGGATAACAATTTATTAAAGAAAGATTTTTATTTTTAGATCAGATATCAATAAAAAAAACAAAAGAATTTTCTATAAAGAGAACGAAATAGACTCATATGCTATTACAGGTACGCTTAAAAATATACAATAAAAATTTTATATAGAAACTAAATATTCAGAATCTACATGCTAATAAATTGTTTTTTTTTAAAAAAATATTATACAAGTAAATGGATAATTGGAATGTTCATTTTCGAAAATCTACTAATGGTTCTGCTGTCTTCCACTTGATACTTATTTTTTTAATTTAGAAAAGAGATCTCAATATTTATTTATTAGCATTTTATGTAAAATTTAATTTGCAACCAAAGACCAATAAAAACGTAAAAGTACATAAAAAAAATAAGAAAAAACAACCTTAATCTAAGATAAATATTAGTAAAAATGGACAAACACCACATATAATAGAGAAGTAGTAAAAACAACACCAGATCTAATTGAAAATATTAAAAGGAAACATTATAAAAAAAAAAAAAATTATTCCACAGATGGCGACAGCAATGAAAAAAACTTAATAGCTTTTCAAAATTCTAAAAAGAAAAAATTTAAGAGAATCGGAAAAGGAAGGATTAAAAGATTATTGATCTTTTTATTATAAAAATGGATTTCATAAGTATAAATTATTGATCTCTTGTCATGAAAATATATGCCACATATAAATTTTTTTTCTGTACAATATTTTTTTCCTAAAAAAAAGAGTTTCACACTCCTAACTTAATTTCTTTTAGCATAGCAAAACTAATCAATAGTTCTTAGGGTTCAAAAAACTATACATAAAATTCGTATATTTTTAAATCTTATTTTCAAATTTTTTCATTTAAAAAAATAAAAAAAGAAGTAGATAAGATGTAAATACTAGCAAGAATTTATTTTTGAAATAATGTTTTGTTTAAAACTTTTCATAATATATATATATATATATTATGACATTTGATAAACGAGTAAAGTGAAAAATATGATGACAACATGAAGGTGAAGATAAAGATATAGATGGTAGTTACGACAGTAAGAACATCTCCAATGCTCTCTTTATATTAAGATTTTTCTTTATAATAAAGAGGTTTGGTCCAAATTTTATCTCCAATGCTCTTTATCACAATCTCCATATTTAAAATTGAGATACAAAGTGTTTTTGCCTCTCCAATACAAGAGAGTGCAAATGACTTTTTATCTTATATTTCATTAATGAAAATTACTATTTTCTATGCCACTTCTTCTTCATCAATAATCTCTCCGGGTTTCATGGATTTTGTCAAAATAAAGAGTTAAAGTAGAGAGTAACATTGCGAGAGGATATTGATTTTCAATCTATATAATTAATGATGCTTTCTATTTATATTAAAAATGTTAATTAAAAGTAAAGAACATCATTGGAGATGCTCTAAGAGCATCTCCAATGGTGCTCTTTACTTTTAACTAGCATTTTTAATGTAAAATAGAGAGTATCATTGGAGATGCTCTAAGAGCATCTCCAATGATGCTCTTTACTTTTAACTATCATTTTTAATGTAAATAGAGAGTATCATTAATTATATAGATAGAATATCAATATCCTCTCTAATGCTACTCTCTATTTAACTCTTTATTTTGACAAAATCTATAAAACTCATAGAGACTATTGGTGAAGAGGTTGAGTGGCATTGGAAATAGTAATTTTCATTAATAAAATATAAGATAAAGAGTCATTTAGACTCTCTAGTATTGGAGAGCCAAAGACACTCTTTATACTAATTTTAAAGATAAAGATTATGATAAAGAGAGCATTGGAGATGAAATTTGGATCAAAACTCTTTATTATAAAGAAAAATCTTAATATAAAGAGAGCATTGGAGATGCTCTAAGGATAAAGATTGTGAGAGTAATAATGGAAAGAATTACATAACATCATGAGTGAATTATTATCTTTAAAATATTTTATGGAATTTTATAAATTTAAAATATTTTTTTAACATATGAACTAACTTTAAATGTTTACAACAAAATAATTTACATCGATTAGTTTATTGTAAATAAATTTTATGTAAAACTGTATAAAATTGAACATTTACATTTTTAATTATTTTTAATTGTAAATATATTTATTTTAAAATATTTTCAATATAAGAATAGAAACACATTAAAATCAAGAAAATATTTGATACTACATTTATTAATTAATTTATTTTGATAAATACAATAATTAAGTTTTTAAGTTAACTTTACCTGCCTTTTTCGTATATAAACCGACCCCCGCCACTGTCTTTCTCAGCCCCTCTCTTTCAATCACTGATTCCGGAAAACCTGGAAAGCCAAACCAGAACACAGCGTCACCGAGTATAAACCAGCTGCTGCGGTGGCTCGTGCTCTCGCTCACCAAATGGGCCAATCATCTTCTATCACGAATGATCGGACCAACAGATTTTTAACCCCAGCGATAATCTCACCTGAACCATCAGATTTCACCGACGAAATCGAAGTCGGTCCTCTTAGAGACTACACGGAGGACATACCAGACGAGTGTTTAGCTTCCATATTCCAACTTCTCAACGCCGGTGACCGCAAACGCGCCTCTGTTGTCTGCAAACGATGGTTACGCGTCGATGGTCAAAGCCGGTGCAGGCTTTCATTGAATGCGGAATCGGAGATTATTTCTTATATACCTTCGATTTTTACTCGGTTCGATTCGGTTGCTAAACTATCTCTCCGGTGTGATCGGAAATCTGCTAGCTTAAACGATGAGGCGTTGCTGATGATTTCTATCCGATGCGAGAATCTCACACGACTTAAGCTCCGTGGGTGCTGTGGAGTAACAGAGTTAGGTATAGCTAATTTTGCTAAAAATTGTAAGAAGTTAACGAAATTTTCGTGCTGTTCGTGCAATTTTGGTGTCAAAGGAATCAATTGGATTTTAAAGTATGGTACTAATCTTGAGGAGTTGACTGTTAATCGGCTTAGAAGTGGCAATGATTGGGATGATTTGATCATTCCGGGCGCGGCCGCTTCGAGTTTAAAATCGATTTGTTTGAAGGACTTAGTTGATGGTCAATGCTTTGAACCGCTTCTGGTTGAAAGTAAAAAACTAATGACGTTGAAAGTGATTCGTTGTTTAGGTGAATGGGATAATGCTCTTGTAAAAATTGGGAATGGAAATGGGTTTTTGACTGATGTTCATTTAGAGAGGTTACAAGTGAGTGATATTGGACTCTCGGCGATTTCAAAATGTGTAAATATAGATAGTTTGCGTATTGTGAAGAATCCTGGGTGTTCGGATTTAGGGCTTGTTTCTGTGGCGGAGAATTGTAAGAAGTTGAGGAAGCTTCATATTGATGGGTGGAAGATTAATCGGATAGGAGATGAGGGTTTAATTGCTGTAGCAAAACAGTGTCCGGAGTTACAAGAGCTTGTTTTGATTGGTGTCCATGTTACACATTTGAGTATGGCAGCAATTGCTTCTAATTGTCAGAGATTGGAGCGATTGGCATTATGTAGGAGTGGAACTATCGGTGATGTGGAGATTGAGTGCGTTGCAGCGAAATGTGTGGAATTAAGGAAGCTTTGTATCAAGGGGTGTGCTATTTCTGATGTTGCAATTGGAGCACTTGCTTGGGGATGTCCGAATTTGGTTAAGGTCAAGGTCAAGAAATGCACAGGAGTTAGTAGTGAAGTTTTGGATTGGTTGGTACAGTGCAAAGGGTCTCGCACTCTAACTCACTGAAAACCCACGAAGATTGTCTCCATCCTAGCTTGATCAAGATCAAAATTCTAAAAGAGAAAAAACAGAAAGGTTAATACTTTTATTTTGATAATATATGATTATGTGATACATTGATATAGGTTGTGCATGTGTAAAGTAGTGTGTCCTGGGGTTTGCAATGAAAAAATGGGGCTTTTTTAATGTTTCTCGAGATTTATATTTCTTTTGTTGTTGGCAGTTGTGAATTTGTTCTTCATTCGTTTATTTGGTAGAATGTGTTGGACTGATGTTCAATGTGTGTTGCAAGCAATTATATGTTTTAATATCTCTGTTTTGTTTGTCATGTTTTCTTAAACAGGTTTTTGTTAGAAGATTTTGGTGGGTTTGGAATTCATGTCACTGCAGAAGATCTTTTGGAATACTTGGAAAAAGAGATTGGACCTGTTAGAAGTGTAGATTGAAGACGTCATGGACCCCTCCTGAATCCTATCCTAACTTTGAGATTTCTGGCATCAGAAAGATCAAAAGAGTAGTATCAGTCCTCCCGGGAAAGTTGTTGCCATGCCTTCACGTTTGAAACACAAAATGTACCCAGATTTTATGGGGAAAGAGATGTGTCAGTCCTACATGTCAAAGAAAGTTTTGGGAAGGCTATATCGCCTGATAAAAGATGCTTATGATGAAGATTTTGGCTGCATTTTCTGACCTTAAATTTGTTCCTGATGATATCCCTTATGATTCTTATCTTGAAGTTGTGGGATCTACTGATTATATCAGTGATTCGTGGGATCAAAGGTGCTCCCATGATGGGCAGTTGAATAGCCTTCGTGCACGGTAGAAATTGAAGAGGGAAGAAGAGGTTGTAACAGGGCACATATGGTCTATGCCTAAGTACAGCAGCCAGAAGCAAGGGGAGCTGAAAGAGAGGCCTTAACATTCTTACAATTGTTTAAAGAAAGAATTCAGGCAAGTCTTTGATAAGATGGATTTAGACTTTGAGAAACTCTAGGATGATGAAAATAACAAGCTTTATGAGCGGAAGGCTTCAGCTTGGTGTCTGGTTTCCTACCATCCTCATTGGGTGAAGAAGTCGCTGGAGTTACAAGATGCAGATGGTTCTGGTATTTCGTCCATGCTGAGCTTTGCTTGGATTGCAGCTGATTACCTTGCTCGGATCAAGATTCAGCATAGGGGAACGAAGACGTTTACGCTGCTAAGCCTGTAAACTCACTAGCCAAGTATCTTGGTGATACGATGTGACCAGCATCTGAATTCGTTACCGAGTTATGTTTTGTGGCCATCGTATTTTTTTACTGCAAGGCCACTCTGCCATAATATTGTTAATAGTAAACTGTCTTGTGCTTTTGTTATATAAGATGCTGTATTTTGAACCAGTATTATTGTTAATAGTGTTCCTATATGGCAATAATAGTCTTTTCAGTTGGTTTCCCTGACCTGGTGGTTTTATCTCCTAAGATCAGGCCAGAAAGTTTGGTTGTCATTTTTTCTCTAGGCATGAATATTTTGCTCCAGAAAGTGATGTTGATTCAGTGCACAATGTGCAGCAGTAGGATTAATAGTAAACTGCTTCCATATGGCTTTTAGGGTTCCTGTGGCCATCACGAGCGGTGTCTGGTTTCAATGGAGCTAGTTTTAATTAGAGAAACTTGTATTTTTCACAAGTTCATATTGCATGTGATGTGGATTGCTGTTGTTTAAAAAGTTGGTAACCTGCAGGAAACCAGGAACAACTTCATCATACTAGTACGAACCAAGAGAAGGATTTACCAGTTCTCTTTTATGGATGGTTGGATCTGCATGGCTATTGCTCTGCTCCATACTGAGATATCGAGCACGAAGAGAATTTCGCCAAATGGTCAATGTATAGCGTGGCTCTTCTTGCTTGTCATGTTCTATACAACTGTTTTGAATCAGGACTGGTAGTGCTCTTGATGCAGAGATCGGAAGGATGCGCAGTCAGTGTATCGGCAAAGGCCAAACCTAAGGAGGCAGATCAGTTACTAATTGTGAATTGATGCTGAAGGGTGGTGGGATGGGAAGTCAAAAACTAGAAATTTCACTTTTTATTACACAATGATCTTTTGTCCAACAAATCAGGACAGACCAATCGAGCATTATATTATTTCTCCGTTGTGCTTTTATGTTTCCAAGTTTCAAACTTCAATAGAAACCTTTTGCTGGTTCAGACTCCAGGGCGATGAAAACAACTGAGATGGCATCAAGCAGTCCAATCGGGTTTCAGATTAAACAGGAGTGGGAGGCTTTAAGCTAATCAGCCTGTTGATCCTTTCTTTCTCTGTGTTCTCCAGGACAACCTTTAAACAGAAACATTTCAGTGGCAAAATCAAGAACACACATAACATTGTCTTGCAATTATACGGTATATCTTTAAAGAGTAGGAGAGAAAATCATTACCTTCCAAACAATTTCATCCAGACATAAACAAATCCTTCCATACTTGTCGAGAAACAACCTCTCAGTTGGAGGTTTTTGGCATACATCCCTGATTGATGTAGTAATGATAAAGATCACTTCAGCCACTAGAAGAAACCAAACCCACCATTAGTAAAAGTAGAACTTTTTCTGAGCCAAATAAAAAATCCAATGACATTTTTAACTAAAGGAGGAGTTGCTTTGATTGGAATGCAGGATATATATATATATATATATATATATTTTTTTTTCTTTGGTAACATTGTTTTTTCATATCCTATCCAAAGGTACCAATCTTATCTCTCTCTCTCTCTCTCTCTCTCTCTTTTTCAATATTAAACAGGATAATTCAATCTCATTCACGTATATTCAATAAATAAAAATGATGTTTCAGAGTCATGACAAATGCGATTGTGCTTTGCATTTTCTTACATCCAATGCTAAAATGTACTTACAAGCAAGTTCATCGTACTCATCTTTGCCAACAACATAAAGATAAACATCTCCAATCATAGTATAAACAACATAAACCGATCTGATCAAAATTAAAACCAAAAAAAAAAAAAAATCAGTAAGAACATGTATAAAAGAGGCCTTTCCAAGAATAATTTAAGGAATATATATATATATATATATATATATATCTCTTGTTAACATACTTGTGTGAAGCCACAAATAGCTCTTCATTTCTTGCGCCTTTAAGATTGTCAGCACCCAATTTAACTAAAAAACATCTCCAATGTGATCTTTCCTCAGCTGGAACTCCATTAAATCTGCAATTTAATTATGCTTAGAGAGATCTACTTTTAACATTAATAAAATAGCAACAAATCTTATTTCCCACGTGAAGCCAGAGTGGGTTGAATCTAACCAAAAAAACCCATGTCATAAATTAAATTTGATAAAAAAAAAAGCAGTGAATTTATGGTTTTGTTTACAGAGATCTGCATTTATCACTACTTGTTCGATGAAATTACTGAGTGAAATAAATAAATAATGTGACCTTCACAGCACAGATGAGAATATACAAGCTTATGTACATTGAAAAACGGTACCGTTCAGTAAGAATGTTTCCCTCGGAATTGGAGATGAGAACGGCCAGCAACATTTCTGTTTTGAATTATTTCTCTGTTTTGTTTCCGTTTTGCTTTTTGTTTTCTGTTTTCTAACTTCTCTTTTTTCATTTTTTTTAAGGGTTAAAAAGATTTTTTTCCCTTCCAGATGTCAATTTGCTAAATTTAAGCTATTTTCTTTTCCTGTAGTTGTTATCTAGACGAAAACTTATAAATGTAAACATATCTTAATCGATTTAATTTCAATGGATAGGTTACGTAATTAAAAAAAATTGCTTCATGTTTTGATTTTTTATCTAGAATCTAAGAATTAAGATCCAAAAAATTATTTATCTAAATGATCCACTCCAATTTAAAAAATGCATTATTAATATCACTAGGGAAAGATATATAATTTATGTTTATGCATTTAAAGATAATTTTTGTTAATAAAAAAATTTATTTTTAATGAAAAGAGTTTTACTTGTTTAAATAAGTGATCTTAATTTTGAATTTTTATGTATGTATAAAAAATTTTAGATAGCCGTGTTTATTTTATATATTCAATTGAATAACGATAAATTAATCTGAATATTTAAATTCAGAATACAAAGGGAAAAAAAAAAAAAGAAAAGAAAAGAAAAGAAAAGAAGAAGAAGAAGATAACTTTTGCTGAGGGATAAAAATTCAGAACTTAATCGACTTGCAGACAATTATGACGGGATATTTGGGCCTTTGGCCCAACTAGCTCACCCATTTATCCTAACACAAGACATTTTAGACCATTGCAAGCCTCATAAGGACTGAATCAATTTAGAATTTTGCATGATCACTAAAAGAGAATTTCCCTTTTTTTTTTCTCTCTCTCTCTTTTTTTTTTTTTTTTTGAAAAAAAACACCTTTTAAGAGGTAATTTCTATGCATGGATCATTAAATCACCATAGAAATTTTATTTTTACTAGTTCATAGGGTGCGTACTAAATAATTTCTCTCTCTTTTTTTTTTTTATTCCAATTCTTTTTAATAGGAAATCTCAAATGCAATCAAGGACTTAGGAAATGTGAAAACAAAATCCCATGTCAATTAAGGTTTGAGTATGGAATGCTAGTTTAGTTTGTGTTGAATTTTTTTAATCAATATTGAAAAGAAATATTCTTCTTTAAAGTGTTTACATGGATGAGCTTTTTGTAATGTAATAGTTTAAATGAGTGCAATAGTGGCAGATGTGACTGTTAGAATTAAAATAAATAGCAACTGTTCGTTTAATTCAAAATCATTTTGAGTTAATTTTTAAAATAGTTTAATTCAAAATTTTAACTATTTTATTGACAATCCTATAGTTTTATTTTATTATTATTTCTAATTTAATAAATAAATAGATTTTTTTACAAAGAGAATACACATTTATAATAAAAATATTTTTGAATTTTCAAAATTAGTTTAATTATTGGTAGATGTATTTTCTTTATGTGTTTTTTTTTATTCTTTTAAAAATTTCAGTGGTTGTATATATTTTGAAGATGTTATTTATGCATGAAATAAATAAATAAATACCTCAAAGACAGTATTTCTCACGTCTCTAAACCATTTTTTTTCCCTTTCTGATTCTTTGTCCATGTCAAATTAGTCAAACATAAAAATCCAAGAACAATGTTTCGATAGTTAACATCATACCATGCTTGCAGCACACTTGTGTAATAGACTAATAGTGTCAAAGACGCATGGATTAAGGTTGAAATTTGAGCTGACAACGGACCGATTTGGACGACTCATATGGTCTGCATTTGTCTTATATAGAATTTTTGTAATTAATCAATCTCTTAATTAAAGTGCTTTCACACAAAAAATATTCATTCAGGGTATTGCTCGGAAGTCAAATCCATAAGGAAGCAAGAGTTTGCAATTAAAAATGAGTTCCCATCATCATTATTTTCCGAATATTTCTAAGGAAAAAAAAAGGTCTTTCAACAACATCAATGATGTCCCAGCATGTATCCTCTTTCAAAATCTTTTCTCCTTAGTATGAATATCTTATATCTTGATTCTAAAATATGTGGGTGAGAATTCCTTATAAATATTTGCTTATGTAAATTAATTACTTAATATTTTTTTAATTAAATGCATGATATATCGCCATTTTATTCACCAAAAGCATATACTCACCAACAAAAATGATATGCCCTACTAGCTTAATTGCGTCATAAATAGTGAGGGGACTTGTCGATAAGAATTTGGAGAAGGATTGACGGAGAACCATCAATTATCTCACTATATATTATTGCAAAATACAAGTCTACATCGATGGCTTGTTTCTCAATTTATTGATACTCACCCACCCATTTTACATTGAAAACCCTAACAAGTAACAAAGTTATAGTAGTCTTTTTTGTTGCCGGCAAGACGAGATAGCAAACTAACCACCGGCAAGAGTAGCAGTCCTTTGTTGTTGCCGGCAAGAGGAGATAGCACACTACTAGCCACCGGCAAGAGTAGCAGTCCTTTGATATTAAGATTTTAGATCGATGCATGTTCGTTAAAAAATTCCAAGTAGATAAGTTTTGGATAAAAAAAGAAAAGAAAATGAGAAATTTTATAATACATCGAGAGTAACTAATAACATGTATAATAGTTACTCCATTAGCTCACTTTAAGGAAAGATATAGACATACAAAAAAAGAAAAAGAGAAACAAGAGAGAGAAAATAAAAAATTTTGAGCGGACGTGGAAATCTTCTTAATACTTTTGATGGATATAGATGTAATTTTTATTTTTTTATGTGTCTATCTCTCTCCTCAAAATGGACTCATAGAAGTAACTACCGTATATGTCACTAGTTAAAATTTCTCAAAGAAAATACTTGATGTGGTAATTATGCTTAAATAATTTTTATGTTTTAATTATTAAACAAATTCACACACTCATATATATAATGCATGAGATCTCCATTCTGATTGATACATAGGTAAATAAATTATGTATAACAATTATATAAAAATAACAATATTTCACTGTTGCAAGGCATATAGCATTCATTTATGATTTTCCAACCACTTACGAGCTGCCCCTTCCTATTGTCAAATTCATCTTTATTGCTTTGTTAGAACTTTTGGGGTACCTTGTCATGATTCAAGTGTGAAATTAATTTAGTCCACATGACTTTGATCATATGAAAGAGAGAAACTTCTTTTATATATATGTGTGTGCGTGGATTAATTTTTTTTTCTTTCTTCAATTTGCTGAATTATTTGATGGGAATCCCACTAATTAGTTCTTCAATTTTCTATAACAATTTCTCCATATATGATTATGGAAATAAATTTCTAAAATAGATTTTTTTGTTTTTCATGAATGGAAAGAGATCAAAATTTTTAGGAGCCTTGCATCTATGAATATTTGAGTTATAAGTGATACTCTGCCTCTATAGGCAATAGCCAGCGCGTAAATGCCTTAAACACCATCCCATAAAAAAATAATAATAATAAATTGAACCTCATGAACCTCATGTAAATTATAAATTAATCCTTCTAGTTTTGAAATTAATTAATTTTTTATTTCAAAAATTAATTATTTAGTCATTTAACTAATGTTATCCATATTTAATTTAATATTATTTTATTATAAAAATATTTTTTTCATTAAATTTTTTTTCTAATTTTTTATATGTATATAAAATAGATAAAAAAAACAACTAAATAACTATGTTTTTTTAAAGAAGGATTAAGTAATTTATTTTTCAAAACTAAAAAAAACTTATTTATAATTTACTTCTCAATCGTAAGAAGTAAAATTCTTTTACATGGATGATCAGGTTGGACAAATAAACTTTATTTTATGAGTATATATATGCAAAAACTAACATTAAAATAACAAATTAACTTTATTTTATGAGAGTTAAACTAAACTTATTAATTTGTATTAATTTCGTCTATCTTAAATTTCTATTGCCTCTTTACATATATATATTCTGTTGACTGGATTTCTCTTTCAAATACACAATATTAATTGGAGTATTGTCACTATCTAATTTATATTTTTTCCTTATAATTTTCCCGTGGTATCAGTAGTAATTAATCTTTGTCTAATCAAAACTTCTCTGTCCATTGATGGTATGGGCTTAAAGTTCTAATTATTGGTGCATTAGTTTCCCAATGATGACCCCAAATTAATAGGGACATCTACATGCATATTGGCATATTGCTATATATACGTGAGTAAAAACTCTAGGTTGCTTCAAGTGCTCGTTCGCTATGTATCTTTAAATTAGCTCAAGCTAGGCCTTAATTATGTAAATATTAAAAAAACCCCTAAATTTTAATTCCCTAAATCACAATTGAACCATGCCCTAGCTAAACATTCTTGTATCAAAATATTGAAAGATTTCTTAACCGAATTCGAGAACGTATTAGATTTTATATTTTCTTTGGATATATTTTTGTATTAGAACTACGTAAGTTATTTTAGGTTTAAAATCACTAAATCAAACTAGAATTGAGAGACTCGTTGGCCGCTTCGATATTTAAATCAATAAATATCTGTTTGGAAATTCAAATACCGTATATATAAATGTATTTTTTGTAATACTCTTTCTCTCCCCTCTTTCTTCTTCTTCTTTTATATGTCGATTCGTATAAGCTTGCTTGTTCCACAAATCTTTGTTTTGATTTCCTTATCATCCAAGTACATAGGTCTTTTTCAATATAGAGTAATACCATGATATCAGATTTATATATACTTAGCTTACGCCACCTCATTTATTCATTTATAGATTAAGTCGATGCATAAAATTTAAATAAACAAAATCATACGTGACTTATACATAAGCCAAGTTTTTTCAAATTAATCAATAAAGATGATAAAAAAATTATATATAATATAGCAACAACATGTTTCAATAGTTTAATTCCCATTAAAAAAAAAAAAAAGGATCGTTGTTGTCATTAGTTAAATCATAATATATGAGAAAACAAGCAAGAGCACACGTATATGTTTTTCTACAACTTAATTTTCACAATTACGTGTTTAAATACTTACATTTTTATGACTAAATTGGCACACCTATACACAAGTAGCAGATAGGTATGTATACCCCATGTCCCTCTCATCTAATTAAAACTCAAGCCACTATTAAAAAAAAAAAAAAAAAGATCTTATACATATATGTATTCCCTTTCCTCAAATATTGCTGCAAATGTAAATCACAGATCATTGTAAACACCATTGAATTCTCCATGTTGGCCTCATTCTCCTTGCACATCAGGCAAACTGGCTTTATGTACGCTCCACAAGGTATAACACCTAGGCTTGTGGCCCTGAATTAACACAACTTGCATTGAAAAATTGTGCTAGCTATAGGGTTTAAAGCAAGTTCTTATTGGTTTGTACAATATTTTCCATTCACCAATCACAAAGACTAAATTCCTAAAGCCATGAAGATTATGAGGTGGGATTCTATGATTGGCAGCGATATACATACATACATACATATATATATATATATATATATACATACATACATACATATATATATATATATATATGAGGAAATTGGAAGATGTATATATGAAGTGATTTGAAAGATGGGATTCACATGCTAGCCAGCAACTATATATGTAGGACATGGACAAGGGCCAAGGAATGAAGATCCAATATTATCTAAACCCCACAAGGAATTGAGGTTTAATTAAGGTCAATTCCAATTAAGCAGCTCTTCTATCATTTGCATAGTAATTTGATCCTCCTCTTCCGTACCATTTTCAGGTCCAATCTCAACTGTTGGTGACGACTCTGATGACAATGAAGGTCCTTCCTCCATAACTTGTGTACTCTTCTTATTGTTATTTCCAAGCTCAACCCTCATGACCCAACTTGAGCTTGAACGAGAACCAGCCTTCTTTTGCCACACGCCAATATGGGAGTTATCATTGTCGAGCCTTAGACAGGTGAGTGAAGGAGAAGGTCCTTTGCCACAACACTTTCTCAGCTTTGAGTTGAGAAGCTCACTCAGTGCCTTGGCAGGCAAGGGAGAGTTGCTATCTTTGCCAAGCTTTGTGTCTTGATCAAGGTGACTTGTTGGGAAATTGGTCTTGGCATTTTGTCCATTCATCAATATAGCTGCTTGATCATATGCTCTTGCTGCTGCCTCAGCTGTCTCAAATGTCCCTAGCCATACCCTTCTCTTCCTACACACAAACATTAAAGAATCAAGAACCAAAAAACATTGAAATCATATCCCTAGCCAACCCATATCACACACTCTTCTCTCTACATTAAAGAGAAATGCAAAAGAGAATGAGGGATCGTAAACAATAAGAGATCAAGCCAGAATATGATAATGTGGCTAGTAGCTAGCTAGGTATATACACACACACACATAGTTTTATACCCCAAGTTCTTTATATTTCCTGACGGAGGTAGATAATCTTATTAATGAAGTGAGAGGATGAGGCTTACAGTAAAGGGTGGCGAATTTCGGACACCCAAGAGCCCCACTGGCGTTGCCTGACACCTCTGAATTTCCTTGACAGTACCATGGTTTAGGAGAGAGAATTTAGAAAAACATAGCAGAGATCATAATGATAATGCGAGTGAATGAGCTTGAGAAGAGGTAATGAAAAGTGAAGAATGTACTAAATATGTAGACAAATTTATGTGAATTGTCGGTGAATTGGATGGGAAAAGTCTAAAGTTGCAATAAAGATTTCACCTACACGAGTATCGGCTATACGGAAATCAAACCTTTGGCTAGTTTCATAATAAATGATAACATCTGCTCATTGCTTTTCCCCAGCAAAAAAAGATAACGAAGTAACTCCTAACATGTGCTACCAATCAAAACCATAAGAGCCAAGGATCTTCCATATATGTCTACATCGTATTTTGTATGTCCACATGCTTGTACACAAATGTTCATTGTATTTACTAAAACGAAAATTATACTATTAAAATACGGGTTCATAAGAATAAAAATTGTCTCATCGATTGGTTGATATAATGAATTTGCTGTATTATAATTATCGAGATCTTCTTGTCTCTGGATGCTTCATAGGAATCCATCGTTATTCCTTTCCTCCATCGAGAAAGGTTCATTTATTGTAATTAATTCGTGTAATGTAATTGGTTTAACTTGTATGAATCTTGTAACAATTTATTTTATTGAAAATAACATTGTTTTATGAATAAATAGGTAAATTTATTTTTATATAATAATCTAAGTCTCTAATCTATCTTTATATTTCTAATTATATTTATTATATTTCTAAATAATATTTAAATCTCTAATTTATTTTTTTAATTAATTTTCCGACAATGAGCAAAAATTTTAATTGAAATGCAAAAAAAAAAAAAAATTCTATGGACTTAAAAAATTGAACATGCACGTCATGTGATTTTAAGGTTATTATTATTATTATTATTATTTATTGCATTTAATCAAGGGTATTTTGATTAAAAAAAAAATTGGTTAGAAAAATTGATTAAGAAAATTAATTGAAAATTTAAATATTATATAGAGAAATAATAGATACAATTAGAAATAATAGACATATATCTCCTCCGAGAAATTTTAATCGAAATGCTTTTAATTGAAATGCAAAAAAAAAAAAAATTCTATAGACTTAAAAAATTGAACATGCACGTCATGTGATTTTAAGGTTATTATTATTATTATTATTATTATTATTATTATTTATCGCATTTAATCAAGGGTATTTTGATTTAAAAAAAATTGATTAGAAAAATTGATTAAGAAAATAGATTAAAAATTTAAATATTATATAGAGAAATAATAGATACAATTAAAAATATCAAAACTGATTGAAAACTTAAACTATTATATGAAGATAAATTTAGCTATTTATTTTTATTTTATACCCATGAAGTGATTTAGTTTTATACTTATACATGAAAAGTTAATTGCTTGGATGCTACATTAACTGAAAGTGTACGTATATGCTAGGATTTATGAGATGTATTTTACAAAATTATCTAGATTTTATGACATAATCCATATTTGCTTTTATAATGGTCTAATACATATATTTTAAAGAAAATCTTTATGTCATAAGTTATTGAAATATTTTTTATTTACACGAGACGAAGATGTGTGTGCCCATTTAATTGGCCCAATTTGAATTTTTTATAAATGTACAAATCATAAAAAAAAGTTTCTAGGAAGCATATAAAAATCCCAAAGCATCAAGATGACGCACAGATTTTGTGAGGCAACTATTCCTGAAAAGCAAGCACCCCATTAATTGGTGCCCTCCTTTTCGTTTTTCTTTTCCATTTTTTGCTAGAAAAAATAGCGCAGATCATGGCCTTTTTAATGACAAATTACATAATCTAGACTGGTATATCAAAATACAGTAAATTTGTATTTTATTAGTCTTTTATTATTTTCAGATTAACTTTTTCATATATATATATATATATATATAGGTCATCCTAACATGACATAATTGATGTATTTACAACGAAAAAAAAACTTTTTATAACTTCTTTTTAAATTTGAACCCATATAACAAGATAAATTTATATGCTATTACCTTAAAGTGTTGTTTGGTAATAGGAATAGAGTGGTGAAAATGAGAATTAAAGTTTTATTATCACGTTAGTAAGTTGTTTGATTGAAAAAAAAATGAAATGAGAATGGAAATGAAGAATAGAAATAAGAATGAAAATTACACATAACTTCATTCCCATTTAAAATGTGTCGAATAAAAACAAAGAATGAGAATAATTTTTTTCTCAAAATAATAATATATTTTATTTATTTATTGTCTATTAAATATTTATACCACCACTTGAACCATTACAACCACCACTATCATCATCACAACCACTAACATAACTATAACTACCATTACCACCATCATCTTTATTATTTTTACAATCATTATAATTTACTAAAAAAATTTTTTTAATTATTATTTTTATTTAAATAAAAAATCAGATATTAAAAAATTTAAATTATATTTTAATTCTTTATTAATATTTCAAATACAATATAAAAATATAAATACATTTGATTTCTTAATTTTCATTCTAGAACTTTTATTACTAGTAACCAACGACAAAACTTAAATTTTATGTACTATATATATATATTAAATGCTTATGCATTCTTTCAACCAGAGCCAGCAGCATTTCCATAAAATGTTGGCCACAAAATCATCGTGTGGTGTCCAACCTTTTTAACATTTTTGTCTGTAAAGGCTCTAAATAAAGTCAAAGGAACTTGGAAAATAATCCATGTATACATGCAGGTATTCATTTGTTTTTACTTTGTTTCAATCTTTTCTTTTTGTACATCAAAATGACGATTTTAAAAACGCACTCCTATAATTACTTGACGTATTTTGAAGAATTTTGAATATTATTTTCAAAATTCAAACTCAATATATATATATATTCAACTTAATCATCAAACCTACCGACTGAAATTACTTCCTTTCAACGTACACAAGTATCTATCAAACATGAACAATGTGGGATGACTTTGGTGCTTGAGAGTTGAAACAAATCCAATATGATTTCACCTAGCCGTGCCGAAGGAATAAATTGATGAAGCAGCAGCTGGCTTAATTAATTCAGTTAACTTTTAATAATCGGTGCAGTAGTTTAACATAAAAATTAATATGTGGAAGAGGACCAAGTCCTCTTTTTTTGTCTTGTAACCATGATTGTGTCTTTATAAAATACCAAAGAAAGAAAAGATATTGGTGTGGTTGAAACTTGCTGGATTTGCGTGCGAATATTGTCAAACATTATGGATAAGCATATTTATAAGGAAGCAATGTCGTGGTGCTTGTTCTTTGCTTCAATTAGCAACTGCTGTAACCATTAATGATCTGATCTGACCTAATCTGATCTGCTCTTTTCATCTGGTTGAATTTTGGTGGGCAATTGATCATTATTTTTGTTGCCATCCATCTTAACAAATGCCATTTCTGTATTTATAGCCCAGTCTAAAGTAATTGGATCAAATCTGGTAGGCTCATATGATCCTTATAAGCTTGGTTACTGCAGTCCACAAGCAAAAGCTGTCTACCCAATATGCGAAGCCCACTCATGAATAATTAGAAGTTAGTTTTATTTATTTATTTATCTATTTATGGTTTTGGTTTCAACTTTTGCACAAGAAAGTGAAAGAACTTGTAATTCCAATTCCATACACTTATAAATTATATGAAAATCAAATCCTGCCTAATCTTGAGGAGTAGTTTTATAAATAATTAGGTTTGCTATATTTCTTCATTTTTTTAGCTCAAATCTAAGATTAATATTCAAAAAAATTTATTTATTCGAATTAGACCCAAAAAAAAAAAAAAAAAAAACTTGTCATTTCTCTTCAAAACTCACACACAAACATATATATATATAAATGAAGTTACGTGGATTAAATAGTGTAAGATTGGCACCTATTGCAGAATGCCTTGCTTTATAAGCAGACAAAGGCGGGAATTGATTCTAACTTGAAATCCGTTGTCTATTGAGACATATATCTCTTCCTTGCTTGTGTTTCCTAAGAATGCATGAGATTCTAAGCTTCTTGTCTCCCTATTTATCGTCCAAAACCGGCATTCTCCGTACTATTACAATTCCCTTCAAATATTATTGTCAAGGGTGGTAATAAACTCCAACTCCAGGTACTGTACTGCCTCTCAAAAAAAAAAAAAAATCAAAATCGAAGTATTGAATTTCATAGTTTCTAACATTAATTGCAATAATTTCTAACTCTGCAGTTTCTCGAAGAAACTGGGAAATCCTAACCATGTTCTTGTGTTTTGGATTAGGCATACAAGTTGTTGTTTCTGAGTGATTCTTGAAGTGGAAAAGGTGAAAATGACACCACGTTTGCTTCATGGAACACTTGATGCAACAATATTCGAGGTTGACAGGCTGCATTATGGATGTGGATTCAATTTATTGATGGTAAGTATCATGAGGTTTTACAAATTTTTACCTCTTTTATCTTTCATAATTAGCTTTATGGAGAAATATTGATTTTTCTGTGTCAAATTTCAAACATTAAATTACATTTATTTATTTATTGGATGAAGTTGTATGTAACATTAAATTAAGAGATTAGATTCGTATAGTTGGGGAATTAGGATTTAGGTGTGCCCATATAAAATATGATCTGAAAATAAAATAAATAAATAAAGGTTAGGAAATAATAAATAGTTCTTTGGAGGGGTAAAATACATAATTCTAATGAAATAAACTTTAAATTCAAGGGTGTATTTAAAAAACTATTAAAATTTTAGGACTAAAATGAAAATTTTGTCAAATTTTAGGTGTCAAAATAAATAGTGCTTTTTACTTCAAACCTTAAATTTATAAAATTTGATGAAATTACTTTGAAGATATTTTAGCAAAATCAAACGAAAGAGCATATTAGAGATAATAATAATCTGTTCATGTGAAATAAAGAAAAGGATATAGATGAAGGACCAATCAAGCTTTGAATAATTTTAGAAGACAATCCTCAGCCCAACACATCTGAAACCTCAAAAACACATGACAAATGGCTATGGGAGAGAAGGCAAAATCTAAGGACACGTAGAACCTGGAAGCTTATGGCCTCAGAGTATAAAATGGGTTAGCCCAAAAAAAAATTAAATGGTGAATCTGGATATAGACAAAATTTGATCCAGATTTATATGAATTTAAGCTGTACTGTATAGCTCAAAATCCAAATTATTTAGATTTTTTTTTTTTTGTTAAATGGGTCAAATATCTATGAATTTTTATCGATATAAAAATTAGTTATTAAATTTTTAATTTTGGTTTGATTTTTCTTGAATTTTTTTTTTAAATTTATTCCATCATTCAATTTTATATATAAAAAATAACAGTCAAGTATATAGTCCATGATGGAAACAATTCAATAAAATTTATTTGTAGCTTTCTAAAAAATTTGAGGTGATTCGAATTATTTTCTATTTTTCTTGATTTTTTACATTTTTAATAATTAAAAAATAAAAAATATTTTTTTTTCACCTTGAAAAATTGTGAGATTTTTTCGAAAAATAAATTGGATTTTTCTCAACAAATATGCAAAATGAGAGTTCAAAATATTAAGAATTGAAAATTTTTTTTTTCAGAGAGGGAATCATTAGCTAGAAATTATATGTAGACAGAATTTAAAAAAAAAGAGTTTAGAAAAGGTTAAACTCAAAAATTAAAGTTTAGAAACTGATTTTTCAAATAATTTAGAGTTTACGAGAGATAGGACCTATCTAACTTAATTTTTTATGCTTCAAGAAATTTTTTGGTTTGGGCCGAAATCAAACCTTCGTACATAAACTTTTCTTTTCAGCTTCTTTTTATATGCTCCTAGATTTTTTTTGAATGTGAATTATGCCGGCCTTTCTAGTTTCAATCAGTGAGTCTGTGATTTATGAGACAAGTCAAGCATTAATGGTCATATAAAGGTTATCACTTAGATGATCTGCCTTTGATCCCTATGGATATCACCTAACGGTAAAATAAAAGGATAGACGAAAAAGGTTGATGAAGTAGATAAAAGAGATAGGGATACCAAAATCTATAAAAACATGAGGGCATGCATATTTAGCCTTCATCCTTGACAGAAACAAAGTGGCGAGTGAGGTTCTTGATGCTAATGTGAAATTATTATAGTGTTGCTTCTCTTGAAATTCGTTAACCATCCTATGTTCTTAACTTAGAAATATAATTTAACTTGAGAGAGTTTTTAGTAAGACAACACGAGAAAAGAATGGAGTTTTTTTCTACTGAGTTGCTCATTGTTTTCTTCTTTAATTCCATGTAGTAGTAGCTGATTAGAGCTGGTAAAACTTTAGTTTACAGAATGGAAAACATATCAGTTGCTTTAGATGAGATTGAATTGGAGTTTATGTGGGTGTGGGTGAATCTTTTTGTGCTTTATGCCAATAGATAGTGTGTCTTGAATTCATGCCTAGCTTGAGTAAATGATTGCCAATGAGAACATAGGTGTGACGATTTCTAATGGCGTAAAAAACTAGTGCTATTGAATCTTTCATTGAGTTATTAAAAACCCCAGCTCTTTTTGTGGTATATTTGAGCCTGAAACAGTAAACAATCTACTGAAATATTTGGTCTCCATTGTTATTATTGCTATACTACTTTTCACTGCTTTGAGCCTGTTTCTGGGTTAGTTCAGTTACTAAGTCTGCTCTACTTGCAACATTTCATTTATCTGAATCGAAATGTCGAAAGGCGATAGATAGCTTTCGAAAATGTAGATGAGTCTTCAGTCCTGTATTCTTAGTTCAGGAAAAGAGTGCTCAAATACATCAGAAGTCATGCTTCGGTTCTCTTCTAGGTTTCCCATATGGAGAGTCTTTACATCATCTACAACTGTTATATTGTCAGGATCTTTGCATAAAAGTTTTCCTTCATGGAATTAAGATAGTTGATGGAATTTATTTATATTTGTAACATGAACTTGCCGATCTATTATCCCAAAAAATCTCTTTGAACTAACTCTTCTTACCATTGTGCTTTGTTTTTTCTTAAAATTTGGAGACTGAGGGGGATTTCGGAAGTTTGGGAAACGATGTCTAGCCACAATCAAAAGATCAATGTCTTGCCTATCAGAGGTATTCCTTTCTTCTTTTGCAGCAAAACAACCTCATTTTTTCTGAGAATTTTCAACTTTGTTATTTGTGAATTCTTGCTTGTGTTTTTAATTGGTTTGTAATATTTGGAACAGAGTGTTGTTGGTTCTAGACTCTATGCGACAGTTGATTTGGATAAGGCAAGAGTTGCAAGGACCAGAATGGTTGAAAATCAACCTCACAATCCCCGATGGAACGAGTCCTTCCATATATATTGTGCCCATTCAATCTCAGATATTGTGTTCACAATCAAAGATGACAATACTCTAGGGGCAACATTGATTGGAAGAGCTTATCTTCCAATTGAGGAGATTGCTAGGGGGTATAAAGTCGATCGGTGGGTCGACATACTAGATGAAGATCGCAAACCCATATCAGGAGGTTCTAAAGTCCATGTCAAGCTTCAATTCATTGATGTTAACCAAGACAGTAATTGGTCTAAAGGCATCAACAGTCTGCGATACAAAGGCGTTCCTTACGCGTTCTTCAATCAACGACAAGGTTGTCGAGTTACTTTATATCAAGATGCTCATGTTCCATACAATTTTTCCCCAAAGATTTCTTTGACAGGAAAGTTTTATGAAGCTCACAGATGCTGGGAGGACATCTTTGATGCCATCACTAATGCAAAACACCTGATTTACATAACCGGATGGTCTGTATTTACTGAAATAACTTTGATAAGGGATCCCAATAGGCCGAAGGCAGGAGGTGAACTCACACTTGGGGAGCTTCTTAAGAAGAAGGCTGAAGAAGGTGTGACAGTTCTTATGCTTGTTTGGGATGATCGAACTTCTGTCGAGGAATTTAAGAAAGATGGACTTATGGCAACCCATGATGAAGAAACTGAAAGGTACTTCAGGAACTCAAAGGTGCATTGCGTTTTATGCCCTCGTAATCCCGATGATGAAAGAAGCATAACTCAGGGCTTTCAAGTCTCCACCATGTTTACTCACCACCAGAAGTCAGTAGTTGTTGATTCTGAAATGCCTGGTATTGTATCACAAGAAAGGACGATTGTGAGTTTCATTGGAGGCATTGATCTTTGCGACGGGAGGTACGATACACAGGACCATCCCTTATTCAAGACTTTGAACTCAGTCCATCATGATGATTTCCATCAACCTAACTTTACAGGCTCCTCAATTAAGAAAGGTGGTCCGAGAGAACCTTGGCATGATATTCACTGCAAATTAGAGGGTCCTGTAGCTTGGGATGTCCTTTACAATTTTGAGCAAAGGTGGAAAAAGCAAGTTGGGGATAAATTTATAATCTCACAACAGCAGCTTGAAGAAGTTACAGTCGGCCCATCGCCAGCGTTGCAGCCAAACGATACTGAAACATGGAACGTTCAACTATTCCGTTCTATTGATGATGGAGCTGTTGTTGGCTTTCCCCAGGAACCTGACAAGGCAGCTGCTGTAGGCCTTGTTAGTGGGAAGGACAGCGTCATAGATCGAAGCATTCAAGATGCTTATATCAATGCCATTAGGAGGGCAAAGAACTTTATCTACATCGAAAATCAGTATTTCCTTGGAAGCTCATTTGGCTGGAAATCAACGGATATCAATGTCCCGGATATCGCCGCCTTACATCTTATACCGAAGGAGCTATCACTTAAGATAGTCAGTAAGATTGAGGCAGGAGAAAGGTTTGCTGTTTATATTGTGATCCCAATGTGGCCAGAAGGTATACCTGAGAGTGGTTCTGTTCAAGCAATATTAGATTGGCAGAGACGAACAATGGACATGATGTATTCTGATATTACTGAAGCTCTCATGAAAAAAGGACTCTACACAGATCCTAGGGAGTATTTGACATTTTTCTGTCTTGGAAACCGAGAGACAATGAAGATTGAAGAATATGTACCTCCAGAGACACCAGAGCTTGATTCTGATTATAGTAGAGCTCAGCAGGCCCGTCGCTTCATGATTTATGTTCATGCAAAGATGATGATAGGTAAGTCACGAGTCATGAACTATTCTTGCATCTTTCATTATTCTAAATTTATCGATGATTTTTCCTAATGTCATTCCGGTAGTGATAGAAAATGGAAATAGGATCTAACTTTGATAATCTTGTTACCTTTTCAGTTGATGATGAGTACATAATCATTGGATCCGCAAACATCAATCAAAGATCAATGGATGGTGCTAGAGATTCTGAGATTGCAATGGGAGGGTACCAACCACATCATTTGGCAACTAGTCAGCCAGCAAGGGGTGAGATATATGGATTTCGAGTGGCACTATGGTATGAGCATCTAGGACTGTTTGACCCTTCCTTCAAACACCCAGAAAATGTTCAATGTATCCAGCAAGTGAATCAAATTGCTAGTCAGAACTGGGAGAAATACGCTAGCGAAACTTTCGATCACGATCTGATTTCTCACCTGCTTAGGTATCCCATTGAAGTTGCTAACACTGGAGTTGTTACAACTTTACCAGGAGGGATTAAGCATTTCCCTGACACCAAGGCAAATGTCCTGGGCACCAAATCTGACTACCTTCCTCCAATCCTCACCACCTAGTTTCGGATTTAACCACGGTACATAACAATCAATCACATTTTCACAGTTATAACATCTCACTGGAGGCATTGCAACATTTTGTTCTTGTTCTGAACCTATCTTATGTTTCAATTTGCAGAATCTTGGTGATAATTTCTCATGCTCGGAAAGGTATACGAAGAAAGAAAGAAAAATAAAGACTAGGAAATCATGTAATGTGTGTATAATAATGTTATTCTGCCAGTGACTTCTTCCAGTTTATGATTTATCTAGTACAACAAATGAAAAGTTCAAGAACTTCAACACAAATTCCTGACAATGTAAAATCCCTTTAATCTGTCAACATGCGTGATCTATAATGTGTTAATGTTTTTCTTTTAGATTAATTACTAAATGCTTTTTTATATTACTGTTTTGTTGAATGAGAATAGGTTGCTTGAGCAGCTACTTGGCATGAGATTACAGCTACATTGCTCTTGATTCTGCAAAATATTATTGTGCCTAAAGTCCCTTTTCTTGTTACGGACTGAATTTCAATTGCTAGCATTCGTTAACTTTATTAGTGATATTTTTTAATAGAAATGAGGAATTCTAGTCAGCGACAAACTCAACTCAGTTATAATGCTTACCATTCCTTCTTCCATTTCTGGCAAAACCAGTGCCATTGTCACTGTAGTGGCATTATTCTTTTCCTACACCATTAGTGTCCTGGTGGGTCTCTCTCCATTTAGCATTGACTGGACTTCAGTACTTTTACCATTAAAATGTAAATGTGGACAGAATTCTATGTTGCTGGCCCAGAAGCCACATTCATACAGCTTGGTTTCAGAGAAAATGTCTACTTATGATAGAAACATATAGGGTCATGGTTCATTATTGTCCTTAAACCGATAGAACCAGAAGCCAGGTCCCTGCTAGGGCCATAAGTTAATGAAGGCAAGGTACACTTAAACACCATGGCAATAAAGTAATTGACTTTGTGAATATGGAATGTTATGCTGTACAAAATCCATTTTTTCACAAATTATTACCAATAAAAGGGATTGGAATGTTAGCCTGATCATAATTGAGATTTGTTTCATTTCGTGATTTTTTAAGTTCAAAACTTGTGTCAGTATTTAGAGAAAATTTATCAAATTTCTCTGAATGCACAAGACCATTGCTTTAGTATCTCATAAAATCGTTCGAAAAAAAATTATTAATCTTATTAACGTATAAACTGATTTGAAAATGTTTTTTATCGTCAAATCAGAACAAATTCTTACTGGCTAGGTTATGAATGGGAAAAAAAAATTCTAACTACCTAGGTTATAATTTATAGGATAAATAGCTCAATTTGATAAGCTTGAGCTTTTAATATTTCTCTACATTTTTAATTATATTTATTATGTTTTTAAATAATATTTAAGTTTTCAATTTGTTTTTCTAGTCAATTTTTCAGATAATAGGTAAATTTTTTTACCAAAATACTATTAATTGAAATGCCAAAAAAATAATTTAATAGAAATTCGAAAGATGTAAAAAATGAAACGTGGATGTCATGTGACTTTTTTTTCTTGCATTTCAATTAAGAATATTTCAGTCAAAATATTATCTATGATTAAAAAAATTAAACAAAATAACCGATTAAAACTAAAAAGTTATTCAATGATATAATAAATATAATTAAAAATGAAAGAATAAATTAGAAACTCACGTATAGGTACAAATTAATCTAATTCGGGGTTGCTTTACCATTGTTGAATGAGATGAGCCCAACTGTTGTTGGCTACGAATTCAAGCTTTTACTAATCTCACAGCTCACTTTGATGGCATTTTCTAAGAAGGATAGATGTGATAGAAACTTGTGCTAAACTGGTACTGTACATTTTGAATGCAGGTTGGTGATGAATGTGAACGAAGGATAGAAGAGAACAAAAGGAACAAGAACAAGTCATATCACTTTCGATGGTGGCGTGTGGTGCGCTGTCTGTGGGCATGACCTTTCTCTGTTCATCCATTCATAACAAAAAGGAAAGGAACCCACTTGTGATTAATGAATTATGATTCCACTCATTCTAAGCCTCACATTGCAAATCAATCTTTTTCTAAATCTAAGCTAATGGACAATCAATATTATTAGGAATTGTTTTGTTTTTTATAGTACTGAAAAGTGAAAAGTAGTGTATTTATAAATAGTTATTAAGAAGATTTAAATTGATTGGAAAAAAATAAAAAAGATGCTAAGATCTCTTATGATGGGATTATTATTCTTGAAGGGAACATTTTGATGGAATTGAATTTCTAAGAGGGTGAGCATAAATTCGCTTAACCAAAAAAATCGAATCAAATCGAATCGAATTATTTATTTTGGTTCGATTTTGAATATAAGTTTGTAAAATTAAAAATCAAATCAAAATATCAAAATTATTTCGGTTCGGTTCGGTTTTTGAAAAAAAATTCATTTTTCACTGAAAAACAAATATATTATGGCAAGATTAAGGATTTATAAAAATTTCATTTTCTACACCTATTTTGAGATTTAAATTAAGGTATTCAAGAAGGAAGCATACCCTTTATTAGCCCGACTCATATACTAAAAATTAAAAAGCCTCTAAATATTAGCCCAACCTATATTTAGAATTTAATAATTAAAAAAGCTATTTTTGATTAAAATCAAATTTTTATAAAACCAAATCAAAATAATTCAGTTTTAAATCAAACTTAAAAAACTTATTTCGATTCAACTTCGATTTTGGTTTTTTTTTTTTAATTCAGTTAATCAAAAATTGAACCAAATTTATATAAAATCAAACTCGTTTAATCGTTCACCCACCGTTAATTTCTGACCTCTTAATAGATATCAAAAGGCTACTGTCAATAGACTTTTACCAAGTCCCATTGGTTGTAATAATATTAGTTTAAACCTTTTTCCAAAAATAATTATGAAAATAAAAAAAAATGCTAATTGCCACGCATTTTATGGGTCAAGCGAGGTATGAGTTGGCAATCCTATCTATTTTAGTTCATCAACTTTTATATGCATAGGGAGATCTCCAATGTTTATCTTTTCAGTATTACGATCAAGCTAATTCGTTATAAAATATGTTGAATTATTGATTAAAAGTAGAAAATTTTTTATTTTTCTTTTAATTCGGGCCTTCAAACTTTTTTTTAATCTATAATTAAATCTTTTTATTTTATTGATCAACTAAAAAAGATACTTATTTTTTAATTTTTTAAAAAATATGTGTTATTGTTTTAATAATTTAACGTGCCTCTCCTGTTACAAATTAGTTAACAAAATAAAACAATTACAAACTAAAAAATTTGAGAACCAAAATTAAAAAAGTTATTTTTTTAATTATTTTTAACTAATAGTTGAGTAAAGAGTTCAATTTTTTTTCTTCTAATAATTGAGTATATCTAATAACCAACTGGCTTTATAGTGGTAATAATAGTATTGATTAAAATCTAAGAATATTTTTAAGACAAAAAAGATTAATCCTTTTTGTTATTCGCATATGTTCATTTCCTCTTAAACCCGATGTTTTAATAATAATAAATTCTTAAAAAAAATTATTCTCATTTTTTATTTATTTATATTCTCATTCTCATATTATTTTAAATTATCAAACGCTCAATATTAAAAGATAAAATATAAATTTTTATTTTAAAGATTTTATTTCTAATTATCAAATAGTACTACAGAGAATAAGAGGTAATGTTGATGGCCGGTGATGCCAAGAGGCAATAGCCGTCGACAGTATCAGAACCGTAGCAATGTAAGCATTGAATGATGGAGACATTCGAAGCAAAAAAAATGGAGAAGATGAGAAGTCTCTAGGGGTCAACCATGACCAGGGAGGAGTTGTTCATGAGAATACTCAAAGAGTGGGACCCTATTAAATCCTAAAAATAAGAACGGTGGTTAAAAAGTACAAAAATCAGGTGTACCAAAACTGCTTATTTTACTGCCACCTTTGAACTTTAGGTCGAGTCGAAAAATACCTTCGAAACTAAACTTTGACCAAAAAAACAAATATTTTATGAACCATAAATCATCTGATTTTCCATCTTAAATAATATGATTTTTTAAAAAAATATAATTATTTTATTAGTGTTTTGAACGAAATTGGCGAAAGAATCTCTACAAATCTCCCCTGTTCAAGATTGTTTTTTAAGTCGAATGCCGACAAAATCGTTGAATGTTACTTTTGAAGTTGTTGTTTTGGGTTTTCTTTCGGAGAATCATTGAATGATGATTTAGTACGAGTTAATTTTCTGATTTTTGAGTTAATTTGTGTTGTTTTTGGTGACGATGTTCAAGTAAAGAAAATAGCACAGAGATTTTTTTTTTTTGGCTCTTATCCGTTGCAGAGAATATAGAGGAATATGGAGGAATTTTAGGGGGTTTTTCGTCAATGTCTTAAGAAAATCCTAAAAAAAACAAAAATAAAATAATCCATTCACTGCTTTTTATTTTAATCAAAAAGGCCAAAAACCCATCAAAAGAACAGAGGCAGAAACAGCGGCAGAGGCCTTTGGCTGAATCAGTAACCAGAGGGTGGTCTATTCTGTCCAGAAACGAGAGTAAGCCAATCAATCAACTTCCCTTATCAAATCCAATCCAATCATGCCATGTTTGAGGTAATTTTACCAAACCCATTATTTCTTTTTCATTTTTACGTTCATATCTTTTTTTTTTAATTGATTTGGTTTTGTTTTTTTAATTTTGAGTGCAGGATTGATAGTCCTCTCCTTCCTGGATTTAGTTTTTCGCAGCAAAAATCTATCTTGTCACGTTTGTAAATGCAATTGAGTGGACCTCTTCCTTCTTGGATCTCTCATCTTTTTGCATGCATGGGGTAAGCCCTTCGATTTCGCTAATAAAGAGCCTGCTTTGCTTGTGAAACTTTGTTCAGCTTTTGCAAAAATATTGTTATTTGTTATACGTTACAACACATGTTTATTTACTTGTGGTGATTTTTTTCAGTTTTATTTAAAGTCTTTCAAGAAAATTAAAAGGAAGAAAACCGTTGAATACCGCGTTTGTTAGTAAAAGCTGAAGCTTTTTAAAAACAAATGGGTACTTGATGGGGGCAGGGGCTTTTTTTTTCTTTTCTTTTTGGTATATTGTGGTTTGCCTTTTCTGGGTCACTAAAAGAGAGGGATTTTGAGGTTTCTTTGTGTGGTTTAAGTTTGTCTTTTTTTAAGGTTTGGAATCTTATGTTTTGGTGGTTGCTTGTCTTGGAAGCGAGCTTTATGTGGAGTGAACACGAGAAATATGTATTGGCTTTTCTGATTTGCCATTCTTTCCTTGAAGTAATGGCTAATTGGATATACTATAAAAAGGGTTATTCTTTTGATTAGGATTTTGTTTTTTGTTTTTTTTTTTTTTGTTTTTTTCCTTGAAGAAGGTATGTATTCTAGGTGTTCTTTCTTGACTCAAACTGGGAGATGCTTTGGGAAGAAACCTTTTTGTTCATTTGTAATGTTTTCTGGAGCTTGTTTTAAGGCTCTTTTGGTTTTGGGGATGGAATCATTGAAGAGCAAATGCAAGACTGTTTTCAGTGTGAGGAGATTTTGTCCATTGTCTTATTTTTTTGTTTCTTTTGTTCAAGTATTAGATGAGAAATGAACTGATGATTTAATTTGGAAGCATGCTTAGCTTGTATTCTGAGAGTGTTTGTAGACGTTTAGCAATAAACACATGCTATGTTTAGGACTGGTGTGAACTGATTTTGTATCAAGGGCTTTGAGTGGTTAAATTTTGCGCCTTTTCTAATGAATGATCTCTGTTTGTCTTAAGAGATTTTTTTTCTGTTTTGGTGCGCAACAGTTGATTTCTGTTTGAAGAGAGAACTGATTTTGTATCAAGGGCATTTGCGTGGAATAAGTACTTGAAGATGTTTTTGAGTTTTTTTTTTCCCTTTGGCCTCATCAATAGGCTGTCACGGCCTTGAATTATTCAGAAGATGTGTCATGTTTCTATATCTATGGTTTTTTTCCATTTCTCCTTTTTTAAAAGGTTCATCCTTCTTTTTTTTTTTTTTTTTGGTCAAAAAAGAAATTAGGAAATTATGATGATGAGAGCTTTCTATCCTGGCAGGTTTCTATAAATGCTGAATGTTCTTTTGTATATTATTTTCTAGCAAAATATAGGTTTGCAAGATTTGTGGTCGTGCAATTCAAATATGTAGCTTCTTGTTTCTATAATTTTACCCGTGTTGGTATTTCATATCTGTGCTCATCATCAGGCCAACATTCAAAACATTTTTTTCTGCCAATCAATTTGAAACAATTGCACAGTATCCTTTGTAGCTTGACTGGTTCGCCCTTTCTGATTGCTATCCATCATATGAAGCTTTGCTTATACTTTAAGTGAATTGTTGACCACCATTGAATGATGCACTTGCAAGTCTGAAATTGATTTCTTTAAAATATGTTGGAAGGTTTTTTTCTTTATTTTGCTTTGTTGGGGAGGGGATGGTTCATTTATAGTTCTCGCACATTTCTTCCCTTTTTGGTGCTTTAATGTTTCTTACCTTTGCTGACATATTTATCAAATTGTTGATAGTTGGTGCTAATCATATCTGCGGTGAAACCTGATTTGTAACAGAACAGAGGTTGTTTTGGATGCTGTGCTAAACCCCTTCTATTAGTGCGGTTGATGCAACATCAAACGGACTGAGAGCTCAAGAACGATTAGTAAAAACTTATAGCATATCAGACGATTTTTTGAGCACTAGTACTGGTGAAATGGAGAATAGCGCAGTGCATTCCCAGAGAAGCCTTTCGTCAATCAGCACATTAAACCAGCCACTTGATTCCTACAGTATTGCTGGAAGCACTAGCAACCCTCCTGAACTTGTTAACCGTGGTAAGTTCAAGTCTTTAACTGATTATTTTTTTGCCTAAGTTGACTGCTGCCTGTTCTTTGTGTAACTGTGCACTTTTTTTGGAGTTTTCAATTAACATGCCACTTTAGCATTTTTCCCCTTGGATTTTGTCTTAATTGTAACAAGGCTAAAGACCGTTAGATTCTTTGTATAAGTTTCGCTGTTGTGTGCGTGTTCAGGAATTTCTTCTTGGTAAAATTTAAGAATTTTTCTACTCTTGTCTTTTTTCCTTTCATTCTGCCTTTCTCTTTACTGATGCATCTGTCAAGTCAAGTATCCAAATAAGAAGCAGTATTCGCTGTAGGTCTTCTTCTCTGGAACCAAACAAGGCAGCAATGGTTTGGAAATAAAAAGCCTCAGAACAAGACGCAAGTTCGAGAGCCCACGATAAGGTGAATATCTTACTTTGTATTGGATACTCAAATATGTGAAGCACTTGGTTGCCATGGAGCCATTTAATTACTAGAATGTTGTTGCAATTCTTCTTAGTTTGGTTGGTCCATGCTCCAAGTTAACTATATGAATTTTAAATAAGAACACGAATTTCCAAGTTTTGGCAGTGGCTCGACTTTTAAGTTTTTAGCTAATCGCATCTTAGAGCTTAGAAGTCAGAACTGATTTTTTCTGCAAAATGTCGTCTCCACATGAGGTTTATCTAATAGCAAATGCAGCAACAGCCTTGTGGAATTTGTATATTAGAGAGCCCTTGCAATAGGAGAAATTTTGATGTTTTAAGAACACTAGTCTGCAATTTTGTTATGGCATTTGTTTTTGCTTTTAGTCAACTGATGTTATTTTATGCTCTGTTTTGCAGTTGGAATGCCACTTATGAGAGTTTACTTGGGAGTAACAAGCCTTTTTCTCGACCTATCCCACTTGCCGTAAGTCTCTTCCTGCCTAGGTTTCTGCTTTATTATTTGGAAATCTAGTTCATTATTCCCCATTGTTTATTGGATTCAAATGGCAGGAAATGGTGGATTTTCTAGTTGATGTATGGGAACAGGAAGGCTTGTATGACTGAATAAGCTTGGAAATTTTTACGAATCCCTTTTCTTTTGCATTTGGTTCTCATACAGTTCTTCGATGCAAATAGATTTACAGGTGCTCATCTTTTTCTTCGGTTGTTTTCAAACCTTCTGGATTGGCCAGACAAAAAAATATTACTTTTGGTTTTTTTTTTTTTTTTTCCCTTTCAACCAGCTCATTTGCCTCCTGCTAGAGCACTTTTACTTGGTAGTACCAGTTCCCCTAAAACCTATCAAGGCATCATCATTGTACCGCACTGGCTTTCGTGTGGCAAACTTTGATCTAATCTGTAAATGCTAGTCTTGATCCCTGAATGGCCATGCTCCCCCATGAGGGCTTGTTTGGGGATCCATGAAGTTTCCTTAATGTCTCCAATGAAAGTGCATTTCTATGCAAATTTGCATCAAGATTAGAGCAATCCTCACTGGAAAAAAGTTGCCACCGATCTTGCACGTATCTGAACTGGAAAAAAAATGCCTGTCAGTTGATTATCGCTGTTAATTTTTTATGATCCGTATAGTTCCAGGTTTATGACTAGCTTTTATTTTGTGGAGGCTCTTCTTAGAGGGAGATTATGCCTGATCCCAGATCACTGTAGGAGTGATCCAAGTTGACAAAGTGTGGCTTAATGATTTGTTCTGAAAAATCATAAATCAAAAGGCTACAATTATATGTTTGCCATGACTCATTATGTTGAAGAAACCAGAAAGTGAAGTTTTACTGGTGCTTTCTTTTTCCCACTTGTGCTCTAAAATCAAATAAAATTTCCATTCAAATTTAAGTGGAAAAAATCGAAGCCCTAGCCCGAGTTCTCGGTCTGTTTTTTCTGCGTTCCATTAAATCCTTCAACAATTTCTTAAAATGGGTTGCTTTTCTCTTACAAAATCTCCACTCTAAGTAGACTGCAACATTTACTACAATTATTATGTTGTAAGATAAGAAGTACGCATGTATGCTCCAATGTGCTAGCTTTTATGTCAACCTGACATTTTCTTTAAGGGAAATTCCAATGCTCAGAATTTGAAAATTTAGAACTTCAGACCTTATTGAAAAGAATATGGGAAGTTCCGAAGATGAAGCATAGATGCTTGTGTAATTTAAGGTCCATTCTTTTCTTTTGATTCATAAACAAAAAAAATGAATTATTTGCTTATATGAAGCAAAGAATAGAGACATCTTGAGCTTGTGATTTTGGCAGTAGCTAGTGATTTTAATTTTTGGTGGATTTGTGTCTGCGGCCAGTGGTGGTGGTAGTTCTGCAAAAAAAAAATGGTGGTATTTAATGGTGAGGCTAGCTGGATGGGGTGGTTTTTGGTGGAGGCGGCCAATGGTTTTGGTGGGCCTTTTGGTGATGGAGCGGTGGTAAATCAATTCACAACAACAAGAGCAGACAGTGTTTGATCAAGATGAGTTGAATCCAGAGGTGATAATCAACAACCACCAGGGATGGCAGTGGGCCGGACTCATTAATTATCATTTTAAAAAATCCAACTGAGTAACGACTTAAATATAAATAAAATAATATTACTCATTTATGTTAATAAATAATTAATTTATAAACATTGATACTCATTTTTTACCCATTAACATTAAAAAAAAAAACTAAAACACAATTTAAAAATTATTTTTTCAAAAAAAAAAAACCAAAGCATCACGGTTCAGAAATCACTGTAGTTTTAGACTATAGAAATGGAATAGCGCCTACCTAAACCACCTCCTCATGACAATTTATGCTTTTATCTGATATTGCATGTTTATCTGCTTTTGAATTCTTCTTTATTATCTGTAGCATCATGTTTCAAGATCTTAACTATTTTATTTTTTTGTGTGCTTTTTTTATGAATATTGATCGAGTCATGCAAACTTTATAGTTACAAAGCAATGGAAGAATGATGTAAAATTTATCCATGAGTCAACTATGTTTATAAAAAAATTCAATAAAAAAAATTGAAAAAAAAAGTTTTCAATTTAAGAGAAAAAATTAGCAAGTAAACAGATATGAACATGATCTGAATGAGATATGATATAATAGATATGAGTTGGGTAAAGAATATACAAGTGATTTTTAGTGAATAACAAATAAAATAATAAGTATAATATTTTCTAATAGATAAGGTATAAGATTGATTCAACGAGTATCTATCGACCACGTAAGGATTATGGAAATGATGGGCTAACCGATAATGGCAAAAGCTAGTTGATTCTAAGCAAAGGTCTTGTATTGGGAAATTTGTGAATTTTTTCAATAAAATTTCTTATCAACCAAAACCGACATCAGTTTGTGCGCAGTCTAACTATGCTTTTGCCATTGTCATATGCACAATTGCAAGAGCATCATAATAATTAGCATTTCTTATCACCATTACTGTCCAAAAGGCTTCATATGCCAAAAATCTCTAATTCCAAGTTTTCAGAGTTGCTTCTTCTATAACAACAACAGCAGCAGCAGCAAAATCATCAATTTCAAACGATGTAGCAGCAGCAGCAGAGGCATGGAATGATCATGAAGCAGAAAATTAAGAGTTCGATGGATATCTGTTGCTTTTTTTTCACTTACTGAATTCCATTCGGTTCAATTTGGATCCCAAAACCAAACTTTTATTTATCATTAATGGCCTTGAAAGATACTTTATTTCTTGTTTAGATTTGTTGGGGAAGATGACTACTACCAACTACATGTCATCTAGGTGCCACGTAGAAATGAATGACAAGTCTTTTGATTTGTTGCCAGCAGTGTTTCAAGATCATTACTGGCATTAAAATAAATCAACACATTATTCATAATTATTTTATAATTTTTGACGTTATTTTTTGATTAAAAAAATAAGAACGTAAAATATTATCGCTATCATATTCCATAATTTATCCTTTTGATTTTAGTTTTGAGACATTTCAATTCAATTTTGAACATCAAAACTAAATCCACTCCTCCTATTCGATCCAAGTAGGATTATTATGGCATGATTGAAAATATATATATATATATATATATATATATATATATATTTCCCAAGGAAAAGTGATAAGTATCTTCTTGCCTATCTCCTCCCAATATAGCAATTGCATGTAGTATTCTTAGCCTCCTAAATGGACCTCATGGCTCTAATTAAGCATGTGCTTCACGGTTTATGGTAATGGTTTGATTTTTGATTAAAGAAAAATATTGAGAGTTTTTTAAGCATGTGTTTCTTGTAAAAAGTCTTACACACAAAAAGCATGGTAATATGGTGAGATAAATAATAATAATAATAATTAATCATAAAAATGGATTCTGTATTAGGAGTTTTAGATTTTTCTCAGAAGGTTTAAGATTTAAATTTCATTTTTTATTTTTTATGTATCTTTATGGCCATTACAAGATTCATATCTGCTTCTATGATTTGAAGAACATAAAAAATTTGAAATTTTCGATTCTACGATTAATCTGTATCCATAGAAAATGAAAATAATTAAAGAGTGGTCGGAAAATGTTTTTCCTTAAAAAAAAATAAAAATAATAATAATTGAATGCGTATGAAAGCGTGTTTGTGCTAGGTCGGCCTCAAAATGAATAGTAACTCCACGATATTAAATGCTCTCTCCATCTCTCTCTCTCTTCAGATTTTGACAACAAATCGTATCTTCAGCTCCAGCATACAAAGTGGGCGTGGGACAGACTTGTTTCAAAAACTTCTCCTTTGATGGGATGGAAGGACCCCAACCTCGTGTTTATATCTCTCTCTTGAATGCTCAATCAATGACGTGTAAATTATAAATTAGTCCCTCTTTTTTTGAGAAATAGATTCATTAGTCCCTTTGGTTTTAAAAACTAATTATTTACTTTTCTTTTTGTTATTTTTCAATTTAGTTTTTTTTTTGTTTTGAGAATAGAAAATAAGTAAAAATAAAAAAATTATTGATGAAAAAATTTATAAAATAAAATTTTTAAATTAATCGTGATCAACACTAGTTAAAAGAATTAAATAATTATTTTTTAAAACTACGAAAACTAATTAATTCATTTCTTAAAAAAAAGAGACTAATTTATAATTTACTCACCAATAATAGATCAAACAAAAAAGGGCGAAAACCAAAAAATCAAGTAAATTATAAATTATTTATTTTTAAAAAATATTAATCTCTTAATTAGAGTTGTTTATGTTTCTAATTATATTTAATTTAATTTTATTTTATTTTTTAAAAAATATAATTTTTTTGCATCAATCCTTCTATATTTTTCACTTTCTTTTTCCTTTTTTATTTTTTTAAAAAAATTAATTAATTAAAAAAAGAGAAAATGGTGAAGTTATTATAAAATCTAAAAATTTAGAGATTAAATAATTATTTTTTAAAACAAAGAGGACTAATTAATTCTTTTTTGAAACTAGAAAGCCTAATTTATAATTTACTCCAAAAAGTTTAGTCAATTTTTCCTTTGAGAAGGTTTTTGTATCGATTTTAGACTTTAAATTTTAAAAATTCTCAATTAAACCTTTTCATTTAAATTTGATCAAGGATTCAATCCAAATTGTAATTTTTTTTAGATAAAGATGTTTTGTAGAGAGATTAGAGTTTTTTTTTTTTTTTTTTTTGGTGCTAAGAGATTATAGTAGATAGCCTCAATTAATGAATCAGTTTTGTTTGGATAACAAAATTAATATAAAAAATTATTTAGAGGCAAAATTGATACTAAGCTAATAGTGGAAGGACATTTTTAAAGTTGTAAATGTTTTACCAAAATTTCTTTTTGGTCCAAGGAAGGCCTTTCTAATAAATAGTTTGTAACCTTTTTTAAATTAATTTTTTTATCTAATCATTTCACAAACGATAAATTTTAACCTTTTTTTAATAAGTATAACTTAAAAAATTAAACTCTACGTGTTAAGAAACAATTTACATAAAATTTAGTTTGTTTATTATTGAATCAATAATTTATTACAGTCAAAATCAAAACTCGTTTTTTTCTGGTTTTTGCACGTATACAAACGTCATTAATCTTTAAATGAAAAGGAGGGGAACAAAAAACATTTTGGACACGTGTGGAGACTCGTATAGTTGGCATATATTGATATGGATGAATAAAATTGCGCAATTGTGATTTGGGATTGTCCACGTCATGCTTAGGATCTTCCAGAGATGGAGAGGACCCCATTAAATTTTGTGGGCATGAGCATGAATCGACAATATTTGATCGAATTGAAGAACTATTTTTAATTTTAAGTACTCAAAAACTAGCTATTCCAAAAACATAATTTAGCTGCAAAATAAAACAAACTATATATATATATATATATATATTTTTCTCATTAATTAGATTGTTAATTTATGGATACATAATCCTATGTAAGAGGTCTTTTTTAATTTGAAAAATTGAATGCCTTCTTAAATCTTGAAAAAACATCATTTGCCCTTCGTAAAGATAAAATTATCTTCTTAATTTTTATAACAATGATGGGTCATTAATATTTTGAGATTTACGACAAGAAACTTGTAAGGTTTCCCACAACACCACCCCTTCGAGGAAAGTGACCTGTAACTGGAGGCCTGCAAGAAAAAACAAGAACGTGACGACGAAGAGCTCAGGTTAGATGGTGGTGAAAGAGTCTTCCTGCAAGTGGGCAAACGTCAGTTGTCAATTATCAAACTTAGGAAGATGGAGTATTCAGTATCTTCCAAAAAAAAAGAAAAGTAAAAAGAACCAGAGAGACGTTCATGGGTTTGCCCTTTTCATTAGGTAAAAAAATAAAGTTCCTCGTTAAAAATAAAATAAAAAAAATCATGCGTATCAATGTTTTCAAAGCCCTAGAATTAACCATACTAAGGGGAGGAAAAAAATTCATTGAAAAGCTAACCATGAGGGCCAAGTTGGCCCAGCACAATAAACCAAACAAAGATGGTCCAAGTGGCGGTTTAATCACGTTATTAATCAATACTTAACTCCAAATACAGATTAATTAGACAAAAGTTAGCAATGTTCATCTTAACCAAGAAAAGGAAACATAAAAAATGCATGGAGAATTGGAACCAAGTTGAGAATAGTCAAATGGAGCAAGTACATGCACTTGGAAATTTGGTGAGTTGGTGACACCAAATGATTCATGATTGCGTAAGAGAGGGAGAGAGACAAAAATGTTTTTATAAGATTGGCCTCGTGGATTATAAAAGTGAAAAATATTTTCAAGTGGATGCTTTACGGAAGGGGAAAGACCAAATAGATGGGAAAGAAAGAGTAAACAAAGCCAAGTGCCTGCTTTGTGGATGGGCAAAAGAATGTACGGATCCCCTGGTTTGGTCAAAAGAGTTGGAGAATAGAGAATCCCTATTGCCTTTGCTAAACTCTACATTCCTGACCCTTTAAGCAAAGAATTCCCAACCCTTCTTTGGCATAGACATAAATCCAAATATTATCCGAGAGCATCCACTTGCGAAAAAAAGACTTTAATTGTTTAAATAAGTAAATTTGATTTCGAATTTTTATCTATATATAAAAGGTTTTTGAATACTTTTATCTATTTTGTGCATTTGATCAAACAATGAAAGATTAATATGAGTATTTGACCATGAGATACCTTAAGAATAAATTAAAAAAAAAAAAAGAATTTGGGTTGATGGTAAATAAGATATATTTTCGTTTTTTGATTTTTTAAATTTACGTTTTAAAATTAGCATTTAGAAGAATTAATTTTCTTAAAGACATCGTATTTATATATATGATATACATTTAAAATTATATAAAGATAGAACTTAATCGCAATTAATACATAAATCCACAAGAAGAGATGCTCTTTATGCTCAAAAGAAAATTTTATTTGAATAAAAAAAAAAGACAAATCTATATATGTCTCCCTGGGCCAGATGGGCTCCTCTTCCACTTATTATATAGTATGAAATTGCAAATTGCTATTTATAAAAAGAATTATACATGTACAAGAGAGCATGGGATGTTCTGCCATCAAGGTGGCCATATACCATGCATGCACATAAATAACTCTTTCCTGATCAGATAATGCCTCCACGTTATCATCGTCTTTGTGGATCCACTTTCCTAGAAAGTGTTAATAAATGGGGCATGGAAGTTCTCGTCAAGCCCCATAACATGCCTTTGTTCCAAAAACAAATTGATCATAGCTTCAACCAATACTCATTGACACAATTATACAATATTCCAGTTGTTCCAAAATGGTAGTCTGGTAAGCAAAATTCCAAAGCAAAATTATAAAAAGTTCGATTTCCTTTTGAAATTTGGGGAAAAAAATAATTTTAAGAGAATGAAATAATTTATAAGTAAGATGTAATTTTTTATTATTTAATTTAATAACAAAAATTCATCTTGCAAACCAAAATACTACTAGTGTTATGGGACAGATAGAATATTAACTATCTGATTTGATGATACTTTTTGCCTCTGAATTACTGAAGTTATAGATATTGAGAATGGTAGTATTAATTTGATCAATTATGAAAAATCATTTTTTAAGTAATATTGCTTTTTCGTCAACCTTAATTTGTTTGATTTCACAATTAAGTCAATTGTTCAAACTTTAACTTTTGACCAAACCCTCCTCACAAAAAAAAAAAAAAAAAAAAAAAATCAATTTAGGGTTTTTTTTAGCCAAAAAATTTGAAAGATACTAATGGAAATTCAATCTATTTCTTAAAAAAAAAAATTTCTGAAGTGGGAAGTTTTTTTTTAATCTAAAAATGAATATATTTAAAAAAATTCATAAGAAAAATAAGTTGGAATGTTCTCCAATTTTGTTGACCCTCTTAAAACAATTATATAAATTTATCTACATAGTTTTAGCGTGGTTCTTAAAATATTTTTACGATCAAATGCCATTTAAAACAGACATATACAAATATTTTGAGAATCACATTATTATTCAAATAATTAAATTCATATGATTCCTTAGAGTGTTTTATAAAATCTGAAAAATTCCAACTTATTTTCTTTTTTTATGACTTATTGAATTCTTAATGTTTATAAAATAAAATAAAAATACCTCAAACGTAAAAAAAAATTTTAATTAATTTTTAAATTAGATTGAATTTCCATTAGTGTCTTGAAAAATTTCAACTCAAGATACTAAAAATTAGTTTTTTTAAAAAAAGAGATTTGATCAACATTTAAAATTTGATTTGTTGACCTAATGGTGAAATTAATGAAGAGTGACGGCGGATCAATATTTATTTATCCAAAAAACTATAATTCAAGGACTTGATTGTAAAAACATCAACATATATACTGCAATTTTAAAAATTTAAAAGCGGAAATTGCAATTAAAACCTTATATATATATATATATATATAAAAAGTTAGAAACTCACTACCCAGCTTTCACGTGTTATAAGACCTCCCTGACCTTGTTTGAAAAAGTCTTATGCATAATAAATATATGCCAAAAAAATATATTGCTAAAAAAAAAAAAAAAAAAGAAGAAGATAAAATTGCCAGTGAAAAATAGTATAAAAATAATACATTCTGTAAATAATATTATTCTGTATCGTCAAATACTTCAATGTCATTTAATGGAACAAGTTCACATGCACGATATCTAGCTTTGCATAATACAGATATACGATTGCTATTTTTCATATTCCTGTCAAGTGCATGGATTTCGATCCCATAGATATACAAAAAGAACTGGATCCATTAACCTAGCTAATTATAGTAAGCTCAAGTTGGAGGACAAGCACCGTGTTGGGGTGGAGAGGGTGTACCAAATTTGATGAAATGGACTAGATGCACGTATGCTCAGGATTTGTAGATTTTTCATAATTTTTTAACTTGTCATTCGACAGGATATGGAATCCCCGAAAGAGATTAGGAAATTAGCAAGTTGGATCGTGGCATGTACTAGGAAAATCATGAAGCAAGACCCCAACTAGTTCATGCATGATCCTAAAATATTAGTCAACCCACTTGAAGTTTTGGCAAATGAGATGACGAAAGAAAGTATTGGACTTGTTTATTTATAAAGATAAATAAATTGGGTGCCTCAGCACTCAAATTCCTGTAAATTTTCTTAACCTTTCATCAATGGACCAGTTATTTATTTTCAAATAAAAGAAAACTAGTATTAGTCTAAGATCCTTCCAAGGAGAAAATTACGAATTATATTCTACCGTGTTATTTCCTGTTGGTCAAAGTTTGTGACCGAGTATAGCAAGCTATTAAGACTTCAAAAATTTTGAAGGTTTTCAAATTTAATTCCTGATAACTGCAGAAAACAGGGAGGAATGGTCTCCCTTTTTTTTTTTCTTTTTTTAATACAGAGAAAGAAGGTAGAAACAGATACCAACAAGGTCATCGAACATGATGTCTTCGTTATTTATATGATCTAAGACTACTATATCACGCCTCTAAGCCAAAAAGAAATGGCTTTAAGTTTGTTCAATTCTAATTTAACCTTTCCTGGTCATTAGTCAAAGCATGAATGCTACTAGAAAAAGCAAGTGGTATTTTTCAATTCTATCCATCATTGTGATCATTTAGCTTTGCTTAATTGCTTTTCTAGCTTTCAAACAGGGCCAATCACTGTTGGATTAAAATTTTTTTTAAAAAAAACTGAATCGAATTAAAATATTAATTTTAGTTCGGTTTTTAACTTAATTTTTTTTTTAAAAAAAGAACTGATTTATTTTTGGTTTTTCATTATAGTTAAATTCAATTTTTAAAAGTTTTAGTTCGTTTTAAATTGAAAATCAAAATTTTTTCTATTTTTTAAGTTATGAAATAATACAAATAAACCAAAAAATCAATATTTTAATATTATCATAGATATATAATGAATTGATGATATTTTTATTTCATTTTATTATTTACAAAATTTTAAAAAATCGATTTAAACTGAAACCAAAAACTAAAATTTTAATTTTTTAAACAAAATAATAATTTAGTTCGCATTTGGTTTTTATTTTTTTAGGTTTAATTAATCAAAATCCAAACCAAAATCATCAAAAACCAAATGATCACAACTATTGCCAAGTCGAAAACACTCTTTTATGTGAGATCATTTGCACTTGCTACATTGTTAATATTCTTTTAAGGTTTTTTTTTTGATAATGTTGATTATAACTTTTCTGTTAGATTGAATGGTTTTAAACGGGTGAACATGGGACACCGACCGAAAGAAATTCTAAATTAAATCTGACAAGAAGGATGGCTACTTTTCTGCTGTACTTCAAATTGTGTGTGGACAAGGAAGACTTGATGCAATTTATGGAGAAGTTGAATTGCTTTCCATTTGCCTTATTGGTAACGTACGTCAAAGTTTGGTGGCAGTGACAGACGGCACTGTGTGGTAGGGTTACCAAATGTGATGGTAAATATCATAGAATCCCTTCCATATTGAAAAGAACCATTTACTCCCTGCCTGTCCATAAATGGAAAGAAATTAAGTGGGAAAAACTACACAAAGTTGCTAGAAATTAGCTCTGAAAATTATATACCATATGTATAACATAATTCCACTAAGTTAAAAATAATTTATCCAACCGTATGCACCGCTCGAGATCTTTTCTTCTTCTTTTTTTCACCTATTGTTATGAGTTTCAGCTAAGTTACCGAGTCTGAGAATTAAAAATTTGATTAGAAACAAATAGGTTTAAAGATAAATTTTGCTTTCATTTTATTACGATTTGATAATTTGGAATCTAAAATACTAAATTGTGTAATTTAAACTTTTAAGTATTGAAGATTTGACAAATATGATCTAAATTATCAAATATTTACTATGTGTAATGATTAATTGCGTTGATCGTTATTTTTAATATCAAAATGACATTGTTTTGATATTCCGTTATTAATTATATTTAAAAAAAAAATTTAGCCCACTAATCTTGAATTCTTTTAAAAAAAAATTTCTGATAAAATATTACAAACATTATATATATATATATATATATATAATTTTATAAGCTAATTTTGAACTTTTTTAAAAAACTTTTTTGTAAAATGTTATTGTAAAAAAAAATTAACAATACACAATTTCTGGACTTAAAAAAATATTTTATAAATTAAAATGAGCATAATTAAGGGTTGACCCTCTTAATTTTATAAATCATAAAAAAAAACATTATTAATAATTTTTATAATATTTTATTAAAAAAGTTAAAAAAATTAAAAATTAGGGGCATTAAAAATATTTTTATATAATTTATAAAATATTTATAATATTTTATAAGAAAAAAATTTTAAAAAATTCAAGTTTAGGGGGTTAAAGATATTTTTAAAAATAATTAATAACGTAATGTTAATATAATATCGTTTTTGACATTTCAAGTCACTATCAACCTAGTTGACTCGTTACACATAAAAGTAAATTGAATAATTTAGATCATATTTGTCTAATTTTTAATATTTTAAAATTTAAATTATATGAAAAATTATTAAATCGTAATAGAATAAGGGTCAAATTGATGATTATACTGAACCAAACGGTTTCACAAAATTGATCCGACATTAAAATGCTTCAGAAATGGCAATTGGCTCTAATTATTTTCGCTTTAAATTGATCTAAATATCAATTGACGCAGGCGGTTTTTTTCTTCTTGTTTTTTCTTTCAAGCAAATTTGGACAGTAATTAATATAATGCTATCTTTTCATGAAATATGTATGTTGAATTAGTTTCCCAAACCTATATATATACACACACATTCAAAGCTTCTAACAAAATTAGTTTGTTATGATTTGAACACGTGATCTCTTGTTGTAAAAAATCATTACCGTTGGATTAAAAACTCTTTAATTTCCTGTTAGAAATTAATATTATCCACAAGTTATTTGGGTTTTGAGTTTTTTTTTATATAACTTTGTTTTCTCAAAACAAGGCATTTTGAATAGAAGAAATTGTTATCTCAATAGAAAAAAAAATTCACCAAACCCAAATTCTTTTTCAATGGATCTGTTTTGGTCCTTTCTTTTGAAGACAACATGAGTTTCTTTGATTTTCCCTTCTTGCATGATCATTGCTTCTGGACCACGAGTTTGATTGGAAAAAAATAGTGTCTTGAATGCTTCTTGTTGTTAGAGCTGAAAATGATGATGGGTTTTGATTTGATTCTTATAATATTCAAATATTTCAATTTAATAGTAAAAAAAAATGAAATTTTGCTCTTTAAAAAGATGATGTGTTTGCTGCACTGTAAAAACTACCATCTTTTGATAAATAAAATTTAAAATATATTATCTTCGGAAAAAAGATAAAATAAAATTACCCATTTTACTAAAAAATTACCATTATTTTAGTTCCCGGTACCACACGACGAAAAAACACAAGTAAGCGTTCAAGATACATGCCCTTGTATTTCTTTCCATTTATTTTCTCTCTAGAAAGAGGATAAATAACTTAATTTTGTCTGCTGTTGCTTAAGTAGCAACAAATATTCAACGTTTTTACTAAAAAAATTGATTTAAGTAAAATAAATTTTAATTAATTAAATAAATAATTTTTGAATCGAGTCTTTGTATATATAGAAAAACTCTTTAAGTATATGTATCTATCTTATATATCTAATCGAATAATAAAAAATTAATTTAAGTTTTTGAACTTGGAATGACTTAGAAAAAAAATTCAACGTTTCTTGTTTTTTTTTCTATAATCGACTTTTATTTCTTAATCTTATTTATAATTCCATATGTAGTGAAAAAAAAATCTATAAAGAAACAAATAATATAAAAAAATATTCAATGTTTCTTGACCTTTTTTTTTTTTTTTCTGATAATCAAGATTCATTTCTTAATCTTATTCATAATTCTACATGCTGTGAGAAAATAATATATAAAGAAACAAATCATAGAAAAGAATTCGGATAACAATTAATACAATAATGTGGAGAAATATAAGAAAATGATTTATGAATAAACTTTTCATGTTGAATTTATAGATTTCCATACAAATTTAAAAGACTATAAAAAAAATATTTACATAGCACTGGTACAAATTCTAAAATTGTTAGCATGCTTGAGGTTATTTGAGATAATAATGTTTGACTTGTCACCAACATTTTTCTAACTTCACAACTGGTATCTCACTAGATGCTTAAGAACTCCTCCTCGGTGTCATGCCCAAAGCCAAACACACCCGCAAACATAACTATCCAAAAAAACCTCAAAGGAATAAAAAGAAAAAAGAAAAGAAAAACCACTACCTGGTATCTGGTATTCAATGTATCAAAAAGTTGTAAGGGAACATTAAAAATAATTAAAGCAACCCCACCTCCTGTAATGTGCAAATACATTGCATGTGGTTTTATTAGTGTGTATTGTCATGTACCAAAACCCTTAAACTTCTTGTAATAAAAGCCTTTCATTAGCTAAGACACGTATTCTTCGTTCATTTCATTCTCTTATTTTCTCTCTGCCTTTTTTTTTCCCTATCTAATAGGGTTCCCATGTCCTTGCAGCTCGAACCTCTCTCATGAATTCTTGTTTTGAAGATATATACAGTATTTTGTTGGTGATTGTCTTTGCAAGTTCTCTTTTTTTACTCTCTTTGGAGGGTTTTTTGGTGGATTTTACCTCTCAGGTTTTTTTGAGCTGTACCCATGTCTAAGCTCTTTGGATTTGCTGGTAAAGACTCTATCTTTTGCTTTTATTTCTTTGATTTCATGTTTTGTTTTAAGTTCCAGCTGAATATATGTTTACTTAGCTTTGGAGGTCATTTTGCTTTTGATCATAGGTAATTATTGATGTTTGAAGCATGAATGTTTCTTTTTTGGGACTATTTTTTGTCGTTGACCATATGGGTTTTTATTGCATTTTGGAATTGGAGAGGTGATTGTTAGAGCCCATTTTGGGTTTTTTTTCTGAAAGTGATAGGTTTTTTAGACTCGGTGATATAGGATTGCAATGTTTGAAGATAGATCTCGAAGATGAAGGCCTGTTGTTTGTGGTCAAATATATTTATATTGGTTTGTGTGTTTAGTTGTAGATCAGGTATGTTAGGATTGACCTTAACGGTTTTGTTCTTAGTGAGAGAAATTGTTCTTTATGTTTTGATGATGTTATCTATTTGTGGATCTACGGGGTTCGATATTGTTTAAGCTGTACGTTCTTGTCTTAGGCACAGATGATCAGATGAAATTTGCAATCTTATTATTCAAATTCGATTTTGCTATGACTTGTTGACTTGTATAAACAATTTACTAGCGGAAAAAGATGGAATCATTCAGACCTTAATTCGGAAATTGTACATTAGGTCCAGATTTTAAAGTTTCATTTGAGATATATGCATCTTGTTGTCTGACCTAAAATCATTTTGATAATTAGTGGCATTAATCTACTAAAACTTTCGTCACTTTTAGTTTCTTTGGTCTTGAAGCGCATAGAGATCTTGTTTTGTAGTTATAGAAGGAATTAATTATCAACTTGAACATTTGTGCTTTGGATTGTAGAGAATACTGATTGCAGTAAATTTATTGTATTTGGTTGATATGGACTAGCTGGATCTACTCTATTAACGGAAGATATTGGTTTTGGTTTTTCAGGTGAAAATGACTTTTGCCCTGGGGGGCCAATATACACCAACCCCAAGGAGCAGAGCCTCTTTTTGTCTCTTGCTCGTCCTGTGGATGTATACTTTCCTTCACGCAAGAGGTCTCGCATCAGTGCTCCATTTGTCTTCACTGAAGAGAAATTTGAGCAGAAAAAGCAAGCTTCTATTGAAGTTTTGCCAGATGAATGCCTCTTTGAAATATTCAGGCGTTTGCCTGGAGGCGATGAGAGAAGCGCCTGTGCTTGTGTTTCCAAGCGTTGGCTTAGTCTTCTAAGCAATATCTGCAAGGATGAACTTTGCAGCCAGAACAAATCAGGTGAAAAGAACACTGAAGTGAAAAGTGAGGTTGAAGATGAGGAAATTGAGGGTGATGGATACCTGTCCAGGAGCTTGGAGGGAGAAAAGGCCACAGATATTAGACTTGCAGCCATTGCTGTTGGGACTGCTAGTCGTGGAGGATTGGGTAAGCTTTTTATACGTGGAAGCAATTCTAGTCGAGGAGTGACAAAGGTAGGCCTGAGAGCAATTGCTCGTGGATGCCCTTCTCTGAAGGTTCTTTCCTTGTGGAATCTGCCTTCTGTTGGAGATGAAGGTCTATTAGAGATTGCAAATGGCTGTCACTTGCTAGAGAAGCTAGATCTTTCCCAATGCCATGCAATTACCAACAAGGGTTTGCTTGCAATTGCAAAGAGCTGCCCAAATCTGACTGATCTAGTGATAGAATCTTGCTCAAACATTGGTAATATAGGTCTGCAAGCTGTTGGCCAATATTGCACCAATCTAAAGTCCATTTCAATAAAAAACTGCCCTGCGATTGGGGATCAAGGAATTTCATCCCTGGTATCTTCTGCCTCAAATGTTTTGACTAAGGTGAAGCTCGAAGCTTTGAACGTTACTGATGTGTCCCTGGCTGTTGTTGGACACTATGGCAAGGCAGTTACTGATCTTGTTCTGACAAGCCTCCCAAATGTCAGTGAGAGGGGCTTCTGGGTCATGGGTAATGGCCAAGGGTTGCAGAAATTGAAGTCCTTGACAGTTAAATCCTGTGTGGGAGTGACAGATACTGGACTTGAAGCTGTGGGAAAGGGTTGCCCAAATTTGAGACAATTTTGCCTCCACAAATGTTCCTTCTTGTCTGACAGTGGACTGATCTCATTTGCAAAAGCTGCAGTGTCACTGGAGAGCCTGCAATTAGAAGAGTGCCACAGGATCACCCAATTTGGGATTTTTGGTTCCCTTTTAAACTGTAGTGCAAATGTGAAGGCTGTTTCTCTGGTGAACTGCTTTGGAATTAAGGACCTAAAGCTAGATTTGCCTGAGCTGTTGTCTCCTTGCAATTCCCTACGATCATTGTCCATCCGCAACTGCCCTGGTTTTGGTGACGGTAGCCTTGCTTTGTTGGGTAAGTTGTGCCCACAACTGCAGAATGTGGAATTGAGTGGGCTTCAGGGTGTAACTGATGCTGGATTCCTCCCAGTGCTTGAGAACTGTGAGGCTGGCTTGGTGAAGGTCAACCTTAGTGGTTGTGTCAATTTGTCTGACAAAGTGGTGTCAGTGATGACTGAGCAGCATGGTTGGACTCTTGAGATGTTGAATCTTGATGGATGTAGGAGGATAAGTGATGCAAGTTTGGTGGCAATAGCAGAGAATTGCTTCTTGCTATCTGACCTTGATGTCTCAAAGTGTGCTCTCACTGATTCTGGGATCACAGCCATGGCTCGCTCAAACCAGCTCAATCTTCAGGTCCTTTCTGTGTCAGGTTGCTCTATGATATCAGACAAGAGCTTACCTGCCCTCGTAAAATTGGGTCAGACCCTCTTGGGGCTGAATCTCCAGCACTGCAATGCTATTAGCTGCAGCGCTGTTGATATGCTTGTGGAGAGGTTATGGAGGTGTGATATTCTTTCCTGAGTGGGGAAAGGATAACAACTTGTTCCAAAATAGGGTTGCAGATGTGAAGGTCGAGGGTTCAAATTAAGCAGGTAGCCTCAGATGACAGTCAGCTTTTGTGATTAGCAGCGGCAGCGGCAGCTTTGTTTAGTTTTTGGGTCCATCAGCTATGGGTCTTTCCACTTCCACCAGAACTTGGATTACCTTTTCCCGGGAACGTGGCCATTTACTCTCTTTTTTCTCAGGTTTCCATTCATTGGAAATCTGTTGGAAGTATTTTAGCTCCTAACATTGGAGTGCAACTTTCTTCGTGGCCACCATCCCAGAGAATACATTCAACAAGTTCTGGTTCTAGGTTTCTTTCTTTTTATGTTTCAGGGTGTTATCACTCGGTGTTTTAAGTTCAGCCCCGTGGTGGTCATGCTTGGCTGAAAGCTTTTCATGAAGTACCAGTCTCAAGTCTGTCCGTTATCAGGTTCTCAGTCTTTAGTTTTTGTAATCATGTTTCTGAACATGATGGTTAGGTCTCTGTTTTCCTCAAAGGGTGGGGTACTACTACAAGGCAGTCATTCCGGTTGCTTTTGGCAGTTCGATTCGGTGTCTAGTCGTCTAGGGTTTTGGCCGTTGCAGCAGTTATACAGTCTGCCATGATAACCTCCTCTTTTATGAGGGGTTGTTTTTTTTTAATCCAAGCCCTTGTTTTTTTCAGGCTCCATTTCTTCATGAACTGTATTTTGCAACCTTTTTATCATGTAATGAAATAGATATCCACCCTTTGTGTTGTTTGCTGTTATCTTAATGGAGATGATTATAAATAAAAGTTTGTCTTTATTCATCATAATTTTTCTTGCCAATTTCCTTGATGGTCAATCTTTGTGATGATTAAGGGATATTTTTGCTATTGGGAATATGATGAAAAAAGTTGTATCTTTGTCAAGCCAATAGTTAAATGATGGCTTTGATTGTAACTTATGAATAAAAGGCAGGAGGCATGGTGGTCCATGTGGGGTCACGTGTTGCTTGACTCTAAATTTGGTTTTATTCGTTAGGTGTGACTTCATGCTGGGTTGGGTTCAATGCATCCAGCAAGTGAATCGAATTTGCGCCCTTTTTGTTAACTATTTTCTGTGGTTTCTGGACTTTTATAGGAACCTTCATAGCTGTCTTTGTCCTTGTATAAAATAGATGGGAAAGTTTTAGGAAATGTAAGTTTTCAGCTGAGGCTGCTGACAAGATGTCTACCAAAACTATTGAAATATGATCACACAATTTAATCATGCAAATAGGAAGGAGATTTAATGTTTTTGTGTTATAGTATTTTTGAATCAGTTTATATGTACTAAGAAGTACAGTTTTAAATCATAAATTGTTTAAAAAAATCACGGATTATGATTTATTATAATGTTAAAGTAACGATAATTTGATGTTCTAAAATCGTTCTATAATAGTTATTATATAATATAACGATCGTTATTCAAAATTATGTTTATATGTATTACGAAATATAATTTTAAATAACAAATGTTTTAAAAAAATTACGAATCGCGACTTATTATAATTCTAAAATAACGATAATGAGATGTTTTAAAATCGTTATTTAACACTATGTTAAAAAAGATCTCATCTTCTTGGTTTACAGCAGCCATCTAAAGGATTTATATTTCAATTTTTAACCTAACTAATAAAAATAGTTTTAGATGAGACGATGAGAAGAAGCATCCGAATTAACCATAAGCAATTTTTTTTTTTTTATAATCATGACTTATATTTTCTGAAAGCTCCAATTGATGATCATGTTGAAGTATGGAAAATATAATCAAGAAAGGATCTGAAAAATCTAAGTGGTTAGCTGCTATTATAAAACTTAGTTCACATAATCTCTTAGACGATGATGGTGAGATGTGTGAGTGCACCATAATTGAAGAAGCTGTTCATAGACAAAAATCTTTAGTGGTTAGGCAAAGAATCCAATAAAGTGGAAACCCATCTCTTTGTCAACCTTCTTTCACAATTTCATTACTAGTTTCTTGACTTGAGATTCTCATTTTTGGGTTTGGTTAACTGTTCAAGTTCTCAAATCAATCACAAAGAATCCATTAAAATTTTTTTAAAAAATAAAGCAGTGTTATCTCCAAAAGATACCATCAATCATCACTAACAAGATATCTCATGTACGCAACAGCACCCATGTGGAATTGGCCTGTACAAATCTGACCATGGATTTGACAAATCTTGTCACGTGAGAAGGGGCTTGGAAATGGGCCTCCAAACACTGCCAAATTTAGTTGAAACTGAGGCTAATTTCATGCTCCTGGCCTCATTATGTTGATAGTTTGAATTATTCATCCAAGTAGCCAAGGAAATGGCGTCCGCGTACCAGATTAGTGCTCTTTTATTGAAAAATAAAAAATTTATTTAAAACACAAACAGATTTAATTTAACGATTATATATCTAATTAGTTTTTTTTTAGCATAACAAGGTTTGAATCCTATAACTCTAGTTTTTTTTAATAATTATATAATAGAAAATGCTACCCTCTTTGTATTATTGGGTCTCTCATAAAAAAAAAAATTATTTGAAGATTTATTGAAGTTTAAAATGATAGAATCCATTAAAATAAATAAATAAATAAATCAGTGTTAAACAACGATCGTTACATTAAAATAAATAAATCTCCAATGGGAATAAGGTGGAGATCTATATTTCTGTCAACCCTTTTTTTTTATTATTGGTTGGATTAACTATTCAAGTTCTCAAATCAATCACAAGAATCCATTAAAATAAATAAATAAATCAGTGTTACCTACAAAATCCAAAGATCCTATAATCACTAACAAAATATCCCACGTCCCCAACAACACCCATGTGAAAATGGCCTTTACAAATCCCACCACGGATTTGACAAATCTTGTCACATGTGAAGGGCCTTGGAATTGGGCCTTCCAAGTTGGACAAATTTTAATTGAAACTTCTGAGGATCATTTTTTTTTTTTCATCATAATCATTCTGGCTCGTTTTTGCGTATTTTGAAATTGATTTTTTTTTTAGTTGCGATTAAAAAATATTCTTCAAGGTACGGTTTTGAATACTTTAAAAATGCAGGTCAACAGAATTAAATTCTGAATCTGGCCTATAAGCCAACGTTTGCTTATTAAAAGATTACTAATTTATGATTAACTTCTGAGAGTTCATTAATGAGGGCTAATTCACCTGACTCTGTCCATATTAGCCGTGATTGCTTCCAAGGATATCTTTGAATTAATTTTTACCAATTAAAATATAGTTATATTTTCAATTATATTTTAAATAGATAATCCAAATGCATTCAAAAAATAATGTATTAAAAGACTAAATATTTAGAGATTTATTTAGGTTTTCAGCTTCCTTCTTTCTCAAAAATTTTCAATCTTTCAGTCTATACCAATTTCTTATGTTCTTCTAACATGATCTTAAGTTGTTTAAGACACTTTAGAACAAATATAATGGGTGATCAGATGCTGTTCCAGAAGCTAACAAACAAAGCATTCACTGCAAGAAAATGTTACGAACAGAAATAAAAATAAAGGCAGAGTAGTTCAATGGATATGCTTAAAAGGGATTTTTACATATGCCTTTTAACCACGACCTACGACATTTCGATACATCCCAAACTTTTATCGTGCCCTTAATCACCGTCCATTGCAAGATCAACGGCCGATAATGGATTATGCAAAACTTGATCATGAAGTATGGAATCCCTCATTATAATGCTTTATTTTGGCATATTTTGGGTGCTTAAATAAGGATAAGAACGAGAATCTTGTGTATAGGATTCCTAGATGGTTTAAGCACAATTTTGGTCCCTAAACCCATCTAAATCGTACAAATTGACCTCATAGTTCCAAAATATGTAGCAAAGTGCTTGTACTTTGAGTTTAGGATACTGTGCATCCCTTCGTCCTGCTTCATCCAAATTAACAAGGTAGAAAAGTGAAAACCAACATCAAAATATCAATTTTGAATGAAAGGCCTAGTGCTTATTTATTTTTCAAAGAAATAGTCGAGAAAAGAAGGTAAGGAAATTTAAAAATACCAACATATATTATATTGAGTGACACAACAAAATAAATTTACATATATACGTATGTTAGTTAAAATCAAAATCAAGATAACAAATAAATTTATTTTTTTTGTTTTAATTGCTTTTTTTCTCATATTGATCCGGTACCTACATTTTGTTGTTCGCTTGAAAAAAGAAAGTAAAAAAAATTTAAAAATTGATATGCGTAAAACCCATACTTTTTTCATCTTCGATTAATTATTATATTGAAATAATGGAATATAATAAAATAAAATGGATCTGAAAAATCAAGAGAACTAAGCTCACATAATCTCTAATTGGATGATCATGCTGAGATATGTAAGGGCAACATAATTCAAGAAGCTCATCACAAAAAATCTCCAGTGGGAATAAGGTGGAGATCTATATTTCTGTCAACCTTTTTCTTTCTTGGTTGGGTTAACTATTCAAGTTCTCAAATCAATCACCAGAATCCATTAAAATAAATAAATAAAATAAAGCAGTGTAGTCTACAAAATACAAAGATCCTATAATCACTAACAAAATATCTCACTTCCCCAACAACACCAATGTGAAAATGGCCTTTACAAATCCCACCATGGATTTGACAAATCTTGTCACATGAGAAGGGCCTTGGAATTGGGCCTTCGAAGTTGAACAAATCTTAATTGAAACTTCCGAGGGTTCATTTTGTTTTTTTGTTTTTTACCTGCAGCAATGTGTCTTCAGAATGTTTTTCCGTATTTCGAGATTATTAATTTTTTTTTCAATACATACTTAAGGAGTATTTCCCCGATACAAGATTTCAGATATTCTAAAAATAAATTTTAAAAAATACTGATAACGAGAATTGAATCTTGAATCTGATTTACGAGTTAATGTTGCTTACCAATGGTTACTACATTATAGTTAACTTAAAGATGAGTTAATGCTAATTCATGTGACTCTGTCCATATTTTTTTTAGACGTGATTGCTTCAAGGATATCTTTGAATTATTTTTTACCAATTAAAATATAGTTATATTTCCAATTAGATTTTAAATGGATAATTCACATACATTCAAAAAATTATGCATTACAAGATTAAATATTTACATATTTATTTAGGTTTTAAAACGGGAGTTTATTATTATTATTATTATTATTATTATTGTGGACCTTGCATTTAAGATGAAAATTGTGGTTTTGCAGGAAATAATCCTTAATGGTGTCCAAACACATGTTGAAAGAGGCTAAGGGATTATAAAAACGATCCCTTTTGGCATTCTTCGAATATTAAGTTAAAAAATGCTTATTGAATTTCAGTTTTAGGCCATTTTCAGCTTCCTTCTTTCTCAAAAATTTTCAATCTATCAGTCTTCACCAATTTCTTATGTTCTTCTAACATGATCTTAAGTTGCTTTTTTCTCCAAATTTCAAGCTCTGTTGGCTTATTAAGACAATTTAATACACACATAGTAGGTGATCAGATGCTGTTCCAAAAGATAAGAAACAAACAAGCAATCATTTACTGTAGGAAAATGGTACGAACAGAAATAAAAGCAGAGTAATTCAATCGATAAGCTTAAAAAGGATTTTTACAATGCACCAATGTTCTTAAGACCAAGAACAACCCCAACACCAATTATGTGACCAACAGTCCCACAAGCCAAGGTATCGGCAAGAGTGAAACCAGCCGGATCACCAGTCTGTAAGCCTGCGTCCCTCACTTCCAGCTTCAATCCTGCCGTTGCCTTCCTGTTTGCCGATGGAGCTAACCCAAATCTCCCAGCAAATAGCATCAGGCTTGTGCTAGTCACCATTATCTGACAGATCAGAAAACCATAAACCCTTCACTTCCTCTTATTCCAACATGTCATATATACGATAAAAATAATCTGACCTGATAGATAGCTTCTTCTTTGATTTAAAAAGAACAGTGATCTTTACAAGAAAGATTTTCAATTTTCTTTCAAGAAAAAAAACAGATAAAGAAGTAAAAATTATTACCAAATTCGTGGGTGAACCAATGAAATCCATACGAGCACCTAGGGCTCCATTTCCCGTTCGCCTCATTGGCTGAACAGCTGCCTGCATGATGCAGAAAAAAATATTTCAACTTGGATCGATATCTATACATGTTTAGCAATTGTTTAACGTAATTACCCTAGTTTTAAAGAAAGAAATAAACCAACAAAAAATACATGAAAGAAAGAAAGATATCTTGTTAGCATCACTGACCAGGGTTTTTACAGGGGCAGCTGAGGGTCTTAGGCCATTGAATTGTGGGAGAGCAGTAGCAGTCATCATGGTAGTGGCTGCCATTTTCGTTCTCTTAATGACAGAAAAAAAAAATGGATCAAAGAAAATCACTCTCCCTTCTTTTATAAATTTTTATAATACAATCTGGGATCTAAAATACCACAGCCACATGAGCAATTTGTGGCTTTAGAATGCTAGAATTGGATACACTTAGATACAGAATGCTGACTTGGCCTTATGCTATTGGATTATTGAGTTGGATAACGTTGCTTGGGAACTACAGGTAGCTGACTTGGCATTATGCTATTGGACAGGGGGATGTAGGTTTTTTTTGTAAAGAAAAAAAATGACTACAAAACTATGAAAATTGGATACCCTCTTTATTTGATTTTGTTCTATAATAACTTTTTTACTAATGATTTTAGTGGGTTTTAAACCTTTCGTCCATTTTCGATTCATTTTACTAAATATCATTAGTTGATTCAAATAATAAATTATGCTTGTGTTACGTATACTATTAATATGATTTTTTTAATACTCTCAAAAAATTTGAGAGCATTTCGAATTATTTTTTATAATTTTATAAATATTTAATGTTTAATAAAAATTAAAAAAAATTCTAATTTAAAAAAAAATTGAAATTGCTTTGAAAGTAAGATTGAATTTTTATTAGGATATGTTAAAATTTTCAACGCAAAACATCAAAATTTGAAGTTTTTAAATGAGTTTTTGGTTGATGATAATAAAGAATTAATAATGCACCGTAAAAATTGATTAAATTATAAACAGAGAATTAACGTGGAGGATATAACTGTCAATGTTTGAAAATTGAGGAACTAAGTTACAATGGAATTGAAACTTGAGAGATTAAAGAATAATTTACTCTTTGTTAACTATTGAATTTCTCGAATCAATCACAAAGCATTCATTAGAAAACATAAAGCAGGAGTCCCTCTAAAGAAGGAGTAAAATATAAATTAGTCCCTCTCGTTTTGATAATGAATTAATTAGTCCCTATTATTTAAAAAACTAATTATTTATTTTTTGTATTTTTAAAAATACTTCTAAGTTAGTCCTTTTTCTCCTTTTTAATTTATTTTGATTTTTTATTTTAAAAAAATAGAAAAAGAAAAAAATATAAAAAAATAAAAAGATTGATGAGAAAAGAAGACATTTTATGGAATAAAAAAATATTAAATTAAGTATGGTCAACACTGATAAAATAATTAAATAATATTTTTAAAAAATAGGGGACTAAGTAATTTTTTTCTTGACACTAGAGGGACTAATTTATAAATCACTCTCCAAAGATCCCATCATCAGTAGCAAAAGATCTCATCTCCCCATTAACACCAATGCGAAATGGGCCTTTGCAAAACCTCCCATGGATTTTTACAAATCTTGTCTCATGCGAAGGAGCTTTGAAATGGGCCTCCCAGCTTGTGCAAAATATATTTGAAACTTCTGACAGCCCATGGATGGGACCTAAAGTCCCGGTCCGATTGTGTAGATGAGATTCAATCTCAGATCACCAATAATTCTCTGTAATTACGAGCCCAATTAATAGCCACTTACAATTACAAATAGCCCAACCCATCCTCTCCTTGTCTACCTAAACCTTGACAGACAATGCCGATGACATTAGCCCAAATCGCAAGCTGATAATTTTCTTCAGATAATTTTCTTCAAATTATCATCCTAATCGTAGATTCAAATTTAAAGGAAGGCAATGAGATTTTTTTTTCCAAATATATTTTATGGTATATAAGGAAAAAATATATATATATAGGATGAATAAATTTCAATTTTTTTCCCTTTTTTTTTAATATATAATAACAGTTTTTGGATAAAATGATCCATACGCAAGTTATTGGCTAGAAGATATGAAAAGATAGAGCACTGTGTGGGTTAATAAAGCCTAAGCCCAAAGTGCACTTAGCTACCTCGTTGGAAAAAAGTAAGAAGCCCAAGACTAAGGTCCACTGTAATATCTCTTCTTCTTGAAGGTTGTCTTCCTTCCCATTTTTATGGCAAAAAATGTTTAAATTAAAAGATAAAAGTGTTTAATCCTCCATGTTAACTCAATCTTTTGTGCTTTTGAAACTTAAATTTTATAATGAAACGTGAAAAAAAAAAGAAGAAAAAACCGCAACTCAACTCAAGAAACAAAAAGGATTTACAGTTCATATCATCAAATTCACCTTAATTTCCATGCTTAAAAATAGGGATGATCCGGCTTATTATCTTAAATTTTTACTCTATCCTTAACAAAAATATCCCACTCATTATCTATTAAAAAATCACTATATAAATCTTAATCCAACTCATATTTAACTTATATTAGTTTATCCGTTTATTTATTACTCATTTAATACACGTTAATTTAATTTATCAAAAATATTTATTTTTAGTCCCTATAATTTTAAAAAAAAAAAATTTGTCCTTAACATTTAATTTGTTTGCACTTTGGCATTTAATTGTAAGTTTTTTTGTTCTCAAATTATTGAAAAAATATTTTGATCCTTAATTTTTAAACTTTATGTAATTAGATCCTTATATGTTAATAAGAAAATCAAAATAAATTAATAAATATTAATAAGGTAAAGAGTGGATACCTATGACCTAAAATCATATTAGTAAGTATGTATTTTTTATCCTTACCGACTTCAATACTTACTGAATATTTTTAATGGATATTTATTAGGTAAAATAAAACTAGCATATTTTTTATTTTATACTTAACTCATTTTCATCCCTACTCGGAAGTGACAAACCACATTTTATATTTTTTAAACTATTCTTCAATTGATTATTGTGTTGAGGTAATCAAGAACCCATCTTAAAAATCTATAGTGGATACCAATTGATATTAACCAAGTCCACACAATGATTGAGATGATGATGGTGAGATAAGTAAATAAAGCATGATTAATTTTTTTTATATTTTTTTAATTCAGAAAACGAAGAGCAAATGCCAACAAAAAGATTAATCAAAGCCTGTTTCCACACAGTTCTGGTTGTCTTATATCTTCACATCAAAATCAAAATCATCAAAATAATAATGGAACTAAAGTTGGCACCATATAAGCTGGATTTCACTCACGATAGTAAAAAGTTAATAGTAAAAAGGTTATAGTTAATAGTGGGTCCAACAAGGGTCGAAGAATCATTATCTTTTAATGGGCTGACGTTGAAAGGTTCTGTTCTTTTTCTGGCATGGGTTTTGGGGTATACGGGCCATTCAGAGCATCAGCTGGCTTATCTCCTTATCTAGTTATCTTGTCAATGATTAATAAATCAATAAATAAAAAATAAAAAAACACTGTTGAGGATTGGGTGTTATGGGCTACATGTCCCCTTTTTATTCAATTTTTTCAATTGCGAAAGTCGTCGAAAAATGTAGCAAAAAGCAAAAACAAAAATAGTGGTAGAAATTTTGATGCCAACCCATTAAGGAGTTGGTTCAGATGTTAAAGAAGAAAACTCATACGATATAATGATTTTAGGTTTGTTTAAGTTTCATCACTTCATTGATTTATTGAAAAAAAAAATGGCATTTTACGTTCAAAGTGTTATAATTGATCTCGTTGAGTTGATCTCATCTCAGCATAATTGATTAAAAAAAAAAAATGGACTGACAAAATAAAGGTTTTTTTTTGTGAAATTCAAAGCAAATATGTGAATTTTTTTTTCTTTTTTTACCTATGATGATGGTAGTCCAAAATCTTTTTTTTAAAAAAATTCTCTAATCATTACACTATTTCTCAAGAATTAATTTGAATAAAAATTTTTTTAATCGTTTAAATAAATAATTTAAAATTTAAATTTTTATATATAAATAATTTTTTGAATAACTATTTTCATTTTATACGTCATATAGAATAATAAAGAATAAAGAATGAATATGTACAAAGCATTCATAAAAAAAATATTAATTGATATGACTGGAGTGTTTGAGACAAGTTGATGCTATATTGCTATTGAAGTTTCTCTCTCTTTTTTTTTTTTTTTTTCCCAATCTTTCAACGGTCACGAATGAATTTCAATCGTTCTAGGTTGTGGGATGGTGGGGTTTTGTATCAACTTTTTCTCTTTACTGTTAATTTTTCTTTTTTTACCATCATCATTAATCAAGTTGAGTCCTGATATCCTAATAATTATGTTAAGATATTTGAGCATCGTGAGTATATATATATATATATATATATATATATATATATACACACCACTTTCATAAAAGTTTCTGAAGCCATCACAACGTCATAGGGAAAAAGAAGACATATACGTATATGCTGGAAAACAAGTTTCTAATCCAGCCCCACCAACAAGCTACCAAACATTAGAAGGAACATTGAATTAAAAAATCTAATCCGTATTACTAGAAGATAAAGTGCTTAAATATTATTTAGCCAAAAAATTGCCCTACAAATTACAATAATACAAGCATGCTGATTAAATAGTGAAACACATTCGTCACCAAAAACAAAACTAAATTTTATAAGTACAACTTTTGACGTAACTCTTTGAAGATTCAATGTTCATGTAATCAATCATGTCTGCAACTAGTTGTTGAGTTATAGAAACTGATATGGACATCAACGGTTTAGCCGCCAATTGAAAAAAAACTAAACAAGAATTCGTATTACAGTTTGGAGTAAGTACAATTTGCCCATAGTATTGTATAATTTTTTTTTTTTTAAATGGTTTTTCTTATTCATTTTCTGACACTAGCTACTGCTGTGCCTTACCGTCTAACACAAGATGACAATAAAAAAGCTTAAAGTTCTCTCTTCTTCCCATCTTTGTCTTTCCATATATATTGCTTTCTTTTCTTTCGTTCTTTGAGAATTGAGACCCCATTTCAGCGCTTCAAGAAAAAATGCTTCTTAGAAACCCTTCTTCACCGGTATTAAAGGGACTTGTATGCCAAGCATCAACAATCCGACCAGCTGTATCCATGTGCCTTCAAAGAAAACCACTCTCCTTAAACAAAGAGAAAATGTTCTCTACAAGTTCGTTCATGTCACATCTCCTCGTTAAGGAGAAAGAAGAAATGAAAGTTTGCATAGAAGCAGTTGATGAGGAGACGATGGTTTGTGCAGGGAGTGGTGGTGGTATTCGTGGCAGTGGCAGTGGTGGTGGTGGTGGTGGTGATGGGTGCTGGGACTCAAGTAATGGGCCTAATGGAAGTGATCATGAGAGCATGGATGTTTATTACCAGAACACGATCAAGGCCTATCCTAACGATGCTCTTCTTCTTGCAAACTACGCTAAATTCTTGAAAGAGGTAAACTTAAAAGAAATATGTGCCTGTCGTATTGGTTTCTTGAATTTTTTTCTTTCTCTTTTTCAAATTTGGGAAATTGCTATATATAATAGAAGATGTGTTTTTAGGTGCGTGGTGATGTTGTGAAGGCAGAGGAGTTCTGTGAGAGAGCAATTTTGGCAAATGGAAGTGATGATGGGAATGTTTTGTCAATGTATGGAAATCTAATATGGAATAACCATAAGGACAGTAATCGAGCTCAGACTTGCTTTGATCAAGCTATTCAATCTTCTCCTGATGACTGGTAAATGGGGAAAAAAAAAAAACATGTTTGACTTGTTTTGATGGTTAGATAGTATAATCTGTATAGATAATTAAGTTGAGTTTGATATTAATTTTTTTTTCTTTTTGATGCAGTTACGTACTTGCTTCTTATGCTCATTTCCTATGGGATGCTGGAGAAGAAGATGATGAACAAGAGACCAAGCAGAATGAACTTCAATTTGATAGTTCGCAAACATGTAAACAGCCACAGCATAATCTTCCTCAAGGATTACCTCCTCTGGCTGCTTCTTCTTAAAGCTGACATATTCTGACTGTAATGTAAATGTTATGTTTTTATACCTTCCCTTTCTAAATGGAACCATATAGAGAAATTTCTGATGCCAAATCATGATGGATGATGATGATGATGATGTTGCTCGGTGGTTGAAGTTAATGGAAGGGAAGGGAAGGGAAGGAAATATCTAGCAGAAGATAGAATCAATAATAGTAGTTCAATCACCAATGAAAGAAAGAGTTTCTTGCTCTTCCTTGCCCGGTTGAAGATTTTCTTAACTTCCTATGTGGTCTTCAATGTCCAATCTACAGTCACACGTTCTCTTCTTCTCAAAGGATGTCTTCTGAATTTTACTGCCAAAACGTTTCGATTTAAGGCATAGAAGAAAAAATGAAAAGGAAAAGGATTTCCAGAAAGCTGAACGCAATAAACAAAAGGGACAAGGCTGATGAGTTGGCCTATCTAATAACTGGAGACTTCTCTAAAATTTTGCAACATATTTCCAACATAGCAGGCAAATAACGTGTGAATTAGAATAACTTTGCAAACTATAACATGCAATGCTGCAAAAAGACCTGCAACCTGGGAGAAGGCAGACAAAATCAATGCTGCTAACTATGGACAAATTAACGAAACATCACAATCCATCATGCAAAGTCGAACCCAACGGGATCTTCGGCCAAGGTAGCTTGAGCTTCCTCTCCAATCACTACTTACTCATCTTTTCGAACAGCTTCCTGCTCTTAGGTAGGAGATGCACTTTTATTTGTTTGAATACATAAGGTGGTATTTTCCTCATTTATTGCTTCAGGCAAAGGAGTCTTTCCATCATTTTCATTGGATAAATTGGCCTTTTCAGAGGGTAGTTTAGGGAGGGACTTCCTCTGTGGTTTCTTTGGAAAAAAAGGGGGAAATTCCTTTGGTAAAAATGTTGTGAGATACTTCTCATTTAGGGTCTGCAGACTGCAGGGATGAACTCTTCCATCAAACTAGCTTGGGAGGCTTGGTTCTTGTTTCTGACATCTGCATCAAAGGCAATGCAAGTTCATTTGAATAACAGTCTTGCTTGCTTCATCAAGAACAATTCACTAAAAGAACAGCGCTGCTACATGGCAGACAGAAATGGTCAAATGGGACCAACCGGATTCCCTTGGTAGTGCACACCTCTTACTCTCCTCTTGATACCTAAAGCATCTCAATGAACAGAAAATGTGACATCCATCACTTCTCGTGGGAAAATAATTGAGATCGAAGCTGGCTAGTGAGATTCGAAAGTTGTGTATGGGAATCGGTATGATCGAATAGCAAAACAAGAGCTTGTGAATGCATATCGGAAGCACGCAGTAGACATCCTCTTATGCCCATCTATCACACGAATAAGAGGATTTTTCTACAGAAAATAAATTCAAGAGCAAAATCAATTACAATTAAGGTATTATGAAACTACAGAGAGTATCCACAAGTTTGAAACTTGACAAAAACTCAAGCTGCCTTGCCGAAAGATCCCCTTGAGTTGGCTGTACTTTGAGCACAAAAAAACGGCAGGAAGGCGGAGACGATTTTGCATGATGGATTGTGATGTTTTGTTAATTTGTCTATAGTTAGCAGGAAGGGGCAGAGGAATCAGCGAAGCACTAGGGCCAGGATCAGGAGGTATCCATCGCCTAGCTCGCACCATATCCTCACTCAACTCCTGCGGTTTTGTCAAAGCTGATGAGGTTGCATTATTCTATTCACTAAAGCTGCGCGAAAAACTGCCGGACATGACTTGCACTGGACTGGCAATAGAAAGTGTTTTGCACCTAGAACTCCTGCAATTTGAAATTTTATTTTTTATTTTTATTAAAATCTTAATTTTTTTCTATCCAAATTAAAAATTTTATTCATATTTTATTATTGTTTCAGATCCTAATGAATAATTATTTACCACGTAAGTATATGTGACGACTCTACACAATAACAACTTGTCACGTGTCACTGATAACTCAAGTTTAGTGATTGAATTGGTAACAGACTTACCGCGTGTACTTACGTGACAATCAATTATTGATTAGGATCTGAAATAACAATAAAATAATAATAAAATTCTTAGATTAAAAAGAAATAAATTTAATATCTCAATAAAATAAATATGAATTATGCAGGGTCTCAATATCAGTTTTGGGTGGGGGGCTTCTTTTTGAAGTGTCAAAAGGATATGGGCCTGTTGGGTGAAGCCGTACCTTTGCTGTTGGCGGGCTCGTTAAAGTTGGAAATGAGCCGTGCAACTCTATCCGAATTGGACTGGATAAAAAGGGCCTGTTTTGTTTGATGGCTCGTTAATGTTGGAAATGGGCTGCTCAGCGCAACTCTATCCGAATTGGACTGAAAAGAAAGGGCCTGTTTTGTTTGAGGGCTCGTTAATGTTAGAAATGGGCTGTGGAACTCTTATCCTAATTGGACTGAATAGAAAGGGCCTGTTCTGTTTCATGGCTCGTTATAATGTAGGAAATGGGCTGCACAACTCCGTCCGAATTGGACTGAACATAAGGGCGGGTTGTGTTTGATTTCGAATTGGGCCCAACTCACTAGCCTCCTCCACGGGCTGGGCCTTCAACAAACATGAAATCTCCCAATGTGGAGAGTAACGGGCTTCTGAGGCAGTGCGGGTCTTGTGGGCTCATCGATACTATCCTGCAAAGCCATAAATCTATTTCTTGTCATCATTTTGATTTCATTTCCCTCCATCAGAAATGTTTTTAATCCGTGAATTCCACCTTCAATTTTTCTCAACAATCATCCATTAACCTTCTTGTGTCCATAGTTTCCACATTGAAGAGATACGGTATGGAGTCCTTCGTATGCTATATTGTAAATTTTACCAAGCAAGTCGATTTGGCCAACTAGAAGGCATCTCAATTTAGCCTCAACACAAGTTCTTCCAAATTTCTCTTGATTTGGAAGAGTTGTGTTTTTATCAATTTTAACAGGGATATTAATACCTGAAAGTAGAGCTATTAGGAGATCTCATCATAGGATTTGAACAGAGATGTTCAGAATTCGAACACAAATAAGAGTTCGAATCAATTGTCCCTATCAAAGCGATAAATTCAGCTATTTATGATTCCACTATGAGATAGTGATCAAGGATCATTCATGGTCCATCCCCAATAAACTTTTCAAAATCATCTTTACCATCGAATTGAACTAGAAAAAATCATAACTTGAATCCAAAAAACATCAAATTCTCCCTTTGCTTTCCATAATAATTCAGTTTTGGAGTACAACATACGAAAAGAAATAATTTTGCCCAACAATTTGACAATAACTGATTGATGTTATGGTCACTCCAACGTGAAAAGAAAATGAGGACCAACAATGAAATTAGAAAATAATGGATTGTCATCTTTGAGAGTCATTTGAACAATGCATGATGCATTAGATGGACTAGTTGGCGTATTTTTGTTACATATTTATTTTCTTTCTGTTTCTCATGAGCCATAAGTTTGTCTTAGAATGAGAGTTTAGGTGTGGATGTTGTATTAGCCCTAAAAATTCTAAAATTTTTGTTGAATACGAAGATATAAATCATTACGGATGTAATTGAAAATTTTATTTTGCTTAATAGATCTAAAATCATTAATTAAAGCACAAATTGAGGAAAAAAAATCATAACTCAATTATAAATTTACGGTGAATATTATATTTGAAATAAATACTGATAGATATTCTGAAAATACCTCAAATTTTTTCATGAAAACGTAGTGTTTGCACTTAATGGAATAGTGACATGATAAAATAATACAGTTTCATAAAACACAGAATCTTAACCGTTGGATTTTCGTCTTATAGCCTATTTTGTCTTATTAAAAATTTCACTTTAGCTCTAGGCATTGATGCTAGAATACAAACAGTCCCTACACTAATAATTTGGACAAATCAGTCCATAAGCTAGGATTCTCTCTCTCTCTCTCTCTCTCTCTCTCTCTCTCTCTCTCTCTCTCTCTCTCATATATATATATATATATATATATATATATATATATTGTATTACTTATATGCATAACACCAATATCAAAACCATGGATAGTCCATGCTTTACTAAGAGATTAGAAAAATATTACTAAACTTGATTATAATTGATATTTTGATAAATGAATCTACTAACTTGACTTTACTATAAATGTTAAAAAACTCGAATTAACCACAAAATTTTAATTTTCTCTCTCTCATATCTTCTTCTTTTTCTTCTTTTTTAAGAATAAGTCAATTTTTTTACTATTATTTCATCCAGTCTTTTATTAATTTTTTTTAATGACACAATCATTTAGTTGTATTATGTTATTTTTCTCAAAACCCTTCAAATAATTTTATTTTCGATCTAACAGAATATATCATATTCTTTTAGATTGCAAATAAAATTATTTGAAGGTTATCACAAAAATTTTTCAAAATGTATAATTTAATTCCAGATATTACTATTTTTTGTATGCAACAACAATAATAAGGTTATCACAAAACTATTTCAAAATGTATAATTTATTATGGAGAATTATAAGACATATCATTCATTCATTATTATTATTTTTTTTCTAATTGAAGAAACATGAATGCCAAAGTTTATTTTTATTTTATTTGAAATATTTTTTTTATGTTATGTGAAAATAGTTTAAAACATAATTTTCCATGGGAGGGCTAGTAATTGACCAAACAGAAAATAATTTTCTAGGTCTCCTGTCTCTAGAGAAAAAGTAACCGAAAGAAAGACGGTTTTGGTTTTTTGTTGGATAAGTATCTAATCATACAATCATAAAATTTGAGCACCAGATTATAATTTAGCATTAATATTTTATGACTTCTTGTCATACATGGGTCACTACTACATCTTTTTGCTAATATTTATAAGTTTGGGACGCAATTGAGAGTGCTAAATTGAGGTTTTCCTTTCAATTTTTCATGCAGCCTAGATTGACAATGAACCAACCTTTAGCTTGCAATGGAATATGAAAAGGTGAAAGCCAAAAACCCACAACTCGAGAGACAGAAAGGATTCACAGTTCACACCACCAAATTCATCTTAATCAACAATATCCAATTGTCCAGATATAACAGGTTCAAAGGGACAGTACAGAAGAGCATGACCTATCTAACAGCAGACTTCTCCAAAATTTTGCTAAATATTTTCAATACAGCAGGCAAATAAGACCATGTGAATTAGAATAACTTTTGCAAGTGATAACATACAATACTGCAAGAATGTAGAACCCTAAAGAAAAGAACAGCAACCTGAAATCATGCACACAAAACAATCAATGCTGTTGACTAGGGACAAACACAACATCACAATCTATCATGCAAAATCCTTCATGCCTTCATCGTCCAGTAATTCCGGTCTTCCGCCTGTTTATTTACGCACATGGATTTGAGGGCTTTGCATACATTGTTCAATTCTTGTTTTGTTTTTGTGGTCAAACCACCACTGCTACCGGATCTTTCACCAATGTGGCCTGAGCTTCCTCTTGAACCACTATCTCATCTTTTTGCGGTAGAAATTCACCCTCCTCGTTCTTTGGAACAGCTTCCTGCTCTTGGGTGGGAGATGTACCTTCCTTTGTTTGATTAGATAAGGTGGTATCTTCCTCATTCGATGCTTTAGGCAACTTAGTTTTTTCATCATTGGCAGAGGATAACTTGGTCTTTTCAGAAGGCAGTTTGGGGAGGGACTTCCTCTGTGGCTTCTTTGGATGAACAGGGGAGAGTCCTTTGATGGGAATGTTTGAAGATACTTTCTCATCCAAGCTTAACCGACCTGGACGATAGCTCTGGCTATTGTTTAATTCAGAGACTGCAGGGGATGAGCTCTTCTTTCTACCTAGCTTGGGAGATTTGGCTCTTGTTGTGGGTATCTGCATCAAAGCAACAGCATCAAGACCAATGCAATTTCAATTGGATAACAGTCCTGCCAGACATACCAGGAACAAGTTCACTAAAAGATCAATGCTGCCACATAGTAGACCGAAATTGTCAAATAGGATCAATCAAATCCAATGGTAGTGCACCCATTGGAAAAGGCAAAACAAACTTCGACAAGGGTCTTGATAGAATTAGAGGGTTTCCCCAAGAAATTTTCCAAGATAACCTCCTAACTTGAAGTTTTGGTAGTGAAAGATGATGAGCATATCCATTAGAAGAAATCTTGACAAAAAATAATTAAAAAAAAGATGGTCATGATGTGGCTTTCTAATATTGGTAAAAAATAGTGACACCCAACCATAATTTAGCACAAACAGTAGGCTCCACTGGGGAATATTATACAACTATCACCAGTGCATCTAAATGGCATAAGACCTTAATAGAATTCCATAATGCAAGCTTTGTTGCCAAATTTCAACGACTGGTATGGTAAAAACTGCAGAGTGCAGGTAGTGAAGAGTAAGCAATTGATTATTGGTACAACACGAATACTAATAGCAGCAAAAGGCCTCATGTGTGGAAAGTGAAACAGCTGAATTTTACCAAGCAAAGGTACAAATTGCTGCAGGATAATCGTGTCATTAGATAGATATAAGACAAAAGCACAAATGGTGAAAATTACAGCCCATGACAGTAACTTCACACAGTTACTTCAATTCAAACTATCAAATTCTGAATAAATGAATCTAAGACAGATAAAGCACTGAGTTTGAAAAAACAACGCAACCCAATATAATTGACAATTGGAAGCAATTGCAGGGATCAGTGAAGTGCACAAATCTATTCAAGAAATGCTCGGAAAGCTATAAGCAATTTGGAACTGGAGCCTACTATAGCCCAATCTATTTTGCAATCCTAAAAACTGCAACGTTCAGCAGCTAGCTGGGCAGCAAATGCACCATCTTGTCTTTTACCATGTTGGAGGGCATCAGCAAGTCTTGTATGAGTGCAAAAATTATTGCAATGCAAGAGACCCACAAGCATGCCGTAGTAATAAAAAAAAACACAGTTACCTTCTTAAGCTCCACTTTAGGTGGTGCAGGCTCCTGATAAAAGCTGGGCATTGGTGTTGCTTTAAAAGCCAGGCTTTTCCTAAGCAACTTAATCTCAGCTTCTTGGGTTTCCTGTGAGAGAATTCAGTGATTGACACGACGAGAAATGAATTCAAATAGAAACACAGTCCATAGCAATCATAAACATTTCTTTACCTTGGACTTAGCTTGCATGGAATTCTTTTCCTCTTCCTTTGCATGAATCTTTTCCTCAAGCTTAGAGTAGAACTGAACAACATAACGTTAAAGATAATTATGTTGACACCATAATTGCTGCTGGGAAGCTTACATGTAGAATCAAGAAGGTCAAGAACAAAACTAACCTCCTTCCTTTTCTCAGCTCGTTCATCACACCTAAAACTGAAACCATATTTCGGAAGTGCACCCACCTTGCGAGGTTTGGCATCTTCTGCATTGGGACTTCTACAATGCAATTAAGGAAAAACTTGCATATACCATAGAAAAAGGTGAAATGGTCATAAGCTGGAGATTGCTTTCTGTTCATAGAAGAAGAAATGACAACACATTCAAAGAAAAAAGGATACGAAGTAGAGTCTGTTTCTCCTTCAGCTTTAACAACAGGCCCTTTCTTCAAAGGTTTCAGTTTCATCTTCTCCCTGTATATAGCAAAATCACCATTAACAAACAGCAAGAGGAAAAAGCAGTGGTAAATAAATGTGATTTAAAAAATTCTAACAACTACTTCAAGTAATCAGGCATCCTGGATCAAGTGAGTCCAATACAAAGAAGAAGTGAATTTAACAAAGATAAACATAGCTCCATGACATTAAGAAAAAAATAAAAGGCAAAAGCAACACACAAAAAAATGCAAGCAATACATACACAAGGCCTTCAGATGGCGCTGCATCAGATTTCCCAGATTGCTGTTAGAAGCAAACAAGAGCAAAAAAAATGATAAGCAAATACAAAGGTAACGACCAACATGTGGTACACAAGCAAAAAAGCAATTTCAACTTGTACCTTGGATGCATGACCCTGCCTCTCGTTGAATGATTTGCTTTTGAAAGGCTGTTTTAATTCTGAATTTACAGCAACAGAGCCATTTGAAACAGTGGGTCGTGCCCCAGCATCTCTTCCATCCCTACCCTTCTTCACCTGAGTGGCTGAGAAATTTTTTAGGTGTGAGGGCTTAGATTTACCACTCTTTCCTGTACCCTTCTGAGATTTAGCTTTCTCTGAATTATCAGCACCTTTCCCTTTTGAATCTCCTTCCTTTATGATAGAAATATCAGGTTCAAAATCAGGCTTAGCTTTTAGCCATTGAACTAAATACAGAGACTGAAACATCATCTCACCTTAGAAACAGACAATCCATTGCTTCCCACATAAGCCTTTAATTCAACCTCGCCTTCCCCAGCAGATAAATTATCAGTAGTACCATCATCAGGATTAAAAGTGTTCCCCACGCTCCCATTTAAATTATTTGAAACAACCCCATCCTCTCCAGCAGCAGGACGTTGCTGATGAACACCATTTTGATGGGCAGCCTCAAGCCCATCATCAGGTAAAAGATGATTCTCAGAATCCATCACACTCTGTGATGAAGAATAAATAAATAGATAAACAAAACAACTGTAAGACATTTGCAACTAAAAGTTGATTTGACAAAACATGGAAACATACACTGGACAGCGAAGTTCAGACTGCAAAAACTAATTCTCTGATTTCATACTACTCTATAATTAAGTTATACTTAGAAACTCAATGCTTTTAAATAGGGAAAACAATTCAACTCCGTCCCTAATTAAGCAAACCAATCCACAACCTCATACTTCTTCGTTGTCCAAAACAGAACCACGCCCTGCACCCATTACATTGTATTCAAAACCATAAATTTAATGCAATTTTACAAACTCAAATTTTTCAGCAAAATGTCTAACAAAACGCGAGATTACAGAGAAACAGACCTCATCGTCTCATTACCAACTTACAGCGACTAAGTCAAGAAAAAAAACAATTCAGTTCAATCTAGAATTTGATTAATTTCTACCATTTTTTTCCCTAGTCCACTTTCTCAGCAACAAAACAAGATTCACAAAAAATAAGACTCAAATCAGTACAAAATCCTAGCAAACGAATGCTTGTTAACAAACTAAAAGAATCTCTACATTTCCAAGAGTCAAATCGCTCCTTTAACACTGATCTGCTCATAGCAAAAAATGAAAATAAAGATTCCAGACAGCAAAAATCAACACTCCGTTCAGTACCAAACAAGTTCACTACTAACTACTCAAATCTAACTCCACAATGAGAGAGAGTTGAAAATTTTGCTCAGCAACCAAACAGAAAAACAAACAAAAGTTCCACAACTTCCTTACCTCGAAAGGCGTGCGACAGAAATCAAAACTCCATCAGTCAAGCCACTATAAGATAATAATAACAGATTTATCAATGGCTATGAAGGATCTGAGTTGAGACCGGGCTTCGCGAACCGGAGGATCCGACCCGAAACAGTAAGATCGATCTCTATTCGGACTATTCTGTAAAAAAAAAAAAAAACAAATACTGAAAATTAAAAATATATTCTTGTTTTTTCTGTTTTGTAAGGCTCAAAAGGTTGTTTAAAAAACAGCGGCTTTCAAATCCATTTTATTTCCAGGTCACTCGCTCAGTGTCTGTCTATACTTAAGAGACGAGAGAGAGAGAGAGAGAGAGAGACTGGGGTATGGTATACGTGTACGTATACGGTTATACGAGAGTAGATAAAGATATACGGTTATTAATTTCCTTGTTTCGACGGGACAATAGGTCAGTTTTGGGGCGGTTACTTAAAGTAACTGATTGATTAGTGGACAAGTAACTGTTAATTTTGCTAAATGGTCCTACTTAATATCAAATTTAGTATTTAACTTCTTTATTTTATTTTATTGAACTTTTGTTTGTGATTTGTTATTTTTTTATTAGAAAATTGGAAAGAAAGATGAGGGGTTATGTTGGGAGCGATGAATGATGGTATTTTTGTCCCATTATTTGTCAATACATGCTTGCTCATTTTCAAATTTTCAAATTCGGTCCCAATGGACTTTTTTATTTTTTTAATTCTTCTTTCGAGAGTAAGGATTTGTGTTGGATTTTTTAAAATGTTTTTTAATCATCAAATGTTATGGTTAATTTTATAATACTAATGATCCTCAATTTTTAAACTATCACTTTTAATCACATGTGAATGAAATTTCTTTTTTTGGATAAAAAACAAAATTAGAAATGAAAATTAGAAAATGTGTTTAAGTCATTAGATACGGTGCGATGGTACTATAGTATGGGATAGAAAATATGTTTTATAGAATTCTAGTTTTTTATTTAATAATAAAGGTATTTTTTTGAACCGATTGTGTGTTATTGTATTTTTTACCCTTTTTTTTTTTTGTCATCATGGATAGGAGTTTTGTAGTCCACATATTTGTTAGATATTAGAAAGTTAACATTAATAGTTAGTAGTTAGTAAAGTATAAAAAGAGATTGTATTATCACAATAAACTGAATTAACTCATTATAAAGAGGAAGAGCTACTCTATTTTCCTCTTGTAATGAGATTTTTCTTAAATTCAAATACTTCAAAAAGAGGATTTAAATCTATAACTTTTTGTAAGAGTAAAAAGCTCATTGTAAGTTTATCGGTGTGTATTTTTCACATCGGTCTAATAATTTTAGAAAAAATTAATTATTATTTTTTAAAAGATGTTGATATTAAGATTTGAATCAAAAAAATTAATAAAATGATTAAACTAAGTACCAATTAATTAACCCTTTTAATTTTTTTTTATCGATGTTGTTTTGTTGTAATTCAAAATTATGAGACATGTGTATCATTAGCCTTGCAATTTGTTTCCAAATTAGAGAAAAATCTGAAAATTTTGGCTCAGTTAAAGGTTGGTGCCGGTTGAGTTCCCTGATCTCGATCTTAACCTTAATTTTTTCTATAATACAAAATTACAGTGATTTTGTGATGTATGGAGTTTCATTTACCAAACTTGCATATGTCAAACGTCCAACCTCTAATCCAAAGAGAAAAAAAGGAAATATTTCGCATTTAACTCCTTGTCTAAAAACGATTAAATTGAAACAAATTAAAAGAAAAATTCAAAACACTTTAATAATGAATAAAAGCTAAATCGACTATCATAATCTTAAAGTCAAATTAATGTGTGTTAGGTAATGGGTTGAAAATATACTTCTAAATTGTTTTTCGTTTGACAAAAGCATCAAATTGATGAATTTTCAGAATTTTTTTTGTAGAATTTTGACATCATCGTGTCAAAATGGATTCACTTTATAATTAATTTTTGTACAGATTAAATTTTCTTTGATTATGACCTTTTATTATTTTGCGAGCTTGATTGAAATCTTTTACTCTCACGAACTTATTGATTGAGATATTCCGTTACAATAGTGTTAACTATACATAGTACGTAGTAATTTAAAATTAATGATAACAAATCAAATAACGACACATGATAAATTTTTTTAATCCATATTTTCACGTGTCGGTTCTTGATTAACACGTGTGATGTATAATTAACAACGTTATAATGAAAGATCTTAATCAATAAATTTATAATAGTAGAAGGTTTCAAACAAATTAAAAAATAATAAAAAGTTTTAATAAAAAAATTAAAACTTTACAATGACAAATTATAGGCTAAACCCCTATCAAAATGATTAAATAAGAACTAATTCTAATAAAAACATTTTGAATTAAAAAAAAAAAAAAAAAAAAACAGGCACCAGGAAGCATAGTCCTAGACGATACCTTAGTTGATGTTACGCTGTATATTATTGCTCTGCTCTAACTCACATCGAGCCGATGGTAATTGACCTCGTAAATCTTCGAATGTAGCTAGCTAGTTAGGTTTCCGTGGACAAGGCTTCTTTCCATTCCCTAAAAACATACATAAAAACGGACAATTCAATTAATGGAACAGACACTAGTTTGGACCAACATGCATGCCACGACGAGGAATTGAGGACAGTCCAAAGACTAAGTAACCTATCTTTCACTTGTCCCTGCTCAGAGAGACCGAATGGCAAGCAAAGATTGACATGTAGAGTCAGATCATCTAGGTCAATGATGCAAAGATAAATAAAAGATTTGACAGTGCAGTTGTGAATTGATGCTATTGTCTCGGCCTCAGTCGGAATCTCAGTATGTTTATCTTGGTATCTTGGAGCAGGCTAGCTTGTTGTCATTTAATACAATGAAGCTGTAGGGGAAATCATCATCGCTTCAAATTCTTCCTTCCTTCCTGCTGCTGGCAATTCATGAGTTTCATTTGGAATATGCACGGGTACTTTCTTCTTCTTCTTCTTCTTCTTTTTCAATGATCTAGTGTGATATTATTGAAGTTGTTTGTACATTAGTAATTATTTTCTTTGAAAAATTAAAAAATTATAAAAAAAACTCACAGGTTAAAGATTTAGGATATTCTTCTACTGTTTCAAATATCTTAATCATATCTTTCGTGTTCTTCTATTTTTAATTGTGTCTGCATTTATTCATTTCAATTATTTTTTTAGACAATAAAAACAAAAATACTAAAAATTATCTCCGTTGTCTGAAAAAATGATTAGATGGACCAAATACAAACATAATTAAAAATAAAAAAATACGATAGTTGAAAATTTTAACATAGAGACATGATTAAAACATTTGAAATAATAAAAGGATGAATTGTACCTTTAATCCAAAAATTCACTACGAACTTGATTTTTGAAAATTTATTTTTTTTTACGAAGAAAAAACTTGAACCCAGAACCTTTTTTAAATCAACCTCTATTGCCATCAGTGCCATCGTTAGGTCAGGACCGAATTTGTAATTAATGGAGAAAGCAAATGGGGCAGAGGTAGGAGATGGAGGTGATGACAGACCGACCAGTTAGGCTAATTTGTCGGGGAGCGACAATGAGCCGCAACTGGCCACCGTGTTTTGCAGCCAACCTCTTAATTCCTCAACCCTTACGAAGTGGACGCGCTCTTACGTGGGCTGCTACTCTGTGCATTCCTCGAGCTTTACATAGTTATTTACAGGCAACTTTACCCGTTTTATGTCCAAATCTTTATCCTGCATTTAATCCTCATTTCGTTAGTTCTACTATCTATGTATCAAAATTAAGCTTCTTATAAGAATTCGTTCATTCCAAATAGTCGAATGTTTGTATCAACAATTGCAAATACTACAAATAGTACACATATAGTAGAATATATTCGTATAAATTTTAATATTAATCAATACTAAATATATTATTATTTGAATTATATTAACTTCGGATAAGTATACATTTATACAACTGCAATTAATTGCGTTGTTGATTTTAAAAAAAAAAGGAGAGGACCAAATACACCATGTTATAATGCAAGTTTGAAATTTGAATTTCAATGGGACGGTGGGGAATTTAAAGAATATTGAAAAGGGGCTGGTTGAGAAAACAACTTGGAACCACCACATATACGATATGTCCTTGTAGTAATTTAAAGAAAGTTTCTCAAAAATTAATTAATTAACGGCTTAAAAGAGTAAGAAAAAATCAATGACAGTAAAGAATGGGAGTGGTGGTGGCTTTCCTCTATTGGAGTTTTAGGCGCTTGCTGTCTTGTGCCTTGACTTTCAGTGTACTCTCATCATAATTACATAGATAATTAGATAGAAATAAATAAATGTTAATGGTCAAATTTAAAGAAATTGGGTTGCTTAATTGAGTGCATTTGCACCACCTTCATGACAAGACACAAATACTTTTAAGCCAAGTTGGCTAGCTAGCTAGGAGGAGATAAGATTTTGTGCAAGATGATGGGCTTTGTCAACCTTGGACATCATGTTTCTACTTATTGATGAGTACTAGGTTATGTCATAGCCGTTTCTATCTTCTTGATAATATTTTTTTTTTCACTGGCCAACGATATTAACAAATAACAGATTTCAGGTGGTTCAAAGTGGGTGGTTACCTGACCAAAATATTATTTTTCTTACATCATTGCCAACCTCAAAATACTTTTTGTACTAACCTAGCTCTTGTATTGCTATTGAAAAAAAGAAAAACAAAAAAAAAACTAACTAAAATACATTGAATAATGTTAATTAATTGATTAGCTTTAAATCCTAAAATTGAATACTTTGATAGAGATAATTAATTATATAAAATCTTAACATTTACTGACTCCTTGAAGGGTACACTTTTCATAACTGTAAACATAATTTAATATTATTTATTTTGAAGGATGTTATGTACATTGCAAGATAATAAATAATTATAATTTTATTGTTATTGTTTAGTTCAAAAGAGTTCATCGTTATATGCAGTAAAATTAAGGAAAAATTTAATTTCCATTGAAAATATACTTCTAAGATATTCCTTAAAAAGAAAATAGTGGTTTAAATTTATATATATCGCTAAATTCATCAATAAAATTATTATTCTCGTCGTTTTTTCTAAAAAATTATCAATGCATCCTCTATCAATATTTGTTATATAATTATTATTTGTAATTGGTGAAAAATATATTTATAATTATTTACAAAAAAAAAGATGAAAATAATAATTTTATTGATGAATTTAACATTATTCTAAATTTATTAGGCCTCGTAGTAATTTTTTTTATAAAAAAACTAATGCTTTGATGCAGAGAATGTGGATTTTAAGAATTCAAATTAAATTTCCAGTAGGGCAATTAAAATTGGAATTTTACGAGGTAATTCCAAAATTTTCTGACAGTCACATGGCACGTGCTCCAGAGAAGTGAGCACGTGAGCGATCCGGAGAGTCGGCACCCGGAGCTGATTAGCGATCAATGCAAGCGTCCCTACTGATTTCAGCCTCCAAGACATTCTCTAGCATCTGCACGTGTAAGGTGAGTCCTACTACTCCAAATTGGGTCCCAACACGTGGCGTGTTCGGAGGTCAACGCAAGTCAAAGGTCAGTTTCATCAGCTTAGCTGCGCCTTGTGTTCTTGCCAAATATTCTACCCTCAAAACAATTTTCCTTTTCTTTTTCCTTTGATAAAAGAAAGAAAAAATTTTGTATAATAATGGTTATTCCCAGTGTTTTAAAAATTTTCCGTAAGAGAATGATATTTTAAAATTTCTCATAAAAAAGTAGGTTAAACAGTAGGCCAAGAACCCAAAAAAAAAAACTACAATTAAAAATTTTCCTTAAGAGAATAAATATTTTGCTTGTTATAATATTTTAACCATTGACACAAATCTTTTTAAGATTTTTTTTTAATGGGCTTGACATTCATAGACGGTTTTTATATGCTGATGCTAAATTATTCCTTACTCAAATTTTAAATGAATTATCCATAGCCAAATTATTCATTTAAAAAATTTATCTTCCATGATCTCTCTTCACATTTAAATATGAAATGATAACATGGTGTGCAAATCCAATTGTCATCTAATTTAAACCTTAATGTACTATTTGATTATAAAAAATAGAGTGATAAGAATAAAAATAAGAATTTTATTTCTACTCTATAACTGTTCGATTGAAAAAATTAAAGTGGGAATGAAAAATTTTAAAAAAAATAAAAATAAAAATCAAACAAAATGTTATTTTCATGTGAAATGTGAGAATATAAATAAGAAATGAGAATACATTTTATTTTTTAAAATAACAATTTATTATTTTTATTTATTGTGTATTAATTATTTCTACCACCATTACTATCATTTCTATTGGTGGTGGTGATAAAAGAAAAATTAAAAAAAACTATTATTATTATCATTGTGTCACTTCTCCTCTTCAGCAACAACCATAATTTTTATTATACTGCCACTACCACAATTGATAGTGATAATTAAAAGAAATTATCGTTATTATTATTCTACGACCATTCCTCTTCAACCGTCATTTCTCTTCGATCATTATTTTTATTCATATTAAAAAATTTAAATTTTATTTTGATTATTTATTATTATTTCAAACACGGTATAAAAATATAACTCGTCATTACTGAACTTTTCATTTTTAGTAATCAAACGATACTCAATAATTAATATTGACTTGACTTGCTTCAAAATAAAATATTTGTGTTTTCTACTTGCCATCTTAAGAGACTAATCTGCCCTTACTTAATTTTAATTTGTTGGAAAATTACTTATTAGTGACTCCAAACACATATAACTTAAAAGTTCTAATTATTGTTTACTTTAAATCCAAGATTAGCTTATTCAAAATTTTCCTATTTCATCATCAACTCTGGGGAAACTTTAGCTGTGGAAGATGATTGAAAGGGACAATAAAGTAGAATATAATTTTACAAGGAATTGTCTTTCTCAAACAATGAAGCACAATCTTTTTGCCATCTATAGAAGCAATAGACATAGTCACATAGACACACCTTGGTACGACTTTCATAGGCTAATGGTGTGGCCCAACATTCTCTTCTGTGGATTATTTTGCATATAAATAAATATTTCATTAATCTAATTATGTTTCCCATCTCATTGTAAGTGGTAGATATTAATTATAAATTTATAAATTTATAAATAATTAAATAAATGGATAAGGGACTCATTAGCTCCACTTATCATCAAAAGGATACATTGAACCTTAAGAGTTAAGAGTAGTCGCTATTGTTAGTGACATAAATTGCAATACTCCCTTGATTGTTTTTCAGTGATTTTGAATGGTGAAGAAGATGATCAATCCATTGACAATAATACACTTGGAGAATATCAATTTCTGAATCTTATCCTTTTAATTATGTTCTTAATTGACCAAAAAAACATAGAATACCAAAAAATAATTTATATTCTATGTTCAGTTATTCATTCGTTTTAAACATGGAATTTCATACACCATGTTCAACCCTATTTTATTGGCTTATATATGCTGATTGCTATGATTCCCATGTCCAAAACAATCAATTGGTTGTTGATGAACAACATGGGAACAATCGAGAGAAGAATTGGTCAAAATTTTCCATGTCAATTAACAATAACATGGAATAGAGAACCTTTTGTTTTGAGGTTTTTTAGTTCTGCTTTTATTTAGTTATTATTTGTTTAATTTCTGGCCAGATAAGTATGGAATAAAGTGGTTGGTTATGATATCCAAGGCTTGACCCACAAGCATCTATCTTTGGACATACATTGTTGTTTAGCAACTTCATGAAGATTATGTAAAAGGAGGATTTTGCTATACTACCCTTATGTTTCCATGCATTTATCCTATCGTATGCCCATTTTTCTAGTTGTTTTAACGCATGCTCATGATCATGCAGGACCAGCAAGAACACGACATGCAAAAAGCAATCAATCAAAGCAATTAAGCCAACCCATTTTGCACACTCACTCGAATGAGATTCCAAAAAAAAAAATATTCTAAGTTTTCAAAGATTCGCTTCTCATTTGCAGGGATTTCTAAGGATACAAATCATTATTGAGTTTGGAGTCATCATTTAGTATTAAAGGAGTTAAAAACCTGAAAAATGTTATTTTAGATGTTTTGTTTTTGTCCAAATGATGAAGACATTTTCGAATAACAGATGTTTTGTTTTTGTCCAAATGATAATGATGAAGACATTTTCGAACCAACTTTGTATACCGAAGCTATATCGTTTCTTTATCAGGTTTTAACTGGACTATTTTTGCATCTGCAAGGCATTGTCCATGTAACAAGGGTTGAGCATGGGTGATTATCAATCCATATTCTTGCAAAAATGTTACAACCATAATTTAAGGTTTTAACTATAAAGTAGATGCCGATTAAGACCCTGCATAACTGGCAACAAAAAGGATGTTCTCAACAACCAGGCTACCATGCATGTTACATTAGTTACTCAGTTGTTTGTACTTTTTGTATAAACTTCTAGTTAGGTTTACCATCTCTCTCTTGCCCTAACTAAAAGTTATAAACTTTCAAGCATATAATATACTGTTGAGCCATTGAGGTAGACATTTCGTGTATGTAATCTTTCTGTGGTGGATACTGCAAGGGCCCAATGAAGAATAGAAGTAACAGAAGTGAAACTGTTGAAACTATTACAAACTTTTCCATCTTGCACCAGAATTCACAAGTTTGATGTATGCATTCTTAAAATCGTCGAAGAACATGTTCTGATTGTCAGCATAACTTTCGATCCATCTGCACAGAACACGGGTTTCTATCGGTTACACAATGAAAGGAAATGGTGATCAAAATTCAAATCCATGCTACAATTGATCGAAGTTAAACAAGTTTAGTTCAAGTTAAGCATATATAAGAGAAGGCATGAAACTATTTGAAGAGTTTAATTTGATCAGTTTAGGAAATAGAATGCATGTTCATGTCTCTTTGGATGTCTTTAAGACAAGCAAGAGGATATATGTCCCACAAAAAACATAACACATGCATGGGATGACAAACTAAACTCATTATTTAGAGCTGGAATTGACCAAGAGGTAGTGAAAAATCTCCTTAAGTCAAACTGGTAATCCGTTATAAGAATTACATAGCATGTGTTCCTAGTTAAGCTTTTGTAAAATGACTGCAAAAACTCCAATGTACTATCGAATTGTACTGCAGCAAAATACTTTAATTTTTTTAGTCTTGATTATGCTTGTGTCTTTTAGTAGGTGTAAATGCATTTTCACATGCATGTGTTCTTATTTCTGAATTTTTTTCACAACTATTATGGCTATTGTCTGCTAGTTTCCTTGTTATTGAATTTTGAACTCTTTCACGTAACCCTGTCTTGGCTATATGCTTCACTCTTTGAGGGTAAAACTGAGAATTGCCATGCAAAGTAAGGAGACAACGCAGCTAAGACATAAGATGTTCGGAAATGGCAAACCTCAAACATTCATCATCTTCAACAAGTGCATGATCCGAAGGAAGTCCAATCATGCTTGTCATACCACCTACATTCAAAAAACAAAAACAATAGATCAAATAATTTATTAAACAACAGATTAAATTTTCAGTTTCGCAAATGCCAATATGAAATCGGAAAATTTTGAAACAAAAAAAGGGATAAGTTCGATTAATAGATGTTGATAGTTGATACTTCTGTCCCAATTCTGATTTATCTGACAGAAAGTTTAACTTGTAAAATTATTAGGTGAGAAAAAAGTATTCTTCCATGGTTTATGATGAAGTGTTCTTGACTTCTTATCATAATTGTTTTGGAATAGCATAGACTCAACTCAAGCATGTGGCATAAACCAAAAGTGCCTTGAGATTCGACAGCAACGCTGGTGATAATCTAAGATAGTGCAGTGATTATCCAATGCAGCTAAGACAAGTTCTAAAAATATGATAATCATGTTAGTTTTTACCTGAAGATTTCCATGGCTTTTCTAGAAGAATTTTATAGTAAGAATTGTCAAAAACAAATGGACTTCCAAAGCCTTTACTTCCAAGAGTATGAGCTCCAGATAATGCAACAAGTTCCCGTGTTCTGCGAAAAAAGAGAGGTCATATTTTCTGCAGACAAGATAGTAATAGTGAAACTTAAGCGTGATAAATATGCTGAAAATATTTCCTTACATTCCCCACTACACATTGACTAAGCCCAAGAAGACTATAACAACAACTGAGTCTATGGAAAAAAGATAAGAACTCACGATAAGCCTTTTCTTTTAAAGCTCTGCTTCAAACCTGACGCATCCAAAGTTTCTCGAGGAAGTTTGCCTTCACTATCAGACTCCCTATGAAGATAAAAACCGCTGTTAATAATGTGGGCTAGAAATTTCAAGTAGATAAATTTCTACTCCCTCAAAACTCTACATTACATTGAACAGTAATTGGCCCATAGATCACAAACTCAAATAAAAGACTTTTAGATTATTTTCATGAACTGTGGGATGATCTAGTTCACTTCATATCAAGTCATATCCTTTGCTAAATGGTAAGGTTGAAAGGTGGCTTCTTACAGCGAATCTAGTCTCCCTAACTGAACTGGTATTGTTGGACCCCCACAAACTGAAACTGCTTCTGCTCCAGCCACAGCAATCATGTCTGCCCAGGAGACTAATAGGGGAAAAATCTAAACATATTAGCCAGGCACCACACTGTCCATTATTCTAGAAGCCATCAAATAGCGACATTTCAGATAACCACCTTGTTGTATTGCATCCACTTCAACCTTTGCTTTGTCAAGAATCTAAACAACAACGCACCCACTCTGGAGTTAGCTGGCAGCAGATCGTATTAAGATTGACCAGTCTGTATTTACATAAAAGGAAATTTAGCGAAAGCAAAAAAATCTATATAGAACATGTATCTGCATACATAGTTGCAATAGAAATCTGCAAGTTCAAATTTGTGTTTATAACAAGAAAAGCATGAGAGAGAGAATGCATGCCTTCAGTGATTTCTTTAAACCGGCATTTTCAGGTCTGTCAAGTTCATAAACTATAGATCCATTCATCCCCCCTGCTTTAATTTTAACAGTGTACAGTGTATAAGTAACAGTAACCGGATGAGAAAGGAATTAGAAATTGATCATAGTAGGATGTAACTAATATCATGTAGATTATTTAGTCAAAATAAACACCTGAGTTCTCATCCATTTCAAACGTTCCTGCATCATGAAAAACAAGACGAAGTACACCAGCAGCCTTGCCTTTGGATACTACCTTCCTCACTTCATCCTTTATGAGCATATAAGTGTATGTATCTGACCTTTAGCATCAATAAACAAAACAAAATATTAGCAAGTGGAGTATCTAGAGACAAGCCGACAATAACACAAAAAACATGCCACAGAATTTAGACAATAACAATTGATCTTTTCATTTCCTAAGTACCCATAATTATGTGGCATTGGCAAATTAAAAATCATCTTCAAATACAAAGCTCAACTTAACAACAAAAATAAAGTCTGATAATTTACTTGTCAAGAATCCCATAACTAACACAATAAACTCTATTAAGCAACCTCTAATCAAGGAATCCAGCTGAAAGCCGCAAGTCTTATCCACTGAAATCATCCAAAATTCACAAATGAAAGAAATCCATATCCAAATCCAAATCAAACAATTAGTGGGTATATTTATTAAACTTACCGGGCTGCTTTAGCTCCCAAATCCTTCACAAATTCATGCAAACCAAATAGAAAAGGTAATGTTGATATGCTGAAAAGCAATCTCCTTCTATTTGAAAAGCAATCATCTTTCTCTCCTGCAAAAGAATAAAGCTCAATCGAGATTCCATTTTTAAATCATTGATCCACTAACACACTCTTAAAGAACAAAATAACAACACCAATTAGAGATTTTGCTTAAGCAGAAAAAAGGGCAATTAAGAGATGGTTACCAGAACCATTACCATTGTTGGTGGAGGGAAAAGCACAGGCTTTGAAAGGTATGGCTCGAATTTTGACCGTTGAGGAAAAGGGTCGTTGTGATTTGGCGGGAAATTTGAATTCTTGAAGAGAAGAGGAGAAGAGAGTGGAGAAGGGAAGAGAGGAGGGTTTGGTGGTGCTGAGGATAGTTAAAGAAGCCATCTTTAGTGGATGGGGTTAAGAGGGTGCTTTTGGTTTTGCTCTGTAGAGGGTAGGGAGGCTTTTCAAGTTGGAGAGGTAGTGATTGGATGAGATTGAGTTTTGAAGTAGAAAAGGAGCCAATAGACCCCATCCTATTGGCTAGTTTCTTCCACAAGTGGACGACTATTGGCCATTAGTTTAAAATAGCTACAAGAAATTTAGACCTTGGAAACAAAAAAATGAGCTACTTGACCAAAATGGAAGAAAAATTCTGGTGGAAATGAAAGTTTTCATCCCAACAAGAAGGATGATTCTATGACTCTGTAATTCCAGAAAGGAAACTTTGATTGGGCAATAATTTCCTCCTAACTTATCATTTACAGCTAGTCCCTCTTTCAATCTTGGAATATAGTTAAAAATAAGATGCGATTTCGATGTTTCAAGTCAAAATTCTCTATGCTGCATCACCTTTTCACAATCAACACTCTTCATTTACATATCAAATTAGTGAGCGTACAAAAGTGATCAAGCTTAATTTACTAACGGCTAGTGTTACAAAATTTCAATTAATATAAAAAATATACGGGAACATTATAGTAAACATATGCAGAAATGGCTCAACTCTACATCTAAACATAAGAATTCCCCCAACTGTCAGCAAATGTTATCTTGGGCCGGAAAGCCGCACTGCAGAGAGGTAAGCATCACTATTGTAGTCTGATGGTCCTGAGGAAGTGCCCTCCTCACTTACTGATTTGAAGAAACTTGAAAAAAGGCGAGAACCCAACGGTGATGAAGTTGGTGGCATTGGAACTGGGGAGAGACCTTCAAGCATTTGGACAACTTTGGTCATTGATGGCCTGAGATGCATATCTTCCTGTATACACCACAATGCAACTTTAATAGATGCGGAGACCCTCTCATCGTCTTGGTTGAACTTGAGCTTCGAATCAACGATTTCTCTCAGTTTCCCTTCTTCCATCATCTTGAATGCATAAGAGGGGAAATGGGACTTCTCTGAAGATTCGGTTGGAACAAAGTTTTTTCTTCCACCAATGATCTCAAGCAACAACATGCCATAGCTATAAACATCACTTTTCTCTGATATGGCATAATTTGTGATCCATTCTGGTGCAAGGTACCCCCTGGTGCCTCTTAATGTTGTGAAAACATGGCTTTGCTCTCGATTCATCAACTTAGCCAAGCCAAAATCTGAGACTTTGGCAAGAAACTGACCATCAAGAAGCACGTTTTCCGGTTTTATGTCGCAATGAATGATCTTTGAATCACAGTCTTCGTGGAGATAAGCTAGTCCTTTTGCTGTTCCAACAGCAATATTGAATCTTGTTTCCCAATCCAACAGGAATTCTTCTTTGTTCCTCTTGAAGATCCATTTATCCAAAGACCCATTTGGCATGAACTCATAAGCAAGAAGGCGGTGAGTTCCTTCAGCACAGAAGCCTCTTAGCCTGACCAAGTGGTGATGATGGATACTACCAATGATTGTAACTTCAGCTCGAAATTCTTTCTTTCCCTGACCAATGCCTTCCAACTTCTTCACAGCCAGTCGAGTTCCATCTGGGAGAGCTCCTTGATAAACTGAGCCAAATCCTCCTTGTCCAAGCTTCACTGAGAAGTTATTAGTTGCAATCTGAAGATCTCTGTAACTAAAACGGATTGGCATCCCAGATAAACCCTCTATGAAGTTATCATCTTCTGAGGTGTCGTGGGGAGATTCAGGCCTTTTCTTCTTTTTCCTGTGATAACGAAATGCCAAATAAAGTATACCACAAATGGCGATCAATGTGGCAATGACTATTATCACAACAACTGGAAAGCTTTTATGGCTGCTTCCTCCTCCAGCATTGGAACCACTGCTTCCACTCAAAACTTTAATGTATGCAACAAAACTAGAGCCTGCATTAGAGTTCTGCAAACTTCCTATGTTACTGAACAGGAAGCAGTTTCCAGAACTGTTTTGGAAGAAAAGAGCAAGGCATGAGCAGTTACCATCACAAGCGGATTTACAGCCTTCCAGATCCGTTTTTGAAGAGGGTGGTACAAACCCCAGAGCAAAATAATTGAGCCCGTTCCCAGCACTCACAAGCTCTGTAGAACCATTTGAACCATCACAGGTAGAGACAATCCCTGTCTGGCAATTTGGGCGGGTAGTAAGACCAGAAGGGCACTGGCATACATTGTTACCAGAACAAACATAAAGTGAGTCGCAAGGTTCTGGTCTGCTGCATGGATCATTCGGTATTTTTGTTTGTGAATCACTGCCTCTATCATCAAGATTGTAGAAAGAGATAATACCATCAATTCCTAGAACTGCAATCCAAGTGGCATTTGCATCAGTACTATCAGAGAAAATAAATTGTGACAATAACACTTTGTTTCCATCATAGAACCTCCATGAATTTCCACGGAGAGATGCCACAGCAACTTTCCCACCATCTTTATTGACGGTTCTCCGGCTCTCTTTTTGGATGGACCAATAAGGCTGCGGAGGTTGGAAACCAGCAGAAAGTATCACGTCTCCGGACTTGATTTCAAGGATATGGGTCAGGTTATTGGCGTTAGGATCACTTACAAGTTTCATTCCATCTACAAAATCCTGGTTTGAAATAAGTGTATCGGTAGGATGGCTAAAACTCTGCCAAAGTACACTAGTGTCATTCCCAAGCAAAACCAAATTTCCTGAATCCTGCATTTCGATTGCAGAAACCCTCTTGCCACCAGTATCAGCTGTCCAAACCACACCTTCCCCTTTTCGTAAAGAAACCTTACCATCTTCACCAAAGATAAAGTTATCAGAATTTGAAACTGGGGAACCTCTATTTGCAGACCATATGACCTTCGAGCTACCCGTGTGGACAATGACTAGCAGAAATTTGGTAACATCTTGAGTAGTTGTAAAGCCAAATGCGAAATTCGAGTTGTTAGATACAAGAAACATTCCATTAAGATTGATCCAGGTCATTTGAGACCCTTGCACCCCTGGAGAGATCGTGCCTACATATTGGACACCAGCCTTGCAGGCTTCAGGAAGGAGGAGGACAAACAACGAAATGGACCCTATAAAGCGAATTAAACCCCATTGGTCCATGGCCACTCAAGAAGAGAAGGACAAACAAACTAAACAAAAGAAGGGAATTCTGCTAAAAATAAATCCAGGACACAGAAAAAAAAGGGCTTTGATGGACAACTTATACGAACAAACAAATGACAAACTCTACATTCTGCCATAATTCTAGAATCAGTACTCACAACCCTAACAAGTTGAACCATGAAGCAGGTTGCTATACATCTAAAGCTAACAATCCCCAGATTCAGGAAAATTTTGGTTAACAGAAGAAAAAGATAACAGGCTATTGAATTGTAAGAACAAAAATATTGAACATGAATAAATGCGAAAGAAAAGAACCCCTCTTTTAAACTTTCTTCCCTTCAATTGAAACACCAAAATTTGGACAATAAGATAGAGAAACCAAGGTGGTCAGTCAAGGAAGCAAACCAATAGACAGAGCCATATACCCTTAAACTTCAAACCCCAAAACTACTCATGATAAACACCAAATTCATAATCCAGAATGACAGCTGATTGATGGGTACCTTTCAGTTAGGACAAGTACTAGAAAAGGAAGAAGAGAACCATCAATTTGAAGTGATGGGTCTCTTCATGTAGACCATAAATTTTGACCAACTCGTTGTAGAAACAGTTTGTGATATGTGAAAAGAGGCAGATTCAAAGAAAGCCGAGTTCTTTTCTTCAGCAATAAATGAAAGACGGAAAGAAAGAGGGAGTTAAAAGTTGTTCCAGAAACAGACAGGGTTGTTTTGTAGGTGTAGCTCTCACCTCATTTTTGTTGTTGTTGCAGAAACAAGTGGACTTGCAAACATGGGTCTTTCTGTCTGGCTTATTTCTCTATAAACAAACTGCTTTGTTTATAGCTCTGCTTGTGTCATCAAAGTTGAAGTCTTTGAAGAGATCTGAGGCGGGTCTTACCTTCAAAGTTCCAGACCGTCAAAACCACGTAAGGTTTTACGTGGTTTTGGCAGATCCAAGTACTATGAGCAGTCTAGGAGTACTTGTTTTCCACGAGCTTTTAAAATTAGGTTCATTTATAGTCCGATTCTTACATTTTGCATCCTTATTTTTATCTTTGATTATTTTTGAGTCCTTGAATGATTTCTTATTTTTAGCTTTTCTATTGTCAAGGGGGATGGGAGAGGCTAGTTAGAGAATGCTATTCATCTAAATTTATTTAATCATTCCTAATTTGTAATGGATCATTTTTTTCCTTTATTCATTAAAAATAAAAAATTCGATTTTGAAATCTTTTTTAAAAGAGTGGGAATAAAAGAATGAAAATATGTGAAATATCTTCCCCTTTTGGCTTGTAAAATGAGAAATGTATTGTTGGGGCAGGGAAAGGTGAGCTAATTATTATATTATTACAATAAAACTAAACTAAAATTATTAGTTACTATTTATTACATAATTTAAAATATTATTCATTCAGACTCATTTCATTATTTATCTAAATTTATAAACACTATTTCTTTCATTATGAATAGTATTTTTATAATTTTTAAATATTTTTAAGACATTTATTATGAAAGTTTTCGTAACATTACACTTTAATCTTTTTTAAAATATTATTTTTTAATTCCATAAATATTTTTTTATTTGATTTTTGTCCCACTTTTTTGTTTCATTTTATTCACTTTGGTCCTTGCTTTTTTTAAATTTTTTTAATTAAAAATTTTAAAACAAAAAGATGTTTAGGAAAAAAAATAATTTACAAAATAAGGTTTTAGTTAAAAATGTGGATAGAGATAAATAAATAATTTTTTAATAAAAAAATTATGAAAATATAAAAAATAATTAGTCAAATACAATTTTTTGATTAAAAATGTTAAAATTGAATTAATTTTTATTTAACTTCGATTTGATATATTTTGATAAATGCACGATATAACACTGAATATCAAAATGAAATAATTTTTAAAAATAATTTTATATATTTTTTCCGACTCGAATTATAGTGAGAGTAGAAAAACTAGTAAAAACATAAGTTTACTATTCATTATACTATTTCAAATACTATTCATCCAAACTCATGAACTATTCACTTAGATTTAGATGCACACTATTCCTTTTACTATGTAGTGGTATTTTTGTAATTTTTAAATATTTTAAAGACATTTATTATAAAACTTTTTGTTACATTACACTTTACTCCCTTTTTAAATATTTGTTTTTAGTCTATAAGTATTTTTTATTTGATTTTGGTGTCACTTTTTTGTTCATTTTGGTCACTTTGGTCTTTACTTTTTTTCCTTTGATTTTTCAATTAAAATTTTTAAGGCGGAAAGATGTTTAGAAAAAAAAACAATTTATAAAATGATTTTTAGCTAAAAATATGGGTATAGATAAATAAATAATATTTTTTAATAAAAAAATTTATAAAAATATAAAGAATAATTAGTCAAATACAAAATTTTGATTAAAAAAATGATAAAATTGAATGAATTTTTATTCAATTTTGATTTGATATATTTTGATAGACGCATAGTATAATACGGGACATCAAAATAGAATAATTTTTTAAAAATAATTTTATGTATTTTGTCCGACTCTCGGTATAGCATAAGTAAAAAAAACTAAACAAAAACATATGTTTATTATTCACTACACTATTCAAAACACTATTTATCTAGACTCGTATGCACTATTCATCAAAACTCGGATGTATTATTCTTTTCATTATACAATGACATTTTTGCAGTTTTCAAATATTTTAAATATTTTTATTATGAAAGTTTTCATGACATTACAATTTGATCCTTCTTTTTTAAATATTATTTTTTTAGTCCATAAATATTTTTATTTGATTTTTGTCTCATTTTTTTTCATTTTGGTCACTTTGGTCCTTGTTTTTTTTTTCTCCGATTTTTTCTATTAAAAATTTTAAGAAAAAAATGATGTTTAGAAAAAATAATTTACAAAATAAGTTTTTAGTTTAAAATGTGGATAGAGATAAATAAATAATATTTTTAAATAAAAGTTTATAAAAATATAAAGAATAATTAGTAAAATACAAAATTTTGATTAAAAAATGATTAAATTAAATAAATTTTTATTTAATTTTGATTTGATATATTTTGATAAACGCATAATATAATACATGATATCAAAATAAAATAATTTTTTAAAAATAATCTTATATTTTTTGTTTAGTATGTGCTAAAGGATGATGACTCCATTGTTTTTCCCTTCTGCTCTTGTACCTCTCTCTACATTCATTTTTTGCAATTTTTTTCTTTTATTTATTTTCATGTATTCATACCATAAATTAAAAATATAATTAATTCTATTCAGAACAGAACCATAAACGTAACATCTTTCAATACATATAAGTTAAGAATTCAAAATATGGATATCAATAAAAATTTTATTTAAAAATCAGCTCGTTCATGGCTGAGTCGGTAAATTATTGGTTATTTTTTTGCAATTTTTGATAACCAAGTTGTTGTGATGGTCTGGTCGGAAGTGGAGGTAGGGGTAGATGGGTGTTTTTAATTTTATAATCTTTCTTAATTATTTAATATTAATCTTATAGTATTTAATTGTCCTGGATGATTAGGCATGAGGATAGGGTATTCGACATTAATGACAGTTGGGATAATTTAATGCAAAGTTGGAAGAAAGTGGGGTGAAAGAGTCAAGCTAACTGCCACCGACTCTGCCCTTAGGATCAGGGTGTTCAAGCAAAGTTAAATCCTGGGTCCCATCTCAATTAATTCTTGCTTACATGATCATCTTGGTCTTCATGTTTTTAATTTATTTTAATATTTTTAATTATATTCATTCTATATCTGAATAACATAAAATAAATAAATCCACGTAATATTCAAATAGATCATCATAGTACTGCAAGTTTTTTTTTTTTTTTTTGCTTAAGTCTTCCTTGAAAGTTTTTAAAGCATGTCAAAAGCAAAGCAAATCTCAAGGCATGAGATCGGCATCGACAATATCAAGGTTTCTGTCATGCAAGGAACAATTATTCGAAGTAATTATCAGTAGTATTAGAAGCCAGTGAGAGCATTTCATTTGCTAAAGTTTCAACTTTTTCTTCACAAAAAAATAATAATAATAATAATAATAAATAATAAATAAAATTCTGTTCAAAAATAAATGTGGCAAGTAAATTATAAATTAATCCCTTTAAAATTGCAAAATAAATGAATTAAATAATCCTTCTTGTTTCAAAAATTAATTAATTAGTTTCTAGACTAGTATTAATCGTAATTAATTTAATATTATTTTTTTCAATAATTTTTTTCTCGTCATTTTTTTTATTTTAAAAAATAAAACTAAACAAAGACAAAATAAATTGAAAAATATGAAAAAGATAAAGACAAAAATAGATTTAAAAATGTAGAGATTAATTAATTGGATTTTGAAACTAAAAAAAATATTTAATTTATTGGGCTAATACCTTCATATATTTTTATATAATAGGCCAAATTTTCAATCTATTCCTAAAAAAAGCCTCTAATTTATCTTTATATTTTAAGTTGGTTTTTAATATATCTTTTTAGCTAAAATTTATAGTCAAATGAAATCAAATTAAGTCTGTAATTTGCACATAATATGTAATTTGATAAAATTATCATTGGTATTTGACATAAGTTATTTATATCTACTAATATGAAAATTATTTTTTAAAATTGATCAAAAATTTTGATTTTGATCAGTAAAATAGATTAGAAACTAATTTAAAAAATAAAGATAGATTTAAAGCCTTTTTTTAAGAAAAAATTTAAAAATTAATATATTATATAAGTACGTATAGATCATTAAACCTAATTTATTTCCAAAAACTAGAGGGAATTGTTTATAATTTACTGTAGATGTGCCTGACACCCATGCCAAGAGGAAATATATGTATTTTGATCCTCAATTCTCCAATGGCCTGTCTGATGCCTGCTGTACATATTGTTTTTCAAAAAAGAAAAAAGAAAAAAAAATCGGCATTTCCATATATTGGAAGGCCAATATGACCTAAAAGTAAGTGCACTTACAGGGCGATTTGGACA